GGGCTACAACAGCATCAGTTGAAAGAATTAACCGCATGGCACCAGAAATGCTACCGTCGTCTCTTTTCTGCCCGACACGGCGAGCAAGGTCCTTCTGGTCTGATTTCTTCTTGGGGGCGGGTGGGGGCGGCGTCGGGGGTAGTTCGGTTCCGCGATCGTAGGCTCCCACGTTTCGCTTCACAACTGTAGCCAAAGATTCTGTACGGTCGGATTTGGCTTTGGGCGGAGCACGGAGAGCGGTAGGGGCAAAGGAGAACAGCTTCTCCCAGGAGGGCTTATCATTCTTGCTGGCGACCTGCTACAGCGCTGTCCTGAGTGAATCTCTTGCCATGGTACGAGCTCCGTGTGGAATCCGCCGCATTACACGCTCCTTCGACGGCCTAAAACTTTTCGGCGGGGGTGACGTTGGAGCTGCTCCTGTCGCATTATCAGCGGTGCCAGGAAAGCAGCTGGAGTCCCGGAATCGGCTGGGCGCAAGGGAAACTTCTTCTTATGTCTGGTGAGGCCTCTTCCTCTGCAATACAGTTTCTTGCAATACGGGCAGGGGACTTTGTCGTTGCTCATTCTAAAAAGGCCTAACGGAGGGCGACTGACCTGATTAGTCCAGGAACGGGCAGGATACTTGAAGTACCGGGCCGCTGCAAGCAGCGAAACCCGAAGCGTGCAAACGGGTCCCCTTTTGCGGCGCAGCCCCCAAGCACGTTTACATCCTTCAAGCCACCCTTCAGACCAAGAGGGTTCCTACCCCGGTTTGGTCGGCGTAGGGACACTGAACGCCAAAAATCCGCCAGAGATCCGAATTCAAAGTTTCCAGAGATCAGGATATTTACTGTAACATCTTGCATTGCACGTAGTTCCTCATAAACAGTTCCAACGAGCAACATTCAAATGGTACACGAAAACACAACAGCAAAATTACAACAAAAACACTTCAGATAAGCCGTCGGTGTCCGGTAATGTGCCCATAACGCAAAGCGCGTTTCCTCTTTGAATCTGTATGGACAGTAGCTGTCGGAAAAACTCTTTGGAACGTGGTTGGCCGGTAGCCTGAGCGATCCAACGTCCTACACGGTCCACTAGGCTTTTCGCGCCTTCACCCTATGGGCCGTATATTTCGAACGCAGCAGCAGCGAAGTTGTATCGCGGAGATAGCCAAGCGTGCTTGAGTCGCTTAGCGTTCTCGGCAATTTCGGCAGCGGCTCCAGCTGTAACAGCGGTGCGGATACTTACTTAATTATGCAGTTTGGAACGATGCAGTTTCTTTTACTCGTACCCATCTATAGAGTATAGAGTAAGTACTGTAGGGGAAAAGGCGCCCGCGATCCAGCTTTATCCGAGGTAAATTTACTTTTCCTCGGAACCGGTTTTGCGGCTTTAGCTTTAGACAGAGAACAGAGAGAACTCGGTTGCCGCGCTTACTGCTGAGTAAGCGGATATAGCGACGGATATGCGGCGCTCATTCATCATATGCGGTGTAAACCGACAGCACTAACGGTCCGGAGTAAAGTAAATTTTTTCGTCCATTGTATATGAAATTATTAACGTTAATGGTGGTAAAGTGATGCTGAAGTAGTTTAAACTAAATTTTTGCAAAGTCAATCATCTGTCTGAAAGAGTACAAAGCATGCGACGTATCTGTATATCAATGTTTTAAGCGAATGTAATGATCGCTTTTCCATTTAACTTCTGGTATATTACTGGTGATGCTCGAATACAGACAGTTATATGCTGTCATGTTCGCAACTACAGTATAAAAAAAGCTTATGCTCGAAATTCAAGGCTTCTGGATAGATTTCAGTGGCACAAAGTGACCTTTGAATTACCTGCAAAGTTAATAGCGGCTGCTGGTGAACAGCCAAATCGTCGGTGAATCCTAGCGATGTCCAAGGGACTAAGGTTATCATTCTGACCGATCCTCGAACGTTTTCTTAGAGGAACAATCGTTGGAATGGCAGGGTCTTTGGCAAAATCATTAAATTTGTAGTGCATGATTGACTCGTAGTCGTAGGGAAGCTCATACGTTTTTCCAGCATGCTGTGTGAACTGGTCACGGTGAGCTGTTAATACAGTTATCATGAACGCTCAGATTGTGTTTCTCAAAGCGCAAGGCGCAAACCGTCGGATTTTCCATACGCTTACCAATGGCGATATCATCCCAGATTATGAGAATGTGCTGATCTCGGTCTTGGCGAGAATGCTCATGAAAAAATCCCATTACATGCATTAGCTCATGCTGTTCATCTCCGTGTTCCTTCAGGCAGCCGGATGCGTAGGTCAGAAGCTGTTTCCCGCCTATCCTGCCTATACTGGACATACACCTGTAAGGAATCCAGCAGCGGTTAAATCTAAAGCCTTTTTGTAAAACACTTGTGCGATTACGACGGACTGCAGGCCTTTTTGAAAAGAGATGTAATCGGTCTCCGAAGTTCGCTGAACAAATTTGACGCAGTTCCCAGTGAGAAGGCTAATAATATCCATGGATTCCAGAATTATTTGCACTTCCCTTGCGCCTGAGAACGAGAAAACTATTGAAAAGCTGTACTTGAGCAGTTAACATTAGCATTATATGAACTTTTTCCTACTCATTGTTGCGAACTGCTTTCTGGAGAATTCGTATGGTATCGTGTTGTTGGGCCAAAGGGAGCTGATGTCGTCAATGGCATTGGCTGCTCCGTGGAGAAGCTAAGTTTTGAATTCACAAATCAACTATAAAGTGCCGTACCGACAGAAGAGAATTTATTTTTTAAGTCTCCAGTTTTTCTGCGTGAGACTCACTATGAGACTGCGTGAGACTTACTTAAGAGTAGGCAACAATGCGGTAACCTAATTTTAGGTGGATTATGCAAAATTATCAATGTCGATGTCTGTCTTGCTACTAACCTCCAAAGTTTGCAATCCGACAATGTCGCCTTCGGACCTTCCAGCAGATCGCTGTCGTATCGGCCCGCCCCATCGTTGTCCACCAGCAAATCTGGATGGATGAAATCTCGCCAGTCTATGTAGCATGAAAACAGTCAATCAGCGGAAATGTGGAGCGGTAAGCAAAAGCAGTAAGCTCACTTTCTGGTAAGTGTACTGTCCCGACTGAGTAACTTTCAGTCGAGACAGTTAGGAAAATTATTGTTAGCCAACGGATGATCATTGTACGAGGGTCACTCGGAAAGTAATGATAACTATCGCACGATTTTTTATTGCATCAGCGCTTTCCTCGTATTTTCTCAAAACAATGTCCCTTAATCTCTATACAACGTAAACAGCTAAACAGCCACTCATCAAACGCTTTCGAAAAGAAATTAGGCGGTATCTTAGAGATCGGTGTACTGATATTTTCTTCCAGTTCTTCATCATTTTCAAACTTTTTGCCACGCAACAATTTTTTCAAGCCAGGAAATATTTCGAACAGATAAAGGACTAAGGTAACCTAAGAAAAATAATGTGGAACGATACTTTTACTCCAGGCCGAGAAAAAAAATAAAGCAATGACGGAGTGCTTATCTGTGGATTTTCGCGATATTGCACCACACGGGTGATACCGTGTCAAAAACCATTTTCTTCTGCTTTATCAGTAAGAAGCTGCAGCACACCCTCGACACCTTTCCTTCCATAATGCTTAGACCCTCTGCTATTGCTTCGGGGTCGGAAATGAATACTTCCCGATCAGGGTTTCGACTATGAGGACTTTTCGAAAGTGAAAACGCAAAAAACATTCCAAAATTTGAGCACCGTTGTCAAAACGGATTTCTCGGTGCGAGTTCGCTGGAACCAGCTGGCAACATCAGCAAAGAATGGTCCTTATTAAGGCAACAGAACAGGCAATGCAGCATGAAAAATTCTACACTTCTCTCTGCAAATCAATTTTTCAAAATAATATCATGAAAACTGGCCAGTAATTAAGGCAACGTTTTCAGTGATCAGTGAAAAATCAGCGCTACCCAGCCATGTTCAGAGTCTTGCAAACCGCCAACCTTAGGCGGTATGGCCACGGCCATTGCCCTATGATCTAGTTATGAATGCTACAGTTTTTAAAAAATTAGTGCATAATTTTATGATTACTAACTGATACTGATTATCATTACTTTCCGAGTAGCCCTCGTATTACAGAACTGTGCCCTCAACAACAACTATTCAGCCGCCTTAGTAGTGCAATATTGTAGCATTGTAGCCTAACCCCCACACCCTTGCAAAAAAAAATGCATTATCACCAATCACTTGTCAGTCTTTTCATAATGTTATGAATTGTCTCCGCTACACGAGTTCTGCTTTCTATTGCTGCATTTCCTCAGCTTTGCACAACCGGTTTTTCCGTGTTTAGAAATATGAAATCGGGCTTCCACCTGGTCTGTTTGCGGTAATTTATGGAAATGTGTCAAAATTATTCGCTATCAGTTTCAGAATCAGTCTTAAGGAAAAGCTTGTAACAGACAACACCTTACGCGTCAGTAAGTGGTTATTCAGTAAAACATTCATGTGACTGATTTAAAGACAACTTAGACCCTGGAACTCGTTCTGAAATAGTCGGTATTGCATTCCGTGAAGCGGCTCTCGTGGTATTATTATTCTGTTACCTTTTTTACATACAGACAATTATAAACTGTAAGCCATCTCACTTTCACTGGAGAAAATTCAGTATATGGAACTGCGGAAAATCGTTATGATCAGCAACTAATCGCTGGTTAGGTGCACTTTGTTAATTGTTTTGTCCGACTGCATTAAAAATATAGTTTGGTTTTCGCGGAACTCTCTTCAGCCTGTCGGCACATTCAGAGGTACTGTTTATAATCACGATGTTTATAATCAAGAAAAGCATTTTTTGATTTCGATGGTTTTCAGTACTTTTTCCATCACGGGTGCAGTGCGCGCCATTTTACTTCACATTACGGTGTGTAATAAGAACACATTTTTCACACCCATAACATGTTGAAAAGTATCATTTAATAAGCTATGCTGTAACTTTCATCGGTTTCAGAGGTAAGCCCAGAGAAACAACGCAAAACCGCCATACTATACCCAATATCCTAATAAATTTTCGATTTTGAAAGGTCAAACATCAGATGCAATACAAATATGTCCCAGCAGAGCACCACCAGCAGAATCCAGTCATCATGAAAAGGGCATCAAAACGAAGCTAGTGTGATAAGGATTCGATATAGTCGAGTCTGAAGCATCCGATCGACAAGTGTCTGTATGCAGCACGATGTGTGGCATTGTGTGCTCAGTGATGCAGAACGCGGCCATCCACGAGCTGTGGTTGCTCCGATGCCGAAGCAGTTATCCTGTGCTAAAACAGGCTTACCCGTCTGTACTAAAAGCTCGGCGTTATTGAACTAGGTAATTAGCGAAGCTGCGTTTAAGAAGTCAACAATTAATTAATCTTAATGCTGCAAAAGAACACAACTTCGACAGGTACACAAGTTAAGGAAGCACAGAACTATAACGGAAGCATACGGGTAGCGCTAAAGCAGAAAGCACCATTTCCAGCAAGCATCGCATGCGATCTGATGCACTCTGCGCATCCGCTCCTGGTCAAAACATTTTCACCAGATGATAAATATCCACCAGCAAATGGCATGCCACCGTTGCTTTAAACAGATAGCTCAGCACAATGCCCATACGGCCCATGTTGCATTCCACACACTGTCCCCCGGCTGGCGGCAAATGCGTCCAAGAGAAATACTCCCAGCACGAACCGCTGCGCGTGTCTATGACCTTTACGGTAGCGGTCTCGCTCTTCTCGCCGCCGGTTTCAAACGCATTCAGGGCCGCCTTATCCTCGACAACCGCTGTCTCTTTACCATATGGCGCCAGGCGTTTCCAAAACATACTAGCAAAGATGGATTCGACCAGGAAAATGGACGCGACCAACATATACAGAAAAAGAACCAACTGATGCAGACGAGGCGGCATGGACTCGGCCAGCTTTCTCATCGTGATGAGATTCTCTCGCAGCAGAGCTTGATCATGAGCCGAATAGGCAATCTGAGAACTGTCCGCAGATTCATTGAAACGTACCGCAGATCCCGTGATGTTAGCCGGTAGTTTCATACCAGCTTCCAGAATTAGTGTGCCGTCATACAAGGACCCCTTAGGGTCGCCAAATGCGTATTCCATTGTCCGCAAAATAAGCATTCCGCAAAAACTGGCCAAAAGTCCGAACATGCAGCGGGCGACGGTTACGTTCGCGGTGGTTGTGTGCTTGCTGCAGTGGCGACTGAAGAATCCGTTCAGTGGACCAAGGAAGTACAACACGGAAATCAGGAGGGAAGCGGACATATATCCACTGGCTGGGGAATCGCCGTACACAATACGGTACACGGCACTGCCTGTATGACAATATGTTCGATACTTCATTGTAGTATTATACACATAAGTAGTGTTGCTTTAATGCGGTAATGCAGCTTGTGCTAAACAATGTTAAGATACTGTAGTTATAAGAGATTAGACGAAGTTTGCCGCATGCTTAAGTACTTAATCTTAGGCGTTGTTTTGTGTTTAACGAAAGCTCATGTACAGATAAATAACCCAGTAAAACTTCTCCGTACGTAAAAGATTTGTTCCCTATATCAGCGGGGAAGAAACATCCCAGTTTTAATATCGAATTAATTATTCACATTATTATTGAAGTGGCCTGCGAAATTCAGATTTTATAGCCTGACGCGAAATCGCAGTGAACAGACTTACAAGTCAGCGCCAATGTGCAGAGAAAATCACTGGCTAGTGCCGCGACCAGAGCAGCGACGCTCGAAATGGCGGCGAGCACCAGGAATCCAGTCGATCCCACCCAGTTGACCAACAAATTTCGCTCTTTTGTGCTCAGCATCTTCAGTTTGTGCGATTGATAATGGTCACGATCCACTGACTGCAAGAAGAACACGACTTGATAACAATGATTACATACCAAAGCCGGCAGAATCTTCAAAGATTCGAATACAGTTATTATAAAAAAACGTTTCCTTATGAATATCATGAAATACGAGTACTACTATAAGATATGCAATAATTAATATAATTACTATAAAGTATAATTATCAGAAAGTATGGGCTACTATTTTCACTAGCATGCGCTTGATAAATAGAATGGTATGCTCTTCGTTGTATTACCTTATTCAACTGCATATTCAGACTATGGGAAAGCGGTTTCACTACATGATACGACGATTCCAGTAATATAATTAACTTTGTGCTTTGCTCGGAAACACATGCTGGGCTGACGAGATCGATAAGGTCACCTTGAACCTGACAGAAATCACAGCTAGTCAATCAATACTGCGCTTGCAGAATTTTATTTTCCAAATGGAAACTCGAACCTTCAAAGTTCAATCCGTATACCGGTAACTGAAACTGTGTTACTGATTACTTCTGTCAAACCTGTTTAGGCTGGAATCAACGTCAAACCGTAATAAAAATTGGTGGGAAAACCTTAAATAAGTATCGGATACCGGATACAAACTCAGTACCAAAAAAATACTGCTGACGTAAGAACGTTAGAGAGATATCGCTGCATCTGTAACGTATACAACTTACAACAACTTTTCCGTTCGGTGAGCTTAAACACGCTAATCATACAGGAGATGTCATTACAGAAAAGTCGATAACGTGAGGGATTCTTATACAAGCCCATCCAACAATTCTTTGACCGCTGTAAGCGGGAATTTAAAGAAACGTGGGCTTGAGCCATTTAATGTGCTTCGACACGTCACGCCACATGGGTCCGCGTATTCAGCGTAAATAAGCAACAAATCTGCATGTGTTGCAGTTACTGTCTCTGTGATATACAATGTAATATGTTAAGCATTATTTATTGCCATCATAATTTATATTAATTTTATGCTTTTGTAACAGTATCATCTTTGCTTTGCAATACAATATCGCGGTGGTACTTAATATCCATATTACTTTCAAATTACTGATTGCAACATGCCCGGGCTAAAGATAATTGAATCCACGTTGGTATAATAATGGTCTATTAATTGTGATCTATTATATTATTATTGGTTGAATATTTATAAATATATCTGCCACTACACTACGATGCGTATTTGCATTACTGTGCGTGATTTATATGCGCTGCGCTTACAGCGGTCAAAGAATTGTTGGATGGGCTTGTACCTACCTACAGCATACTGTACATTTACCTTGCATGTAAATGGAAGTCCAAATAAAATAAGCCAGCCAGTCGTGTCTCTAATCTCATGTTACAACACAAGATTTTCTGCAGGCAAGTTTAAAGTGCTTAAAGTGCTAGTGATGTTGTCGTATCCACGCACCACTCAATTTATTCTGCTTTATAGCGCCCGTGAAAATGCTGTTTACTCTTTTATATGGCGCTGGTGTGTATTCGTTCTCTGGCTGTTCTGCGATGCTACACAGATCGATATTTCGATTGCTTTTTTTAATATATACCCAGAATGTGCATTAACGGAACTCCACGCATTGTCATGATAGGAAACAGCTTGCACAGGATTAATTCACTGAATCCGACTTAAAAATCTACTTATAAACTTCCCCGAAATAGTTAACCTATTAAAATTTTAACTATTAAGTAGTGTACCGGCGCTTGCAGTCATTGTTATCGTGGTGGCTATTGCCCATTAAGTATATTTTGTAATTTGTTTGTTTGTGCAATTTGTTGGGTCATTCGCAAAGGCGTCCTATTATTTTGTCCACCATTCATTTTGTCCACCAATCATTTTGTCCACCATTCATTTGGTCTACGCTTTTTAAATTCAATATTGATTACAATATTACCGCTTACCAAAATCAATTTAATATTAGTTATAATACAACACAGAACAGACACAATCTGGGTGTAAGGTGTAAACAGCTACTCTAGATGCGCGCTGTGTTATGTGCATAAATCCAAATCATTCGTAATTTCGTATCGCTTGCTTACCATTTGCTTATGAACCCGCTGAATTTCGAAACGCATAATATACAGCTGCGCAGAACTATGCATAGCAGCAGTATTACGTACAAATTACCGCACTCGATATTGTTGCAGCGACAGAATTTTGCAATATTAAAACATACTTCTATAAAAGATTGTAATATTGCCATATAAACTGAAACCATAGATATGAATGTGTGTACACGTTCTCATAGTACGTAATACTTATCGGATTACTATGCGAGTTTATTAAATTCACACTAGCTTTGTGACAAAGCTAAGAAGTACGAAAGTACTTTTCGAACTGTATCGGAAACGAAGTATACGGTGGACAAAATGAATGGTGGACAAAATGATTGGGGGACAAAATGAACGGTGGACAAAATGATTTTTGGACAAAATGAATAGACACGTAACTGAAAATTTAATTTCCGCACGTTAATCTATCTGCAGCAATGCGCAGGTCTTCATTTATTATTCTATTACACAGAAATCAATGGCATTATGACTAAAATTAATATTGCAATACTTATACGATTTAGCGTAAACATAATTCCTTGTGTTGGAAACACCGGAAATTTTTGCGTAAACACACACAAATCCATGCACGACAATTATACACTAATATGCGCAAGTATAGATAAAAATTTCGGTGATGCATTAAGTACACATTATGAATTGATTGAATTCTGCACAGTTCTTGCAGTCACAGACAGCGTTTAAACAGGTACAATAAAATCCACTACGCAAATTGTGCAGTGCACCTACAGGAGTTAATGATTTATAGTTACAGTACTTTAAGGTAGCTGCTTCCGCTTTTTAAAACCGGATCAAGGAGTAAATGGTGAGCAGCATGTACAGCGCAACAGCTCCCTGGTACACATACACCACGACCGCCGGCACCCACAACTTCGTCGAGCACTCTGCGCATTTTTCGTCAATTGCAGCCTGTTCCTTGAAAGAGAGGCTATCCTCCAGCTTGCCCTTCTCTTCATCCACATTATTCACAACGTTGCCGTAAAATTTACCAAACGGAGACAAACGAGTCCCGATGACACAGGTGAAAATGGATTGGAAGAGAAAGACGACGCCGATGAATCCGTAGAAACCGAGAATGACATCACGCATCGATGGTGAGCACGTTTCCGCCGTTTCGATAAAATCGTTCACGACTTTTTCATCAGGCGCAAACTCTCATCACTAAGTTTAGTAGCCATGGGGACGGTTTTGTTAAAGTTAATTAATTTCGGAGCCATTGCAGTCAGTGTCCCGTTCCCGAAGACTTCCATCCGAATTTCCGGTACCATGGCGGCGAGTTCTAACGATAAATCGTAAGCAGAAAGACGACCGGAGTCCCCGAAGACAGAGCTGAAGGTGCGCAGCAGAAGCAGCAGGCCAATGGTGGCTAACAGCGCCCACAAGCTACGCGCCACCGTCAGATCCGTGCCACTCATGTGCCGGAAGCATTTTGGGGCGAAAACAAATGCGTTCAAGAAGTGAACGGCGAGGATAAACAGCGTGACGGACAGACGCGAAGAGATGGGAGTGCCGGCGTAGACCAGCGCGAACCGACCGTTACCTGCAGTGTACAAAATACCGCGTTACATGGATGACCAAGTCCAACTGATTACTCTAACACCCACAATTAGCCTAGGTACGTTTCTGGTTTTGCGAAAACAACTGCCGGTAGCAACGTCACGCATTAAACTATACTTCGCGTTAACAAAGAAAGGATGATTTCAATGCTATCAGCAGATTCAGCATAACCTACCCAATTATCACACATTGTTGACTCTAAATTTAAATAGCCGGAAACTTAAAGAATGCTGAATTATGCTATGTGCAGAAATGCACCAATCCATAGAAGTACGAAATTGGTGCCGCCTTTCCGGGATGACATACTATCGTACATTATGCATTATGCCGTTTTTAATAGCAAAAATAGGTCAAAATCTATTCCCGGAAACACATAATTATAATTTTAATACATGACAATACTTGTGCGTCCTGTTGCAGTATATCCCGCGTAACTATGCCCTGTTTTCACTTACGTTCGCAAACCAGTGTAATCACGGCATTCACAAAAGCAGCGGCCACAGTGATTACTCCAGTGATTACAAATCCTTTGGACCGCACAAAATTATCCAGAGAATTCGACGCTGTTAACGCCAACATTTTTAAGCAGAGACTTGCAATGAAACTGCTAGCGGAAAGAAATCGCGCAACTATGAGGGCGAAGTTTTGCAGCTATGCAAATGCTGTGTTTTTATCCGCATGCAAATGAGACTGTTACTGCATCGTGCGCAAGCGATGAGCAATCGTGTTCATAAATAAGTCTGAAGGGCTCGACCTTGATGGTCATTTGCCAGTTGGTACCAGCACCATGTTACTAATTTCGTCCGCGCTTTTAAAATTCTAACAGCGTGAACGACGCATTGGCTTTACATAACTGTGTCATCCGCTTTAAGTTTCTCCTAATTATTCTGCTTGTATCATTGGCATGTGCCATTTGGCCACAGACTGGAAGATAAATGGCACAGCAAGAGAAGCCCGCAGAGCGTTGAAATAACTAGAGTACACCATGGTGTGATTGGGAATGCATTTGCGTGCGCATGGTAGTCTTATTTTTAAGTGACCTCATTACTTACGCGCAATGAAAGTGATGTAAAACGTCTGCTATGTACTGTATGTGTGCATAACTAGAAAGTTAGTTTTTGTTTCCAACAGTTAGCCGGCAGCGAGCAGCCAGAAAACTGTGATGCGGTGCGACTATGCGTCGATGACTCAAGGGCACAATTATGAAACGATGTACGTCCTAAATATGTTATAACCAACACTGCTCAAAAGTCAATAAATCACTAAGCAAATGAAATACTAGACAAGTACCCTGGAAATAGAAATCAAGAACTATCCAGCTTACGTGGGACGTACCAGTTAACAAAATATCTCTGCCTGCTGCGCTCAACTTCAGATTCAAGCGCTCATCATATAACTATTATTATAACTGCGTAATTGTTTGTGTGCAATATGTGCACTAAGGGTGTTGCCAGCGTTTATTGCGATGGATACGAGTACTTTTAATAGCAATTAAAAACGGAAACGTAATGCAAACCATGTGACGAGCTAGAGAAAAAGTGGACCGCTCGAGAAAAGTCAAATTATTTGCAGAAAGGTCAGTAAGCATCATAATGCTGCTTGTTACAATATTCAGTTTTTAAAATCGCTTTAGACTCTAACAATTTAACACTCTGTACAAAAGCAGTGATGAGGGATACATATTGTATCATGTATGCAAATGGAGCGGGATAACGGCAAGCGCACAAAGTCGCAGTAAACAAACCATAAGCATGCAACATCTTTCCACTGTAGGCTCTGCTTGTTAACTCAACAGTCTCAACTTAACCCACTGCTTATCATAATATTCTCGTTAGAGTTGATTCTATGGTGGCTAATCATTAGCCGCTAATGATCTGAATTGGCATATTTGGCTAGACGATCATGAAGAAATATTTTGTCCCAGGTGACAGACAAAACAATTCCCGAAATTCAGCAGATGTTATCGTCATTCAGCGAGAACTCCACCTGCGAAAAGTTAATGGCACCCGATCCATATGGAAACGGATTACTAGCGCAGTTGATCGGTAAATAAATGTCTTCTCGTAGGTACAGGTAATTTTGCCAAACGTTTGTTATGTAGTACACCTGGCCAACGTTAATCCGATTCAGCAATGCCTTGTTACTGCTTTTCCATCGCCGAAAGTTGGCAAAGGAGCAACCGCAGTGCAAACGGTTGACGTAATTTTGAATGTCGGGACTGAACGTCAGCATGCTTTTTAACCCATACTCCAGAGCCAAAATCCGTAATGCCGGCACATCAATGAAAGTGTCCCTTTCCAAACTACGAATTGTCGAATTATGGAGAGTGAAACACCGCAACCTGCGTGAGTATTTAAAGTCGTCTTTTATAATGTCGAGATTGTAGAAATTACGAAGCCGGAAGTCCAGAAGATTAGTTAAGCGCAGCTCGTACAGTTTCTTTGTTGGATAGGTATAGGCATTTTCGCACTTCCATAGTGTGGCCAAAACGATTCGTTGCCGAACTGGAGCCACGCTGTGAAACGAAATCTGAGGTCCCTCGCATACATCTAACATGGTCGCCCGGGGAGGCGATTTGGCCATCGCGGTAACCATCTGACTGATTTCTCCCACATCAGCCTGGCTGTTGCAGTTGATCTGCATACTTTTGTACTTTGTACAATTCGCTTTCGTCGTGGAATAACTTTTGCAGTTCGAAGTGAATTGTAACTCACATTGGGCGAAAGTCATTGGTTCGGTCGAGAAATGGAAGAAAGTTTCGCTGGATTCATCGTACCCGCATCTTTCCCCTTTTTCGGAATCTGTAAAAGTAAAGCAGACCTTTTTAAAAGCCCCATATTTAACAGGACCGCACACCTGTGATGACATGGACTTTCAGCTTCTTTATCGACAAAACTTACAGTGAGCCACGTTGATCGAAAACTCAGACTGGTTGTGGTCAATCGATTTTGAACCGGTTGGAAAATTAGCTGCTGCGCAGTCGATTGGCAGATAGACAGCTTCCTTTCGGATTGGTTCAATCATACAGGAATCTGGGATACGATAAATTTCACCCTCCGACGCCCATCGTAGTAATTGCCAATTTCTGCTCCACCATTGTCGAAACCATTCAAATTCGCAACCACAATGAAGTCGCTTCAGGTATTTACGCATGGAGGAAGTAAATGCTTCGACGTTATGCAGTTTGAATTCCAGTGAGAGCAATCTCAGCGCGGGAAGATCTGTGAATGTTTCCTTTTCTAAATGTTTAATAGTTGTATTACTGAACGTAATAAGCTTTAGTTTGTTTGAATGGCTAAAATCAGCCATCTGGATCTCCAAATCGTAGCAGTGAAAAGTTGAAAATGCTAACAAGTTGACAAAGCGCAGAGCAGGCAGCTTCTGTGTGGCATTTGTCAAACAGTTGTACAGATCGAATACAACGACCTGCTTTCGAATGGGACCGAAGCTGCGGTACTGAATTTGCTCTCCATCAAAAAGGCTGATTCGAACGGCTCTTAACGGAAATGCAGACATGGATGTGCTCATTTGGTTGAGTTGCTGCGAGGTTTCTCCACTGCCGCAGTTTAAATCAACGGTTTGTGTCAGCGTGCAATTTGAAATGGAGTATTGGACCGGATAGCAGTTTGCGGTAAACTGTAGCGCACACTCCTCTTGAGTCATGGGCTCTTGTGAAAACTGTGGAAACGGTTCGCTAACAGCCCCTCCTCCGCCTCTATTCGGAATTCGTGATGAAAAAATGATAGCTTTGATAATTCATCACATCGGAAAAGCGAGCAGGAAAGAAAAGCTTTGCGGCTGAAAACCTGGATGATATAGAACCAACGAGCACTACTGAGTACAGATATATGGTTAAGCAAGCCATCGTGTTTTTCCGTTGTACTGGGTACTGGGTTTTCAAAAAAAACCACACAACACACCTGAAGAGAAGCGGTAACAAGAGAGGTCAGAGTTTTGGCCTAGACGATCCTGAAAAACGGCGTTGGCCAATTGGCACTTGTAGGCAACCTGTAGTTTCGCGACATCCAACACACTTAGTCCATTTGTTTGTCCCATCTTCCGTGGCAACTGGTTGGCGAGCGGGACGATGGACGGATTATTCGGGTTTTGGGCGAAATCCGTGGCACCATAGTGCATAATTGAATCCATATCATACGGCAAACCATACGTTTCCATTTTGTCGAACTTAGCGTAATTGCGGGCAGGGAGTAAAAGGTGGCAGTGGCACCTGCCACTGGCAGTTGCCACCGGCAGTGGCATGTGGCATTTCGCGACTGGCAAGCGGTAAAACATGGCAATGTTTCAAAGTGCAGAAATAACTAAAAATTTGCCTGCCACCAAGAAAAGTGAAAGATAAAACGGAATCGATGCGTTGTTTTTTATTTTCTATGCGTTGTTTTTTATTTCATGAAACGCCATTACACCAAAGATATATGTATGTGAAAGAAACAGTTTATCACATTTCTGTTAAATCATCTTTTTCTACTTTGCGGCCAGCCAATGCTTTATACCCGCCTACCAAAGCAATAAGCGCTAAATATTTATGTAGCAAAGTTTCTTAAAATTTTAAAATTTCTTAGGTTTCTTGCGTTATTCTTAGGTCTTTCAGTTTTCTTAGGTTATTCTTAAGTACGATCACCTAAGAAAACACTAAGAATCCTTAGGATTCTTAGGTTTTTTAGGTTATTCTTAAGTTTCTTAAGCTATTCTTAGGTTTCTTTGGGATTTTAGGTTTCTTAAGTTACTTACGTTATTGTTGGGTAATTTTTCTGATTGTCAGGATATTTTTTGAAATCCTGAGAAAACTTAAATAACGTAAGTGACCTTAGTCACGTTGTTATAACCAAAGAATTACAATACAACCGAAGAACCTAAGAAATTTGTTGTAAACCTTAGAAACCTAAGACTGACCTAACAACTTAAGGTTAACCTAACAACCTAAGAAATTTAAGAACATACGAAACACAGTGTAAACCTAAGAAAGTTTTTAGTGGTTTGAGTGTTGCGGTCAGAGCCAAACTTTGAGGGCCAGAGGTTGAGTTGTCAGAATCATGCCTTGTGCATGACGTAGCTTTGTGCCCGTATTAGCCTACAGCAGTTCTGTGACGTGTTGCTTCTCTAGCGTACATATTACTGGTGTTTAACGAGTTGTGGTGACTTGACTAGCCTTAGCATATTTGATGTTCTCAACGGATAAAGATATGTGAGAGTGCTCGTTTACGGGCTTGGCTACTCGAAATTAAATTAATCAATCAATCAGACTTTGGACAGTCAGAGTCAGAGTTTGAGCGGTCAGAGTCAGAGCTTCAGCGCGGGCCGTTTGTTTCTGTTTCGCCTCCCGACTTTTAGTACAACGACATATCAATGAATAACCCAACCCACAGACCGAGAGAATACTGATCGTCAATTCGCGTTTCCACAATTATGTTGCCCGATGTGTTCGAAAAACTGTTTTGTCGAACTACAGTTTGCTTTTCCGTCTGAGAAAACCAAATAAAAATTAAGAAACCAAGAAGCAGACCGTTTGAAGTTAAAAAGTACAGAAAACCGACCGACCGTGTTACAGAGAAGGGAAAATCAAAAATAAGAAAACATAAAACCTAATAAAACATAAAAAAACAAAAACACCTCACAAAACATAAGAAAACATAAAAAATGTAAGAACAAAAATTTTAAGACATGTGTGTGCTACCCGCAAATTTATTTTGCGGCATTGTAGCGCTCATTGCGTTGGTAGGCGCGATACAGATAGTAAGCTGGCCGCTGAGTATAGAAAGATCAATTATATAGAAATTAATATTGTTTTATAAATTTTTTTTATAACAGGCAAATTTTTAGTTATTTCTGCACTTTGAAAAATTGCCAGGTTTTACCGCTTGCCAGTCGCAAAATGGCACATGCCATTGCCGGTGGCAACTGCCAGTGGCAGGTGCCACTGCCACCTTTTACACCCTGCCGTAATTGCGCGAATCCATGCCGGCCTGCATCCTCTCCGGGTAGACAGTGATGTAGTTGTCCCTATCGGGACGGCTATGCTCGCGAAATATTCCCAACGCATGCATCACTTCATGCTGAATTACGCCTGTGGAATTAAGGCACTGGGGATGCAGCCATACTCTCGTCTCTTTCCCAGGAATGTGTCCAATGTTGGAAGCGCATCTGTAAAAACGAGTGGCAAGTAAGGAAATGTCCGGATAGCACATTATGGAAAGTGTGTGAAAGATATTCTTTACACAATTCCTCTGTGTTCTGCTGATTTTCGTTGGAACGAAATAAATTCCCGCTCCTTTTCGTGCGGTTTGAATGTAATGCAGTAACTTGTCCGCCATTCGATAATCCGCAACGCATTTTCGATGATTTCTTTTTCTTCGACGCCTGATTAGCGAATCAAACTGATTTCGAATTAAGTTTTGGGTTTATTACGCGGGGCCGTATGGGCGTTACGCGTACCCGTATCCGGTGACAGTCCCCTCGACAGAGCAACCCGTAAACATCGACTTTATTGGCGATTTTGCCGCCACACCAAAAATCATCTAACTGAACAAGAAGAATCTGCAGTCTGCTGCAAGTGCAGACCCGTCAAAAACAGCACGAAAATTGAGGGGGCGGAAATCCCCAAGAAGCGGCCAATAGCGAGTCGGCAGGGCTGAGTCATAACTACTCATAAGCCCGCCCTGACACGTTGTAGGTCAGCTTACCATATTTCTTATTTATTCTGTGATGATGGGACTGTCACCGTTTAAAATGTTTGGATGGTTACACGAGCAGGCACTGTTTTGCCTTTCAAAGCGGTGTTTTTCTATTTAGAAATCCGCACCGGGAAGAGCATTATGAAACCCATATCAGAACGAATAGATTAGAAAAAATTACAATTATGATAATGAAGGGTGATAACAACTACGTACTACAATCTTCGACGCAAGGGCAAGGCACTTACTGAACCCGGTAAATGCGTACGGAATTCCCTTTCCGTTATTGGGCCAATACTCGCGCTCTTGTAGGTATCCAGCGACAGGGCGACGGTATCCCATGTCAATATCATCATCCCAAATTACATCGTTGGGATATAAAGCCTGTGAGCTCGGAACAGCCATTCCATCGTCTAAAATGGGACAAATGAAGCTGTGCTATGCTTTGTAGCAGCAGAAATATAAGAAAATAGTATCGCTACTTGGTACGGGGAATGTCGGCTGCCGAGAAGAAGGGCAGGCAAAACATCTCGGATGCGGAATGAGCAAACAAGTTGCCAGGAAAACCGCTGCTAGACTGCGCCAAACGCAGAGAGTTTTGCTTCCGGCGTATAACTGTCTGACATCCATAATACAGGGAATACTGGAATAACAGCAATACAAAATACAAGTACTCTTACAAAGTAACAGACATTCTCCAATAAATAAATTAATGCTAGTCAAGGGGCAGCGCATAAGACGATAAATTTTAGCATCCAATCAAAAGTTACAGTCTGACGAAGCGATAAAATACCTTCCTATGTGTTACGTACCAACAAGGTGTTTTCAATCGCTGAACACCGGATATGACGATTGATGAACCCAGTGGATACGACATGTGCACGAAAAGCTTGATAAATCAGAACCAACAATCGCCAGGCAGTGCAGTATTCTTTGCTAAAGGCAGGGTATTTATCAGATTTTGCGTTACAATGTGCGTTATGCCGAGTTGCCGACTATGCAATATTCCAGGCAATGTTGTTGTTAATGTGACATCTGAAGCACTATAAAGTGGGTCATCCGCTCGATTGACCATGGATTCTTGCTTATTGACTATTGTGCATGTTGGTCTTTCTTTTGCGGTCTGGAAGATTGTGACCCGTGAGCAATGATTGACCCTAAAGTCAATTAATTCCTGTCTAATTCTTCTAATATTCTTTCTTGCATCCTTACTAAATCTCGCTTTGGCTGTTAAGATTCCATTGTTTTACTGATAACAATTGATATCGTGATTCTATTAAGGGAAGTGGCCGTACATGGTACCAAATTCGTGTACATGCACGAAACCTTTCACTTTCGCGCACTTCCAAACACATTTGTGTTTCGTTTTATGACATTCCGTAGCCAGACGATTTGTGTACACTGGCGTGAAAACCGTTTGAGCGCGCAACATCCGGTTCGGGAGTTATGGCTGCTATAAAACTCCAAAAAGTTTAAATGGATTCAGGTGTACCAAAAGTCTCATTATGGACCGGTCCCTTCAAATTTTGCACGTAAATGCGCTGCATGCTGTTATTATTTTACTTTCTTATAGCGCTGCTGTGCGTTTACTCTCTCGGCAACGCCCGATCGATACTTCGATTTTTTTGCATGATGAACAGAAAGGGGTTTACCGGAACTCCGATTATTGTCTATGACAGGACGCAATTTGACGGGATTGAGCCATTTAATCCGGCTCTTGTTTATAAATTTCCTCGAACAATGTATCTGTACTTGGCTAAAAATATCCAGTTCTTGGTTCACCACACTAATCAATGACAGTTTTAATACTCAAATATTACACGGTGCAGCGCCTCCACAATCTCTTGTGCAATTAATACCGTAAATATGAGCGCCCACAATCGCCGTTTCTCGCACGATAACTGTACGTACACTAAAACGGCATTTTGATAATTTCTGTGCATTAAATAACCATATACGCATTTAAATTAGTGCAGTGTAACAGGTGCAGGCAGCAATCGACCATGCGCAATATCTGCATTATGTATTGATGATGTTGTATTGTTGTGTAATTATAACCATTCCCATTTTTGCATGTTTACACTTTATATCAAAGTAGTGGCTACCGGCTGTCAACAGGCCAAATAGTAAATGATGAACAGCATGTACAAGACAGCCATTCCATGGTACACAGTGATCAGAACCGTCAGCACATGGTAATCCGTCGAGCACTCCTCACAGTCTTCCGCAGCAACATCCGGTTTCTTGAAAGTAAGACCGCATGCTTCCACCGGCCGACCCTTCTCTTCATCCCAATTAATCGCCGCCTTGTAGGGAAATTGACCCAACGGAGCAAACGGAATCCCATTTGCAGCGGCGTAAATGGAATGGAACAGAAAGACGGAGCCGATGAATCCGTAGAAGCCGAGAATGACGTTACGCATCATTGGTGCACACATTTCCGCCACTTTCGTCAAGTCATTCAGGACTTCTTTCCGCAGCCGCTCCTGGTCAGCAAGTTCAGCCGCCAGAGCTACAGTCTGAGCAACAGTTTTGTTGTATGCTGCAGTCAGAGCTACAGTTTTGTTGTATTCTTCCGGAGTCATTGCCATGACCAGCTGTGATAAGTTTCCTAAGATTTCGATGGGCATCAGAGCGGAGAGCGGAGAGCTTTGAGGCATCAGAGCGGAAAGCTCCAAACTCAGATCGCAAACGGATCGGCGGCCAGAATTCCCGAATACAGAGCGGAAGGTGCGCAGCAGTAGCAGCAGACCAATGGTGGCTAACAACGCCAACAGGCTGCGCATCACCGCCAGTTCCATGCCACTCTTGTGCCGGAAGCATTTCCGGTTGAGAAAAAACCCTCTCAGATGAAAGTTCCCAGCCAGGATAAACAGCGCGCCGGACAGGCTGAAAGAGATGGGTGTGTCGGTGGAGACATTACTGAACGGAGCGTAACCTTTAACTAACAGCAACCAGATTATGATAATGATGATGGACTTATTCAATCAAAACATTGTTGACATAAAATAAATAAACTCAATATCGTTACCTAAAAAATTTCCTTTATAATTACGCGAAAACTTCATGGAAAAATACAAAGCAGACCACAAAATAGCTTATGCAGCGTGAACAATGCATTGACAAGGAAGTACGAATGCAATAAGCAAGTACGAATGCAATAAGCAAAACTGTCTAGACTGATTAACCGTCAACCGGGCGCATTTGCTTGTAAACTGAAAACCGTCCGCCCTAGTATGCAGTACAGCAAAATCGTCCGTCCCAAATCTATGCGAAAAACTTGTGGACAAAATTTACGGCGGACGGTTTCGCCATCGTAGAGTAAAGGCGTCCTGCGGACGGTTATTCAGCCCGTCCGTTCGAAAACTTTATCAAGAAAATCAAGAAAAATGTACGGTAACGATTTTAATGTGGTAAACAGCGTAATGCAACAAACAAGAAAACGAATATTATCTTCTACTCTTTTAAGCACGGACAACGGTTCTTCAGCAACAAACAAATCTGGCAGTGGCAGTTATTTTGCATTTCTGTGCAGCATATTTCGTGGTTCTACTTTAACACTTACTTTGAAAACCAGTGTAATCACGGCGTTCACAAACGCAGCCACCATATTGATCCCTCCAAGGATTAGCACTCCTTTCGACAGAATAAAACGAACAAGAGAATTTGACGCTTTGCAAGCCATCACGGAGAACTTCCGAAGAACACGGGAAGTATAAGGAAAAATTACTGTTAGAGTAGAGAACGACAGATTTACAAAGTTGCTCAAGTGCAAGTGCAAGTGCTGGGATCCGCATTCATACGAGAACACTGCTGCACGATTCGCATAATTATCGATTATCACCTTTCCGGGAAGCCATCACGTACGTACGTAAACAACACTGAAGACGCTCGTTAACTGGTCCGTATCGGTACCGTGCTGCAAAATTTATCTGCGCTCTTGGCTATACAGTGCAAAGGAGCTTCGGCGGCAGCTGTATGCGATCAACTCTTCTTGACGTCTTCCCATATTTCTGCCATAGTAGGCGATTTAGCCGGGCCACAGTCTGATGGTTAAATGACACTCGAAGAGCGTCTACAACTATGTTCTTCATCGTCTACTGCGGCAAAAAATGAAACTGAATGATATCCCGAGCAGTTTCAAATATATATTACTACAGTATTGTAATTTTCCAAAAAGAAAGAATAATCTGCTAGAAAAACGATTAGAAAAACTCGAAATTGTTACCTGATGGCAGTTGTCGATAAGGTACTAAAGCAAAGCATTTCGGATGCGAAATCCATAAGCAAGATACCATTATAAGCGCTGCGGGTTTGCCTCAACGGCAACACATCTTTGTCCAGACATAAAGGACATCGATACTAAAACAAGTGATAGTATTGCGTTAAAATTAGAACTGTTCCGAGCAATGCGACCTTCGATAACCATTTTTAATTTAACTTTACTGTTGTCAGTGGACTCTCCAAACGATCGTCAACTTCACGACGCAATCGTAAAGTAAAGCCGATAAAATCGTTTGCTGCGCGTTATCGGGAGCAATGTCGTGATCCATGACACAGCGCCGGATAGAAGGACTAAATGACGGCTACGATTACTTAGCCAAAGTATTTCTGGTACGGAAGTACGTTTGACAGCTGTGTGAGCATTGTGCTATTCGAAGTTTCGAACTTTCCTCCAAGATGCATGATACGTACGCAGCGGAAACGATCCTACTTCGACCAATGGTGCTTCATAAAAGTATGTCAAAACTGAGCCGCTGCTCACCTATTTTCACTCGTTGTATCATTGTGCCCAAACGCAATGGACACGCTGCGCATATAAGGGGAAAAATGAGTCTAGCCGAACCAGTCCCTTGTACTTCTGATGCAAGCCAGCTGGTGGTTTACGTTGTGGCTAGACAGCGCTTTATGTACAGCGCCGCTATTAAGATTACAGGTACTGATAACAGGTAAGCGGCACTCGTACAACTGCAGGTAAGCAGGCTAAAACTGTATTATAGCCCGGTGCAGCTAAAACCACATGTACCGTCAATGCCGCACAGCCTTAATAGCAGCGCTTTACATAAAACACTGTCAAGCCAGGACGTAAACCACCAGCTGGCTTACATCAGAAGTACAAGGGACTGGTTCGGCTAGACTCATTTTTCTCCCTATATACCGGAAAAATGCGCTGCTTCGTCAAGAGCTGTCAACAAACCGGTTTGACGAAGCGTTGCTCCTATATCCAGAGTTCTTTCCAAACAAAACTTTGGTATCTGCACCGCCACTTCTCACACTTTATGTCGATCCGTATCATTTATTACGTTCGACAGCTTTGCCGGATTCAGCAGTTGCTTAAACTCTGACAAATTTTCTTCCCAGAAAATCGCTTTTTTATCAATCCAGGTAGAATACAAACAGCCTGCCAAAAATAATCCTCAAACGGCATCTCCATAACAAGTGCCCCGCCGACGTCAGGAGGTTTCCAACAGGGACATCGGAAAACTTTTAGATGCATCATATCCACCTGAATACGGTCGCCGTTTGCTTTGGTAAATTTTTCTGCGTTTCCAACTCGCGGAATGTACGGTGCCAGTTAGCGTGGAAATGTACTGCGTTCAGCAGGCTAAAGGTGGCCGTATCCGGTAAGCTGTAAGGTGATTTAAGATCGCATTCTGCCACTTTTCCCATCGTTTGTTTCCGGAGGAAATCTTCTAGAGATCCCGTACAGGTAACGCTCGCGCGCGATAGGCAGAGGGCGTTGAATAAGCTTCTCATATCGTCCGCGTACTTTTGATTAACGGGAATATCATCGGATAAAACTAGGATGTTGGCCAAGTACAAACGGTAGTTCTCGTCTTTTCCTAAAATTTCATTGTATCAGGAGCCAATCATTATCTTTTGAATTCCGCCAATCGAACTTCAGACAAACTTCTTTGAATTCCGGTATTCGTAACTAAAGTGCACTATTGCGGAATTTAATCTTTAGTCGTTTCTTAAAAACTGCCCGCGATTCGTAAATTCTCTTTAATAACTTAGCTTACCGCTATAAGAATCACAGTCATATGTCTCCTTTTCCTTTATTTCGGCTAACTCTGCTGACATCGTCTTTATCAAAGCTTCGGCATCCACTTCAAGCAAATCTGATATATGGGATTTCATTAATGGATCCGCTGTACCCGCATAGAGCTTCAGTAATGCGATCTCCGCGCATAGCGGAGAGAACAGCAGGTTCGGTTGACGAGGATTTTGCTGAGCGAAACCGTTGTACATAGTAAGACGCAGTTTTGCACGCCAGTTCGCACATTTCCGCTGGAAGTGGGGACGATGCGGAGGCGATGGACTAGGCAAGCAGCTGCCCATAATAGTAACAATATCCTGCAGTTTTCCAACTAGCAAAAACTTGAAAAGATATCGAAGATGGCACCAGTGCATAATACGGCATTTTCCAAATCGATGATTTTCAATTCTGTTCCTCGCGTGTGATTATCTCCCTAGCACAACTGGCATACCCTAGAAGTACACATATGACCATGTGCAACAGCAACTGTTCTAGTAACGCAAACTACCGCAAGAAAATAACGGTACAAACTTATCGATCCGTACGTGGTGTACCGCTACATGAAGTATTTGTAACAGAAGCTCTCGATTCGACTTTCAAACCAAGCATCCACATACTCAGCTGTGCTCATGCATTCTAGTCTCCTACCATAGCGGATATGGTTGTACTGCAGAGATTTTGCCGCTTCCCGTTTGTGTTTACCCATATCTTAGCAAGAGATTAAAGTGTTTTTCTTGTAGTATTCTCACTATTCTGCATATGCAGCAATGGTCCGTTCTATTACAGTCTACATAAATCGGTTTATCTTTAAGGCCTTTTTTATTTCAGGTCCGAAAAGTCATATATCCACAAAGTAGAACAAATTATAGTATTACGGATAGCATCAGGATACAGGTTTAGATTAAGCGATGAAGTAGCGTGGAGGATTTTGTGTCCGACGTATGCGAACCGTGTGGCTAGACTGTCACCTAAAACTCAACAGAATTTTGTTTAGTTAAAATCCAGAGTGGTACAAAAGGTATCAAACCAAGTGCACGAAATAAAACCTACATCGACATTTTATCCGGCTACTTGCACAAATTTAAATTCGCATTCCGGACACCAAAAACACGAGTTCTCCGCGTTGTTCCACATGAAATTTTTCTAAAATCGATTGTGGGATAATAATTATTCTTATACAAGCATTACGCGAGACTAATAAAAAATGTGTTCCGATTTTTCATAAGGAACAACGCAAGAATTCCACGAATCTCGCGTCTGGAATGCGATGATATGTACTGTGCAAGAGGCCGTAATCCGGCCGCCGGATGACGATAAACAGTTTAGTACTGAAAGGTCGTAAACGCATAAACCGAATGCTAACCTCAATGTTCCAGCGGTCAAAAGCAACTGCGGTTATTGAACCTGATTGATCGAGATTTGCCACCACATCCAGTAGAACCCGCTGATCTTCTCCCGCCAAAGACACGGTCGTCCAGCCGGTAGTTTGTTTGGTGTCATAGACTTCAATCGTAATCACAAGATCCTCCGCAGCGTTTTTGCCGCCACATATGTATATGCAATTTTTAATAACACAGGCAGCATGACTATATCGCGGGTTCTTTAAGGAAGGCATTTCCTCCCAACTGCGTGTCCTTGTGTTCCAACGTATACATGTAGCTGTGGGTGTCTTGTGTCGAGATCCCTCTGATGCAGTCATTCCACCCAGAATGTAGACATACTCATTCACGCAAGTCATAGCAAACATTGAGCGCACTCGGGGAAAATCTGGCAAGGATTCCCAGGTGACGGCTAACGTGTCATAGCGTTCCAGATTAATGGATGAACCGCGGAACTGCCCGGCGAAATAGATCTTCTGATCCAGTTGAGCAACTGCTTCTATTTGGCAACCAAACCTGAAATCACACAGGTTTCTCTAGCGTTTTAACTGAAAAAAATCAAACACATACCGATTTTGGAGATAAGGACTTCTCTGTATTAAGCCTGCTCTCCCAGTACGTAAATTCACTGAGATGAAAGTAAGGTGGCTGTCCCAAAAGAAAAGTGTATCAAACACAATGATCGGTTTGAAGCAGCACCACTTTTTAGGCAGCCGCAGCGAACGTAGTTTTTTTTCGCCCAGATTAATTATTGGGAAAGTCCGTTGCTCATGATTCATGGGAAATACCAGTTGTCCTTCTGCGGCTACGAAATCGTGAAACGGACCGATTGTTTTGGGTAAGTCAAGGTCTGCTTGAGCTTCTACCGTATTGGTCAAAGGATCAAATTTGATTATGCGTGGTGAATGAAAATCTTCACATCCTATAAGCAAAATAACTTGGCATTCTTCAAGTGCATGCAAAAGATCCTCGGCAGATATTCTGTTCCCGGTGCTTGCAATGAAGCATTCCCGGATGATGGATGCCAGTATGTTCGGTATATCGTCACTAACAAGCGGTGCATAGCCGTCCATAATGAGGTGGGCAAACTGAATGTTCGTAACATCCGGTCCAATGTCGATAATCGTGTTTTCCTTGTACAGCTTCTTAGCAGTAATGCGCAGACAGCAGTGCACCACATCTAACATTATGCAACCTAAACTCCACATGTCCGTTTTTCGTCCAGGTGTTTCCGCTTGAACTTGAGAAAACTTTCGCAGCATTTCCGGTGACATGTAGCGTGGTGTTCCTTGCATATGCGATATGTCGCCAGAACAAGTAACGTTTTCTTGCATTTGAACTAGGTTATCTAAATCGCCGATCAAAAATTTCTCGCTTGTATTTGGTCGGCGTTTGACAAGGATATTTCCAGGTTTTAGATCTCCATGTATAATCTTTTGTCCGTGTAAGTATTCCAAACCCTTCGCGATATCTTTGGAACACGAAACAGCTTTGCCGTAATTGTGAGAAAAGCTGTTATTTTCCCCCGCTTTCGTCAAGTATGTGGCCAAATCACCTAGAAAAATACAGCTGAGCATTCTTTATAAGGGCAGAAAAAATTCCGTGCAATACATAGTACTTACATGTGCAAATATCCATTATTAATTTAACGGTCGATCCTCCGGCAACCTTGGTTATTCGAATGGCGCGATACGAGACAAGATGCGCATGCTTTAGGTCTAGTAGTTTTTTTAATCGTTTTACGGCATTCGTCCAGCTTTCTCTCTTGGCAATAACTTCGGAGTTCGCGCTAAAATTTAATACTTTAACAGCTACGAACTCAGGCCCGGTGTAATCATCACCTATAACTCTTGCTTTGTAAACTCTGCCGAATGTTCCGCTACCAATAAAGTCGGCATCGGAGAAAAGATAGTCACAACCATCGCCGGTATCGTAGTCCGATTCATCACTATCGTCGAACAGATCCAGCGTGTTTCCCATCACTAAAGCAGAAATTAGTAGGACTGCTAAACGAAGATTCTTGTTTAATGTTTAACACAAATGTCGCAAAAAAGAGCAATTTTCTGGTTGTTAGTTCCACAGGAATGACGAGGAATTTCTGTCTCTCAGCCGCCTAAGTTTACGCTTCTCTTGCCGAACGTGAATACGTATATGTGGCGTTTACGCAGAAACAGGTTGGGCACAGATAATGTCGGCTTCCCATACCATCATGAAATCAAAAAGAGGGTGCATTAGGCGGCAATAACAATGATAAGGTGCGAAAACATTCGCATCCACAAAGACTTTATCAGTTTATCTGATTCTGGCACAAGCTTGCAGAGCTTATAGAGTGTACTGTACTACAATCGATAAGGCTGACAATGCGAGGGCAGAGAAGCACAGCAAAGTTACAGTAGATAAACCGGTATCGAAAGACAAACATTAAGGTAAAACTCTGGGCCGGCTGTGGTTCACGAGCTGGAATGAAGTATATTAAATGTACACAGCACATGACTGTACATACGGACACATGCGTACGATTATACTCGTACGATAGAACAGTTGAAGAATCTAGAATCTACGGAAGTAGAATGCAGTAATAAAATGTTATGCATAGACGCTGTGTCAGGCTTGGGCACCGTTGATTAATTTTAGAATTTTTTTATGAGGTGGGTTAAGCAGATTGTCATTAGTAACACCGTGGGTTTAGGTAGACACTGGAAGCTTTTGATTTGCAAGAAATTGTCGGCAAGATTTTTGTATTTTAATAATTGTGGTCTATGAGCTTGCGTATGTCGCTCAGGGTGGCCAGTTAACCTGCAACACTATCAGCAGTTTATATCAAATAGATGCACAGTGTGTATATGTAAAACTATGAGCAGTTCTATTATTCTAACTGTATATTATTGTCAGAAATCTGGTGTACAGTGCCGCTTCCTCCCCCGTTTGTTGTAAATATCTGACAGTTTCCAGTAAGGTCCAAAAGGTGATTGGCCTTTGTCGGAAAGGTAAAGACCTTTTGGCACGAACGGAAGCAAACAACCTTTAAAATGGCATCTTCTTGTACATACAACCAAAGTCGAGTGCTTTTGGTTTGACAATTTTTGACATTATCCTAAAGGTCAGTCAAACAATATAAATAAAAGCCAGACGATGGCGATTGCATGTCACGTAAACATACACAACAGTCACTCGTAGACGGTTGCTGTTGCCGTACTGATAGGTAATTGGTTTTGCCGGGGACTGATTCGTCTGTCGTGTAACTACGAGCCTGTCCGTACATCAATCATTACTCAACCACATGCAGATACCCATACCCCATGACCCATTCATCGAATACGTCGTCTATTTTAAAAAAGCACTGGTACTGTCCAGCGTCACCTTTGGTGACCTTGTTAAACACTAGCGTAGAGTGGCAATGGCAATCCGCAGAAGTTCCACTGTGCATAGCACCACCAATCTCCGCCTCTTTAAACGCTGGTATGCCAGTGGCAAATAACAGATGCTGATCCTTGCGCCAAATAAATCGCCTGCCATACTCCCAGTGTAGTAGCGGATTGTTGTTGTACCTCACTGAGCAACGCAAGCTAGCTTCCTCCCCAACTTTAGCGGTAACGTTGCCCATTGGGGGATCAAGTACCTGGTTCGGAAATAATCGAGGGCTGATTACGAAGCGTTGGGTTACGGTAAAGTTATTGCCGTCTGCCCTCAGACATTCGTATGTACCAGCATGGGAATGAGAAAACTCGGTCAGTTTAATTTGAAAGTGGCCTGTTGTGTTATAGTCTTTTGGTTTGATGACTTGCATACTGTCTGCCGGGGGTGCTTTAAAGCGGGACTCAGGGTTGCAGCAGCGATAAGTCTTTTCCCGCCAATCGTTCAAGAAGGCATGCGTAAAATTCAGTAGCTTTCCATTGAAGCGAATAAGCGGAGTTGGCGACAATGGACCGGTCCCAATGGAGCGGCATTGTAAAACTATGTCTATGCCTTGTGACATCCTTATCACAATATCATCTGGTCGAATGGTGGCCGGAAAGTACGGCCGAGGTTTCGACATGTTTTTCATCACAATTATTCCGTGGTTACCACCGGATAAGGCTACCACTTCATCCAGATATCGCCGTACTGTAAAATATAAAAAATTAGTGCAACCTGCATGCATTGGCAGCTGGAGCGTAGCAGGTTAACTTTCCGTTGTTTACTAAAAATAAATCGTTTCTCGCAAATTCCTGCCTGTTTTAGGCAGATCGAGTGTACACCGATCGAATAATCTGTACATTTGCTGTTTGTGATAGCTTCTTTTAATATTTTCAAAATTGTTTGATTGTTCTGCAAATGCAACCTTCTCTTTTAAACTTTTTATAAACGGTATAAACGAAGCCTTTTATGTCTGATCCTAAAAAATATGGGATAAATACCCGTAGTACACAAAATGGAAGAAAGAACTCTTAATCTCGAAATTAAAAGTTATAGTCATTCTACAAAAACCAGCAAAACAAATTCACCATGAGCCACGCAGAATAGCAAAGCATGGGAGACACAGACCGATGCTTTACTAAATTTTAAAATTTTACAGAACCATGTACGTAAGTAAGTACGAAGTACTTCGCATGGGGCCTTAAGCTTTCCCCTCATGCAGCACGGGAAACTTTGTTTTCCCCCGCACATGTGCCGCTTAGTCGCTTACACGCTTAAAGCTGACTGCAGTTTAAAGCCGCGTGCGCTGCGGCAACACGTTTGCCTTCATCTGAGTTGCGCAACTGGATATGCCGAGTTGGCCAGAAACCGGTTTTTTAGCTGCAGCCAACTTTAGGCTGCATTCGTGTAAGCGACTAAGCGGCACATATGCGGGGGAAAACGAAATTTCCCGTACTATATGAGGGGAAAACTTAAGGCCCCATGCGAAGTACTCTGTACTATTAAAAGCTGTAATAGTTGCAGAGCTAGCAATTCAAGATCTATATTTAAATAAATAAAGTTTTCTCAATCGGTTTACGCAAGTCATAGAATATTTTACTGCTCTGATGGTTTTGCCAAAATAAATAACTAGAAATCAAAGTTGATTTTAATATGCGTATTTAGTTACCTTTTTCCTGAGGGTTAATGGTTGTATTAGCAACCGTATGATCCATGTAAGCGCGCTTAGTACTGACAGGGCACGAGGCAACAAAGCACAGGCAATAAAGCGACAATATTTCTGCGAATATCTCCCATAAACGCATACCTTGTGCCTTAGAAGTTAGAAGTCGTAGACAGTGTCTGACCTTGAACGTAAACGACTGAACTTAACACTGAACTTGACTGAACTTTATGCGCTCGTACTTCAAGATTTTTCTCAGCGTTTCAAGGTACTATTGTATTATAATCTCGACTGAAGTATTCTAGATCATGGGATCATGAAGTACGTACGTACTTGTGACAGCAGTATAAAATTAATAATTATGTGCTTCTGTAGTTATTATTTGCAATAATATTATTAATGCTATATAAAGTATCACTCTACCATAGCACTTACCTAAAATGAGTACTGCTTGTATTTTCTTACTTATACTTGGTATACACTGCTGTTGTCTCCTGGAGTTTGACGCCTGGTAACATTGTAACTAACATTAAGTAAGCATCGATTGTGGCGTATCGCCGTATAAATTAGTGAGTCTCTACGCGCATCAACAGAGGAAAATTTCCAGGCGATCATAAAATTCTGTACAACAATATTACAATCTGCACAATCTATAATAGTATTGGTTGGTAACGTTGGTTGTGCCACGTACAGCAATTATTTGCTGGCATTGCTGCTTAATTGTAACATATTGAGCTCCCTTATTAATAATTTTTATGTTTCTTCTTCACTTATTGTAAAACAAAGTCACAGCACAGCTGCCAAAAAAAACAACATGAACAACATACCGTAATTATTGAATTAGAGCCCCAGGGTAACAAATATTTCAACCGCCTTACGGGGTGGGCTCCAATTACGGGCATGGGCTTGTACGTATTTCGGAGGGGGCTTCAGTTTTTCAAACTACTTTTTTGGCATTGGCTAATATAGGCTGTATAGCATTTAATTAAGCCCATGGGCTTATATTTCGGGGGGAGCTTATAACTTTCAAATGACCCTAAGGGTGGGCTCAAATTACGGAGGGAGCTGCTATTTTGGGGGAGCTTATAATTCGATAATTACGGTAAACAACTTGAGCTCCCGATTTTGCCAGGCCACTCTGAGCCTGTATTACTTTGATTAATAGTATGCATAGAAGAAGCTTGAAAGGACTGCTTAACGAAATGCGATCATCGTGCAATATTCCGTGGATATGTAGCGAATGCAGAGTACAGACAACGGAGTAACATTTTCCCATAAATTTTGGCATAACGCGACTTCGCTTTCCAGCTTTTTTCCAAAGCAATCCATGGGTGTTTTTGTTGCCTTTCTGGAGCTCGTTCTAATCGAACTACTGATACCGGGTTCCACTTTGACGAGACCGTTGTCCATAATACGCTGTACGGACGAATTCACTTGGAAAAGACTGACAGCAAGCACGATACGCACGGATCAATCTGGAGAAGATGATGTAGGCATGCAAACAAAAATTAGTCTTAACAGTAGCGCAGAGACGCCCAGGAAAATATGCTTGGTTGGTCGGACTAGCGTATTGCACAATCTCCATGGGCTCCATTCTCATCCTTTGGAGACTGGAAGCCAACGCCTCAAAACCCAAAAGCAAGCCTGCGTTAAATTCATAAAACAAAAGCTTTACCGTGTGAATATTCTAACAAACACTTCTTTAAAGAACAGGAAATGCGCCTTTACGGCAGGCTTGCTTTTGGGTTTTCAATTTCAATATTTCAATCTGAAGGTTTAATTACTCGAGGAAATGGAAAAGACTAAAGAAGGCCGAAAATCGGCGACTTTCAAACTGGGAAAGCCATGCACTAAAGCCAACCAGTCCCAGCGCAATCAAAAGATGCTGGAGAACCTAATACCATCACTACACGTAGAGATCCATCGCTAAATGCGGACAAGTGCTGGAGAATTTGTCGGGTGAGTCCCGACATGCGGCTGAAGATGCTGATGACAAGAACGACGAGGTAAGCCGTACATTGTGACCGATCGTACCGAATCCGGTAGAAACTTATCTTTATACTGACCTTTATATATACTAAGTAATTCTGACGTTAAAAAAATACACGATGAATAACCTTTGCTCATGGCTGGCTGCACCGTAATTATACAGGTTTGCACTATGACGGTGCCAAAATTTTAATCATTTACATAAATCCCGGGAGCGATCTGTACGTAAGTGCATAATAACTATGACCACCTGACAGCAAGGAAAGCGAATTCAGGACGTTGTAACTTTGTACTGTACTGTATCAGTACATCACGATGCGAGTGTGTTGCATTCTGATACAGGCATCGCGTTTAATCTCTCATAGTGTATTTATGTAAACGTGCAGTACGCGGTGCCGGTTGCGCTCCCTGTTGGATGTGGCTCCATTCTGTGTGTTCTCCTCCTCCACAAACAGCTGTAGGCGAAGTTGATCGGTACCGATAGGCCACCCAGCGTACGCATATACATCCAGCATTATGTATACGCGTATCCTGCGTACGCGCTCCTCATGGTACAGGCTCAACTCTCTAGAACTGCGCTGCGCACTGACGAGTTGACTGTGTTTAGCTTCCGCTAACCAAACCAGTCTTTAGCAATTACCCTGTTTGTTTTTCTTTCCTTCCGCTAATTCCCAACTGCTGCCTTTTGCTCAAACAGCATACACATAAGAATTACTACTTTTTACTTCCTATCATTCGGTTACTGACTATCCATTCCGCTGTGCTTGGGTGTTTCCGGGATATTTGTCAACGGGAAATTCTTCGGCAATTATTATTGGTTGTGAAGTTTGAATTTTGAAGCTGTTGTTGATGAGGATAAATGTATTCGGCGATACGCGGTAAGTTATCGGCATTTCCGCCTAAAATGTGTAGGTACATTTCGTGCAACGTTTCAATGGATTTGTTGATGTATGTCCAGAATACAGATAGATTTATTAACATAAATAACCGGTACAAGTTACGGTTTTATCGAATGTACCGGGTCGGTCTTTACGGCTTACAACAGATGGCGAGCGGAAACCGCATACAACACCGATTATCGTGCCTAATACCCGTGCAACACAAGTAGATACAATAGCGAAAATCCCGAATAGCCCCATCAATACGCGACACTGTCCCGCACCATCCACCACACAGTACATAAATTCTTTCCCTCTCTCGTCCTCTGTCAATCTCTCATTATGATGAACATGCAACGGGCCGTGTACACAAGCCGAAAAGCAGCATTGTACACACTCTCGTTGTGGGGCCACTGTATACACATCACTCATGATACGCTTCCGCTGGTGAGAGTGTATAAAAAAACCCGGCGAAAGGGACCACTTAGACGGTTTGTGTGCTGTTGTGTGTGTACAGCGCTGCATGTGGACATAGTTATACACATAGAAACAGCACAGCACACACGGATCCCTGCACATGTTGGCCATATTCACCGGGAACAATTTGCATCGATCGCTGCCATAGACTGACTGCAGTGCGCGCCGGAAAGTAGGTTGACCCAATGTGGAATTATATATATCTTTTATATTGCGTGCTACATTGGCGAGATCAATGTGGGCGCCCGTAAATTCACACAGATTATGTATTGGTCGGTTGGTGAAGAATTTTCTGCTTTTGCCCGCCGTGGAACCTCTGCCAACGTCCAGGGTCCGATTAACGGCATGATGCAATCACCGCCGGATGCAGCCATCTTTCACCGCCGACATTAGGCTGAAAAAAGCATTCCGACATTAAAATGACGCACATGGGCGGTTCTCGTTACATGCCTTATTAAATCGAATTTCCGCGGCTGCGCTGCAAGACGATTCCGCATTAACATTCTTGCCGTATCCACGCACTTCCGTTAGTTCCTTAGCAAGTCAATATCCTGTACGTTGCGTACAAAACTGTGAAATAAAATTTAATTTTTTGAGTGGTCACAATCTGCGTAATTATTTTAAACTCAGAACGGTTTTTTTAAAAAGTCTAGAACAACATACAAATTAATCATGTTTTTAGTAGAAATTCGGGACGTTCTTTCGTTTCTGTATAATGTTGGAAATTCTGAAAAAATTACCGAATAAAATGGGTTTCTTTGGTTTTTTAAATGACTTTGCTTTTCGGGAACATGTCACATGGTTTATACTTTGTAATGTTTCCGATCTGAAATGTACACCCGAGGTTACAAAATAGAGCAGAGCGGCATCCATTCCACATTCTCAAATATATTTCTGGCAACCGGTACACTGGCGGAATCAGTGTGTGTGAAGCGCGTGCTTGATGAGGTTGTAGCCAATTATAGTACCCACACAGAACTGTCGAGGTTTATTTTTATGGAGCACCGGGCTAACACGCAGTGCACCGTAACGCTGGCTTGTACGTACTCGCATACATACCCGGGATCAACACTCGCGCACAGCGCTCTCGCTGCTCTCTGCCTCACACTCCTTACACCATCCACACACACACACACACACACTCATCCCGCGTTGCATCTCCATCTTTTGCCATTGATCGCATTTTTCACTGGGCCGCTTAACCAGCTTATTAAACCGATTCAACTTGTCAGATGTGGAAGGCAAACTTTCGCACATACCGCACAATTATCGTGGCTGTGCCGCTGTACCGTTAATAATCCCCACATCCGGCGGATCCTGATTAAAATTTGTATTATTTATTTAATGTAGCCATACATATGCATACATCCACACACATGGCGCGGCTGTGTACACGCCGGCGTTGATGGGGCGCAGAGATTTGTTTGTCCACGACGCAATCAGCAGTAATGACATGCCCGGCATTGTGCAGCGCTCGCTCGGGTACAGCAGCACATTGATGGAGTCAACTGGCATTTAATAATGATGGCGTTCTTCCTCTGGTTTGGCAGGCATATTTTGATCGATGACGGTCGTCGGTTCCCCGGGGACACGACGGCAATGAGGATTGACCGGCGTGCAAACAGCCACTCTGTACATACATAACCGCAACTTGACCCCCGCGGGCGAATCTCCCGTTATCTTAAAAGCCGGCCGCTTTTCCTTCCAACCATGTCGAAAGTCAAAGGAGACGGTCCGGATGATCTGCTGGAGATGCTGAAAGACGACCCCTACTCCTGTGTGCACAATCAGCAGGGCCGGGTGTGGTGGTATTTTCTCCTGTCCAGCGTCTTCTCTCTCATCGCCTGTGTCCTGCTGGTGCTGGGATGGCGGTGTTTGAGTTATCTGGCGGAGATCTGCTGTCGTGGGAGGAAAAAGAAACCACCGGCACTGGCGGATCCCGTGGCGGCGGGATACGTAAAGGCTCCCCAGGGGAAGGAGCCCACCTCCCCCGGGGACGGCAGCACCAAGGGCAGCCCGACGGGGGGCCCCACCAAGGAGGCCGCTCCGCCTCCCGCGGAGATTGGCTGGTCGTCGGAGGCCAAGGATTGGGCGGGGCAGCTCATTTCCGGACAGACCAGTACCGGTCGGGTTCTGGTAAGTTTCGCTTTCTTGGATAATAATATTTCAAAACTGCGGGTATAAATCTAATTGTACAGTACATAAAATGAACTCTGTTTTTTATTCCTTTTTTGGTAGTATGATTTCTTATGGCAAATCAGTTAAACCTTTGTTCTATAAATAAACGCGGCGCTCCGATTTTCTTAGGTTTCTTATATCTTTAGCTTTCTACATTTCTTTGGTTTCCTAAGATAAAAAGGTGACGCTGCAGTTATTTAAAAGAGCAAATATTTTGTTCGCTAAAAGCTTTTCGTAGGTTCAACTTGGCTTCTTAAGTGGTTTCTGAATTTTGTAGTGACGGTTTATCAGTTTCCAGAAGAATCGTAGCTGCGCGTGCAAAACTGAAATATCGATAGTAATTTTTATCGAATCGGTGTAGTAGCGCAAAGGTCGCCAATTCCATTCACCATCGAGTAACATTAAGTATCTCATTCACCTTTGGAAAATTTACTTGATATTATCTGTTGGAAGAAGGTTACCCAAATGTTTCGAAACATATGCCAGCGTTTGGCTGTCGATACAACGTACAAAGTTTAAACATCGCTCGGTGCGTCGAACGCAATCCACCTGATGCAATTGTCGGTGGTAACAAGTTTAACCAGATAAAGAGATCAGGACCCGGGCGACAAGCGATGCTCGATTAATTCTCCCCTCTCCAGTCGAGCGTCGGGGAATGTCATTGGCGCGATCGATACAATCATCGTGTCTGTGCTGCGTCATCCGCTCTCTACGTGTGTTGCATAAGTGTGGAGACACCGCCAGCTGCCGGTGTTCTTCACAATCCTTCAACTGTAGTCAAGAAGATGTTCCACCGAAAACAGATAGCTAGTTGCCATCCAACATGACACCGGTGGGGGTAAGCTACTCCATCAGGCTAATTACTGGTCCTCCCGCTGGAGACAATTAAGCACGCCAGGAAAAATTGCCACAGCAGCGAGTGTAAACACCGCATTAATCAGCGACAGTGGTTGGAGCAGAAACTGCGCGCCAGACACCTGTGCAACTAAAACGCGCGGCTGGATCAATATATGCTGATTGAAGTGGTTGCGCCGGTTTTCGGCTAAAAATGCCGGAGACAGTCAGGTGATGTGGCCGGGGAAATGGAACATCCGTAATGGTATTGAACCGGGGTTATGCTCCATTATCACTTGAGGGAACCCCATCGTTTTTCAATCAGGCTATTCGCAAGGACATTAATAACCTGTCAAAATGCGCTGTACATAAGCAGCCAACTTCTTGCTTTAAATTGCGATTCAATTTTCCTGTGAAACTCTTGTGATTCTGCAGAAAAAGACAGCCAAATTATTCCGCAAGAAAGCGGTTAGATTTTTTAGAAATTGGTAGGCAATTGGCGCCATGTCGATGGAAATCAATCGAACAAACATGCAAGCCGGTAATTAAACGCTGTTGATAGGCATAATGATGGCGCTGTAATTCTTCGCGCTGGTCGTTTAGCTGACAGGTTTATGACGCCTTGCGTGCGCGCTGCGTCATGAAACTTTTTTCCTATAATCTGCAATTAGGTTCACTGTGTAGCTGACTCATCTCCAGTTTTGTGCATATATCCACAACGTCAGTCAGCAGGATGAAAGGTATCCCAGCGCCGTATATTTTTACCCGGTTTCTTGCGACAGAAGTTGTACACGTCAGCCAAAGGAAACCTGATCGGTTGAGTAATCGGGAGAAGGTGTAAGGCGAGATGTGAAAGGGAGACGAAAGGGCAGCCAGAAGAATGTTACGGAAATAGAGGTCGCGGGGGCGACACGGCCAGGGTCGCGCTGACATTGAGCGGTGTCACCGGTCGAATACAGATAGACGGACATGCGCCATCTTTGGACTGAATTTGTCGGCTGACAGAGGCTACCATTTTATTAGACCCACGACTCACTTTCGCGCAAACCCAAAAACAGTTCCTCTGTATTCGTCTGCAGCATTCGGTACCTAAGCAATTTCTGTATAAGGGCGAGAAATCGGTTCAAATAACCGAGCCATCCGTTTCCTTAAATAAGGCAGATCAAAATGTTGTACCAAATGTCATGGTCTTGTCCATTCTTTTTTAACCATGTACAGGTCATTTTCCTTAAGTCGAAGCAGCAACAACGAGTAACAAATTACTTGCATTTTCAGTGCTTATCGCTTTGATTGTGCCGAAACTTCCGGTTGGCACGTCGTCTTCTTATAAGGTTTCCTAATCGTTACAAGATAACGTCAAAGCAAATCATTTTAGCAATATTATTTAATATTAATATTCTTCCGTCTGCGGTTAGCGCTGTAAACGTTTTCGGTACTCAGGTGTAATTTTCAAAGCCCAAGTCGGAATGAATATTTTAAATCATCTAACTAACATCTAGCACTTTCCATTCCCTGATAGTGTTCGATGCAGGAAAACCGCTACCGTAATGCACAAGGTTTTGTTTAGGTTGGTGTGCGGGGTTGTCGTGAGAAAGTAGCATTGTTGACCTTTCTCGGCATGGTCAGCCGAAGATCAGCGTGCTGGTGTGTTGATTGTATAAATATCGATGGCTTTTTTCTTCCGTGCTTGCATAATTCGGCAGGATTTGACACATGGCACAGCGGACGGCTCGTGTCTGACGTCGGAGAATGTCAGGGGAGATCGCTCGAGCTGTGCCATATTATATATACGCAGAGGTTTTATCCGTGCGGCGAAATGTCTGCGCTGCGGTAACGTCGCTGCTGCTTCTGGCTTGCAGCGGATGAGATATTTGTGTGCAGCTGTTTGATTTGTTTACACGGAAGAGACACGCTAGAATCAGCAGTTTGTACAGGAATAAAACACATCGCCGTGCCACCACGCAATCCCATGTTGTGGCAGTAGTTTGCGTAATCACATAAGACTGTAATGTTTTTTGTTTAAACTCATTAATAACTAAACCGAAAAAACAAAATTCTGAATTTTATCTTTTTCCAGGTCATCCTTTTCTTCTATTCTAAAAATCTATATACACATCTATGTGAATTAATTTTTTTGTGCTTTTATGTATAATTTTTGTTTTTGTCGCTGTCATAATTCTGAGCTGAATGGTTATTACAGATATGCACTGACTGTTTAAAACGCATTCATAATGTTTACGCTAACAATTTTGCACTTTACATTTTTTTCGTTAAATGTATTTTGAAATGATATGGTCGTATAATTGTTTATTAACGAAAGTCTTTTTTCTTGCAGGTTTTATTGGTGTTCTTGTTGAGCATTGCTTCCCTCGTGATTTACTTTATCGACGCTACCAGGTAAGAAATTCAATGCCGCCGCCCGTATCAATTCGGTAAATTAAATTAGCGTGATGCACTGTCGATAAAAACGTGCCCGCACTGTTTGGTGTGGAGCTGAGCGTTAAACGGGATGTGATTTTGATGCGCTGAAGTGGGAGTGTGCGTCACATTGCAGGGCCATCGACGTGGAAACTTGCCGGCAGTGGGTGGAGAGCACCACACTGCAAATTGATTTAGCCTGCAACATTTTCTTCATGGTCTACTTCTGCATCAGGGTAAGTGCAGTCAGGGATCCACTTTTCTACACGAATGTTTTTTCCCAAGTACAACAAAATCACGTTGCGTCGGTGTTTACTAAAAACTGGATGCGAATATCATATTCGTATTGGTGTCACAAAATTCTTTTTTGATTTAAACTGTTCTAATACAGAGGATGTAATTAATATTTCCGATATAATAATTATAAGTTACAGATACAGTACATGTATATAATAATAATTACTAAAAAACTGCAAGTACTTCGTAATTAATTTAATTACTTTAAATACGAAGACTGCAAAAACCAAGCTTATAAAACGCAAGAAAAATATAAGGCACAAATAGTTGCAATGGTGTAGTGTAGATTACGCTAGCGGAAGCGAGAAATGTATCCGAGAGAATGAATGCATTAGCTAATGGCTGTTTTCCTCGTGAACAGTTCATCGCCGCCGGTGATAAATTCTGGTTTCTGTTGGATCGTTTTTCGCTTGTGGATTACGCCACAATTCCGCCGTCGTTCCTGTCCATTTATCTCAATCGCGGATGGATTGGTAATTTTTCACTAAACGACTAGATTCATCTCGTCAGCGTCATTAAGCTAAATTTCCCGATGAGTATCGCTGATGAAATTTTTTCGCAAGATTTTCGGTTTGCGACTTTCTTTACGTGCACTTTTGAAATCAGTATTTCTAATGATTTTCATTGGCTAATATCAGTATTTTCTAAATTAGAGGGAAAAAAAAATTTCTTTAATTTTCTTTTAAACGCCTGTAATGTCAAGTGCAGCTTTACGTTTATGTGTTTAACGAACTACCTAACCACCAGCGTGCGGCACTAGCCATTGTACTACAATAATCGGCACAAAATACCATTAGTTGTTTGATAACGCAACGTCTCCACTCTCCAGATAGAATATTTTGCCGTAGAAGTAGTGTTTACTGGTGAATCTGGAATGTTGCTCCGAAAACCGTTCGCAATAATACATCAGATCCAGATGATACAGCGTGAATGTCATTAATGCTTCGTAGGACTGCGGTTTCTGCGAGCCCTGCGGCTGATGACGGTGCCGGATATTCTGCAGTATTTGAACATCTTGAAGACGAGCAGCAGTATCCGATTAGCCCAGCTGGTGTCCACCTTTGTCAGTGGCTGGCTGACCTTTGCCGGAGCCATTCACTTGGTACGTCATAATCTTTGCTAACGAATACTCGAAACTGTAATTTTCGCTATCACAGTAATTTCGCGCAAATTGTGGCTTCTGTTCGCTGATGTACTTCGGTGTTGGTGTTGTTAGCTGGAGAATTCGGGTGATTTCTTCTACGACCACACCAACGCTCAGCACCTGACCTACTGGCAATGCGTGTACTTCCTGATTGTCACGATGTCCACTGTAGGCTACGGCGACATCTTCTGTAAAACGGTGCTGGGCAAGATCGTCAACGCCATCTTCATCCTCGTCGGCTTGGTAAGTCAGTCTATAACAGATTATGTTGAGAATTTCCGAGGCAAACGTCCGGTACTCTGTAGGCCATGTTTGCCAGTTATGTGCCGGAGATATTCGAGCTAATTGGCACCCGACCGAAATACAGCGGAGAACACAATCGCGAGCACGGCAAACGCCACATTGTCGTCTGCGGACACATCACCTACGAGTCGGTGTCGCATTTCTTGAAGGATTTCTTGCACGAAGATCGCGAGGATGTTGACGTGGAGGTGGTCTTCCTGCATCGGTAAATAAGCGTCATTAGAAAAATATAAGAAATAGTAGAAACATATAAGAAACCAAAAGCATAAACAAAACTAAACTGAAATCAAAAAATACTTTAAAAAGAATTAGGTTCTGGAGGATTCACATCTCGAAAGTAATTGCCGATTTACTTGGATAATAATGATTGCGTTTCATAATTTCAAAATAAAAATAAACCGAAAAGCGGAGAAAGTTTTAAAAATGTGTTGTAGAAAACCGCCGGATCTGGAGCTGGAGGGCTTGTTCAAACGCCATTTCACCACCGTGGAATTTTTGCAAGGTTCGGTGATGAACACCAACGACCTGAACCGCGCCAAGACCGACCAGGCCGACGGCGTGCTGGTCATCGCCAACAAGTACTGCGCCGATCCGGACGCGGAGGACGCCGCTAATATTATGCGCGTCATCTCCATCAAGAACTACTGCTCCGAGATACGCGTCATCATCCAGCTGATGCAGTATCATAATAAGGTCGGTGCCGACTATTCTAAACCTACCTACTAATACACTTCATTAGCTTGTCAGCCTTAAAATTTATTTTTCACGGTGCAAACTTTACGTTATATTGCTACACTTTAAATCCCGGTTATATATTGTGATTGGAATCGATTAAAAAGATCCAAAACACCGATAATGTGTTAGAAACTTCCAAAACAGAATAATGAATTTGTACTTTATGCAAAGATTTTCCCGTACAGTAATTAAACTACGTACTTGCAAAAACAGTTTTATTTAAGACGCCTTTAAATACTTTTATGAAAATTACAGTACGTGCAGAGATAAAGAATTAGTTAAATCGACAGTCCGTACGTACAAGCATCGGTAAATATATTGCATTCTTGTGAGTGTTTTTCAATTACATTCCACTGATGGGATCATTAGCGATGCGCGTTGTAAAAACACCCGACCCACTCTTTGCGCGTAGATTAGGCAATTAAGCCGGTCACGAGCGTCATTTCCGCCTGCGCGCTTGTACACGCGGACCTTGACCGCGCGGTGAACAGTCCCATTAAAACTGCTCATGTCGTTACAACGGCCAACATGTTTTCTCTCTCGCACCGCACACATAGGCCTACTTGCTGAACATTCCCAGCTGGAACTGGAAGAAGGGCGACGACGTCATCTGTCTGGCGGAGCTGAAGTTGGGCTTTATTGCGCAGAGCTGCCTGGCGCCGGGATTCTCCACCTTAATGGCCAATTTATTTGCCATGCGCTCCTATAAATCGGTATGTGTGTGCAACTAACAATTCGATACACAACAGTCTACAACGCTTTTTTATCGCTGCCGGCCATGGGTGCAGTTTGTGCGGTGCACGATCGATAATCTACTTGATGACATTCCGTGGCTTTAGCGGATCAACCGAGCGGCTTTTCCGCCACATTTATTTTATACTGACGTTGTAATGCAACTTAATCTAGTAAACTTAATGACTAAAATAATTTATTATACTATACTTTAAATCTAATTCACTGGCCAAGCAGAGCACCTAAGAACCGAATTGCGAGAAAAAAGTTTGCCGACCTTCGCTGGTGTGTTTTACACAAGAGCAATTTGGGAATTCTCTAGGCTAACTTTCGTTTCTCCTATTTTTAGTTACTTTTTTTAAAAATTTGTGTATTTTAATTTGGTTTTTGTTGCAGTCGGCGGAATTAGCAGAGTGGCAGAACGATTATCTACGCGGCACCGGCATGGAGATGTACACGGAGAATCTGAGCAATTCCTTCGTCGGAATGACCTTCCCGCAGGCGGCCGAGTAGGACGTGCCAAATTAACGCAAATCGCTGATCCCTAATCGAATAATGTCTCTCCTAGAATCTGCTTCATGAAGTTGAAGTTGTTGCTGTTAGCGATTGCCTTGAAAACCGACGACAACCAGGAGATCAACATCGCAATCAATCCCGGCGGCAATAATAACATCATCCGGCTGCAGACGCAGGGCTTCTTTGTCGCTCAATCGGCCGATGAAGTCAAAAGGTTCGACATTAATCGCATTTTACATACTTTTGTACTTCCTCGTACTGCTTTTTACGCTTTTTATAACAAATTACGGAATTCGCAAACCAGTGTTTTTGTAGTACGTAAAATAAGTGAAAATATACATTTTTATTTAAATAAACAATATAGTTTCCAGTTAAATAAGTTTATCAATCAAATAAGAAATTGTTTCTTTAATTAAAGATTTGTCTAGTTTATATACGTATTTACTGCTTGCGCGAAGAATATATTTCCAGATGCAGGACATTGCGTAAAACGTATATAGAGCACATTTCTTTGAATTGCTAATAGCGTGTAAAGCAAATAACTTGGAAATTCGCTTTTTTTCGACAGAGCCTGGGTCTACTGCAAACAATGCCACGATGACATCAAGGATGAATCGCTGATAAAAAAATGCAAATGCAAGAACTGTAAGTGCTGCGGCGATGTGACCGTTAAGCAAACGACCATGGAAGCTATCAAATGTATCTATCGTCGGCTCCATTAACGCTGCGCTATACACTCGTACCCAATCAGTCACATCGTTAATGCCTGTGCTCATATCCGGCGCAACTGGCCACAATCTCATGCCCATCGCACGCATGATAAATTATACAATTCCAGCCAGAATAACCGTGATACGCGTACTAAGCATAATGCATCGATCATGTAATGCCAAATCTGCCGTGTGTACTTAATCAGCATGGGTGTGTTTCTCTCTTTTCTCTGCTAGTGGCACTGTTTAGGAAGGGTGTGAAGGCTGTACAGATTCTCCAGCGGGCAAGTACGTGGCAAAACTGACCGTTAGTGTCTGTCAGAAAACCAGTCCTATGCTCTCGCGTGCTCGTGACCGTGTCTGTAGCCTGTCTTCCAAACCGTCTCGTTGTGCCTGTACAATCCGCTGTCATTTCTGTAGTCTTGGAGTAGTGGTTGTACTGAGTGTTGTGGCCCATAGTGTGTGTTCTTCTGGTACCATGATATCCAGCCTGGCTCGGTGCAGCAAGTGACCTTTCGCCCCTCTTGAACATGCTCAACCGGGTTCGAATTCGCCGCGACTGTACATAAATGGAGTATACTCGATGAAGCGAGCGTTGCTACCTGCTTGATTCGCTTGGCTTTTGGCCATCACTTTGCACAGTATCATTCTTCACCGTTTTGTGGCCATTTTCCGTCTGGTTAAAATGCCTTTTATGATGCGTAAATTCCTTGTTATTAAACTTAAAGCAGAAATGACTTTCCTCTACATGTAATGCAGATTTTGTAAAGAATGTGATACTAAGAACGGTATTGAGTGTTTTATCGGAAGTTTACGCTTTTCGCTTATGCTGCTTTTGTTAGCAGTGAAGAACCGCAAAATCATTAATTCAAAGCAAGAACTGTAAACTGTTTTCCCTGATTTGCGTCATGCTGTTTCGTTGCACCTTGTGTTGCCTTTTGTTCTTGGCGCACTTCACCGGCGTTCAGCAGGGGAAGGATCCAGCTGTACCGAGTCAGGCGCCAGTTCCACGGAGAACCTGGCGCGTCCACCCACTGTTCTCCTTACAGATCCCAGCCTGCGCGCCGACTCACCGGCCGCCGGTACGACCGGCAAGCACAGTGGCGAGAACGCCCATCCGCAACCGGCGCTACTGGCCACGCTCAACAAACTCAAGGAGAAACAGATTCTCAAGAACAAAAACCAACAGGGTCAGCTGTACGGATACTCGCCCACAAGGTACCGTAAAACTTATATTCACCGTAATATTTTTAAAATAAATGATTGGTACAACAATGTTTCATTTAACAAAAAACTTCCTGAAGATACATATGCTTTTATTAATAATCATCGCGCAGTTATGGTAATAAAGAAAGAAACACGCTATATTAATCACAACAGCAAAACTTCGTTTAAACTATCCACTCCGTCCATCGTGCCAAGGATAGATGCTGCATTTCCGCGCTGAATCTCCAACGATAGTCGTTGACGCAGAAACTCATGTGATCGACGCTCTCCTGTGTGCTCCTGAAGTCTTTTGCCCAACTCCTTCACAATGGCGATAGCCGACGGGCCCCAGGGACCCATCGTCTCGAAGGCGATCGGAGAAAAAATGTAGCGCCCTTGCAGATAGGCGTACAGTCGGGACTTCTTTTCTTCTGCTTGTACAGCAGCAGCACCTGCCGTAATCGACGTAGACGGAAGGTGGGAAAGGGCCATTGTGTCGACGCACGTCACATCCCAGGCCAGACACATTCCTCTTTTTCCAGGCGAAAGTTGTACAGCCGTCAGGGCGTTGATCTGTTGTGGAGGACGTGCCGCGTGGTTCGAGCTTAGCAGGGACACCAGCTGAAACACAAGCGCGGCACACAATACTGTTAAGCCCTCCATGGCGCGCATGCCTACCGGCCGAGTAGGTGCATGATAAACCGTGGTGGCCCAACTTGTCAACATGTTTATCACATTTGGTGCAGTTATGTGGCTCGCAGATATCCGCTCCCAAACGCAGGCCAATCGAAATTTTCATCGTTTCGTCGTCGAGCAGGTTGCCGATGTGGGCTGAAGGAAGCGCATTCAGCCAAATACCGGCTTCCGGTCTGGACTGTGCAAGGAGACGGGCTGTGTTGACGCTGTCGCCGCGAAACAAGTCCAGTAAAACCGAAACTGACACATTACACAGCGGTAAGTCCCAAGTTTTCTGAAGCTTTCGGAAGGCAACTTCGGGCATTTCCGGTTGTCGGGCTTTACATTTCCACAATTCAATTGCTTCGGAAGCGTCCACAGCCGGTAGGTGAGGAAGCATCGACGATAACAAACAGGATACGGAGTGAATCGAAGCCAAAAAGGCTGGAAGTGATAATTCCTCCGCTCGTCGTATGCCGATACCTCCTCGACTGACTGGAAGAGTCGCTTGCCTCCAACATGGGTAGTCGTCGTGGTTCACCCGCACGTTACTGAGTTCTTGGAAACAGGAGCGCAATGACTCATCAATTTGATACAGCAGATGTGGCTGCTTCCAAGCATTGCAACATCTAAGCACATATATTATTTTCGGGGCACCCAAGCAGTGTCTGAGCAAATATAGTGCATGATGGCGAGGAAGAAGTTGCAGGCGCTCACAAGCTCTCCCTATTGCACTTGATTTCGCTTGCAATGAGTCTTCAATCGCATCGTCTAGAACCAGGGCACCGAGCAAGGTTAAAGTCGTACTGGACACAACACGGAGCTGGGGATGACGTGAAACGAAATCATTGATGACTCCCTGCCGTTCACTCTCTGAGCCTCCCGATACAAAGAGTTCACATTTAGCCTCATTAATCTCCAATCCAATGGAGCGTGCGCCTGTGATAACCCGTCCAAAATTTTCTGCTACTGTCGCCGGCTCTCCGCCCAGGGTTCCGTCATCAAGGTACCAAGCGTTGAGCACAGTATCCAGGGTAGCGATAACACGAAGCAATGCCAGGCAAAACAGCAGTGGGCCCAATGGGTCGCCTTGTTGTACTCCAGACTCGGACGAAAGCACCGTCTGATCGATGAACAAAGAAGAATGATGCCCATACGCTGACCAAAAGTAATCGTCGTATTCGGGGAAATGTTGATGCACCGCATCTAAAATCACTTCTCGGGATACAGTATTGAAAGCGTTGCGAAAATCGATCTTCACGAGCGCTTTAATGCTCTCCGGTGAGGACTGGATGAAATGCCTGGTGGCGTGAACGATGGCTTCAGCTCCGCCCCGGACGTTAAAACCAGACTGGTGAGGAGTGAGCAAAGCGGTTGCCCGGTCCGCCATCCTAGTGCACACGATTTTGGCAATTAGACGACGTAGTGACAGCCCTACTGCTATCGGGCGCAGCCCACCGTCCTTCTTCCGCAGCGCCAGTAATTTACCACCAAAGAAGATCGGCCGTATAACAGCGGGAATTTTACCTTGCTGAACCAGCGTCAACACAGAGGCAACGGATTCGCAAAAAGGTCCGCTTTGGTCATCTAGCTTTGAGCCCACCAAGTCCAGCAAATGTTGAGGCCTTAAACCGTCCGGACCTGCAGCTGAGCCCCGTGGGAAAGTGTGGATGGCAGCAAACACTTCTGCAGAAGTTATTATAGGCGCAGCGACAGCAGAAGTGGCGTGGCGAGCCGTAGACGGTGGGGGGCTTAAAGGGTGTTTCTCGCGCAAACTTTGGAGAACTTCGGGTGTACAGACGGCCACTGAATCTGTGGACAACAACACTCGCATAGCGCCGGAGATGGATCCATCATCGATCTTCTGGCCAACTTGCCGAACAAGATCCTCTTCGCTGCAGCGTTGTTTCCGACTAGTGGGCGGAGGGCTTGGGGGTAAATCTGTACCTTGTTCATACAAAGCCAGGTTTCTCTTCACTGCAGTTGCAAGTGAAGCTGAACGCTCGGATTTCACTTTTGCTGGCAGGCGGAGGGCATTCGGACAGAACGACAGCAGTTTAAACCAGGATTGGCTGTCGTTTTTGGTGGCGACCTGCTGGAGAACTTTCTGTAGAGAGGATCTCACTGCGGGTCTTGCACCATGAGGAATGCGGCGCAGTATTCGTTCTTTACACGGGTGGAAAGATGCGGCTAAAGGTGGGGCAGGAGCGGCACCTCCCGACTTACTGGACGTGGAGGTGGATGCAGCAGCACCGGCGGCGGCGATCGGGATAAGCTTCAGATCCCGCGATAGGGTTTTGGGGCAAACGGGTCTGTGGGATCCCCAAGCCTGCAACAGTTTACCGCAGCCAGAACAAGAAAACTGAGGCATGGTAGGACCATTCACCGTAGAGGTTCGCAGTTAAAGGAGCTGAAACTGAGGGACTTACGAGAAATCCGCTGGTGTGTCGCTGGATGTCTACGGGACAGCTGCCACCACACAGCCTCTGGAGAACAACAATCTACCAGACTAGGTCCCGTAGCCACCCTCCATACTGAATGACGGGAAATTTGTCATTCAGGGGCAAAAATCACGAGCCCATCACAAAAAATGAATAATTTTGATATGTAATCGTTTTGATATGTAATCGTTTTCTTTTTTGTGTGAAGATTGTAAAATATTTTGTAGTCCGCAAAGCCAGACGTCGCTTTTAGGCGAGCAAGAGCAGCGCCGAGGAGAACGTGATCGCGGCCGGCACGCCCACTTCGGACCCGCCAAGCACATCAGCCCTAGCGGCGGCAGCTACGAGGATGTGCAGGCCACGTACCACGAGTCCAGCCCCGGTCACCACGATGATTTCCACGGCGATGAGCATGGACCGGATTTCCGGCAGATTCGCTACGATTCCACCGGAATGTTCCACTGGTGTCCGGCGCGGCCCATGGAGGACGTTATAATGGTAATGCCGGAAATGTCGTCCATCAATAACATCGATATAAATCATATAAGCTTTTATTTGGTAGGACCGGCATCAAGCGGCGATGAATGTCCTGCACGGTCACTTGGTCGTGTGTTTGTTCGCCGATCCCGATTCGCCACTGGTGGGATTACGGAATTTGATTATGCCGCTGCGGGCTAGCAATTTCCACTACCACGAACTGAAGCACGTGGTCATTGTCGGGAATGCCGAATACATTCGTCGAGAATGGCGCAGCCTGCAGAATCTTCCCAAAATAACCATTCTCAATGTACGCCGCTCAGTTAAATCTTGTAACAGTCACGTACTGTTTTACCTTGATTGGGATTCTTTCACGAAGACCACCTAAAATAATCCTAATAATAATCGTAAAAGTCGTAAAAATAATCGTAAAAATCTAACTTTTTTATAACGTAATATTAATAAATAACACAATTCTTTTATAATACGGAAAATATTTGAATGTAGCTCTTTGATTTCAAGAATACTGTGTCGAGGTTGTTTCTAAGGCACATTATCTGTACTGAGAAAGGCGATCCGTGCAGTAATCACGCCATTTCACTACGATTAAACTAGTGAACACTGTGACGCATTCGTGAGCTGGGGCTTGTTATAATTATGGTGGTAACTACGGTCTGCCTTTAGTGCCATAACATCGTATTCGTTTTTGTACAAAGTCTAACTAAAATATTCGTATTTTTTAAGCCACTCATTATAAAGTGCGACGTTCGTGGATTGCAGTAATACTGCAAGCTTCCTCAGGTTCTCACCGTTATGTGCGTCTGTAGGGTTCTCCGTTGAGCCGTGCCGATCTGCGCGCAGTCAACGTCAACCTGTGCGACATGTGCTGCATCCTTTCGGCCAAGATCCCCAACAACGACGACCCCACGCTAGCCGACAAGGAGGCGATCCTGGCGTCGTTGAACATCAAAGCCATGCAGTTCGAGGAGACCATTGGTACGGTCGTTTAACTGCTCTGACTCTGATCGCTCTGTAACCTTAACTCTGCGGCATGTGCGGGTGACCCTTAAACTAACCTAACCGGCTTCTTGCTTGTAGGTGTTCTTAACCCCCGCGTCGGTATGTCCGTACCTGTGTAGACAGTGTGTTTCAAATGATAATTACGCTGTAGGCTACAACTTTCATCTCTCTCCGGCAGCCGACAATCCCGAATTCGCCAACGGACGCCTGATGACCCTGCAGCGGCGGGGATCGGTGTACGGGTCCAATGTGCCCATGATCACCGAATTAGGTAATTAGGCGCAGTTTCCCCTTTACAGATTTAGTTTGCGGTGACCTGTTTAATCTTTGCAGCAGCCGCCAACAGAATTATTTCTTGCTGCTACAAAGCTGTTTTAATTATTCTATTTTATTATAATTAATGCCATTGCTTAATTTTCAGTCGCTTTGCAAATACGTATGTAAGAAAGGGTTACTTCATTAATATTAGTTTCTTACAGAAAAAATTCAGCGGCTATTTTAACTGACGTAATATGCACATACGCACATCTGTACGTGTACGTGTCGGTGTACGGACTATCAGTTAACAGTTTTATATGGCCAAAGGTCACCGTTAACGCCCACACTAACGCTCTTTCTTGGCGTTGCAGTTAATGATTCCAATGTGCAGTTCCTGGACCAGGACGACGACGACGATCCGGACACGGAGCTGTACATGACGCAACCATTCGCCTGCGGGACGGCCTTCGCCGTCAGCGTACTCGATTCCTTGATGAGCACAGTACGTGTCCACATTTTTTGCACCTTATGCTAGAATTAGCAGTACTCGTAGTCTCGGAAATGGTGCAGCACTGGGCAAGCTTAGGGGTATTCCTCATCGAACTGCGAGAATAATCCGCTAATTTAATACCATGACTCATGGTGTTACGCCATTTGACATACATGTAAAAGAAATACATGTAAAAGAAAAAAATTTACAAAGAAAATGCTCTCCGTCATATTTTGACAGAAACTGAATAGTGTGGACTGTGCTACAAAACTAATCGAAGCTCGGTGAGCCACTGGACTACACTGTACACCAATTATGAGTGTTAAATCAACAGTCACTATTGATTAGTTGATGCAGGAGCTAGTACGAAATCAGTTAGCTTTTTCTGCACAAAATGTTTGCACTACGTAGAAGACAATAATTACTTATTGTTAGTTTATTGCATACGATTGCCCGCGGGAAGATATCTGAGCGGATTCTCGCTTACTAGCTATAGGAATAACTTTGAAAATCTATGCAGTAGAACTACGTACGTGCAGTACACGCTGGTATGTTTTGCAGACGTATTTTAACCCGAATGCCTTGACGCTGATCCGCACGATGATCACCGGGGGCGCCACGCCGGAACTGGAACTGATCCTGGCGGAGGGCGCCGGCCTCATCGGCGGCTACAGCACTGCTCAGACGCAGACCAACCGCGACCGCTGCCAGGTCAATCAAGTGCCCATCAGCCTCGGACACTTCGCCAAATTCGGGGTAAATGCAATCTTTTTATTATATTTTATGTAAATTGCTTATTGCCTAGTTAATCCCTTCAAATACTTTTTTAATCCAAAATTTTTCTAAAAATGTGCCCGATTATACTTTAAAAAACGGACACAGTGCCTTGACGAATTTATTCAGACAGACTACATAATCAAAATTTTAAAAATCCTGTGCACGCCAAAATATTTTGGTATATAAAGCCGGTCAGTGGCTCTTTAATATATCGTGACCTTTGTACAGAACGCCACCTACGGGGAGCTGTTCGTGGAGGCCATCCGGCAGTACGGGATGCTGTGCATCGGCATCTCCCGACTGCGCGACCTCAACGACAGCGGCACGCCGTCCTCCAAGCGCTACGTCATCACCAACCCGCAGGACGACTTCAAGATGTACCCCAGCGACAAGGTCTTCGTGCTGCAGCAGTTCGACCCGGGTATGGAGTACACGCCCACCCCCGGCGAGGAGGACAAGTACCCGCTGGTGCGGCCGCTCAACGGCGAGGCGCTCAACGCCGCTAGTAGTACGGCAGCCGCCCCCGGGACGGCGGCGGCCGGGGAGAACGGCAAGCGCAACGCCACGGCCCCGCCGCCGCTGCAGCCCGGCCAGCGGGATCCCAGCAGTCAGATCCTGCTGTGCAGTTCCCTCACCGATGGACCGTACTCCTACATTGCCTGATATATGCGAGCCGGTTGGATTATTGGGATTTTTAATTTACAAAAATAATTGAGGATGAAAATACTCCCGGGTGAAACTGGTCAGTGGGTGGTTATACTGGTTGTTGAACGGTGCAATTGATCTGTGATAATTATTTTGGTTACTTTTTCAAGCTGTATTTGGTCGCTTTTTATTGTGCTTAATGATATACGTGATACGGTATTGTATGATTACGCTACGAAAAAAAGGTCATGATGTCCACAAGGGGAAAGTGTATGAAAAAATAGCGAAAATTTGTGCGTTGCGCCAAACAGCACGCTATAATTCGTTAATGCGCTAATTACTGCTCGCTTTGCTACGTTGATGTTAAACCGTTACGGATACCGACGGAACCGACCACAGAACAGCCCTTCCACTACATTTTGCACTGCCTGCTGCGCTGCGTTACTCTGAACAATAACTGAGTTACAATTTAGTGAATGTACATTAAGATTAGTAAAGATATATAGTTAACAGAAAACAGCGCGGATTACTGTAGAGATATTACTGTATATGCAAATTACTGTAGAGAAGCTTATAAAAGCACGCTAACCGAAATATTAATACTGAGCCTTAATAGTTAATAGTCATGATATTAAGGATGCGAAGCCATTTATTACGATGATCAAGTTCCTGATGATAATTAAATAAGAATATCCATTCATGACATTTATTTGTTCTTACTGAGTGTTATTTTTTTCTGTTTAGCTCTGCAGTGAAATAACTAGATTTACCTTTGTATTCTGTTACGCTCTTTGTGTTTACCAAAATATTGCGTCGAGCAGGAAGATACCAACTGCTTCTGCCAGCCGACGAAATCGTCTGCCTCACACAGCATCGGTTATCTAGAAAATACGCTCAAGATTCCAAGCACATATTTATTTCTATCACATTTCCAAATATTATTCTATATCAAAGCTGTCGCAACGAATATTAACCGCATACACGAAACGACGGCAAATTACTGCTAAAACTTAAATTCACAACGACTATGGCTTTATATACAAATAAAAAACATATGTAAAACAACCGAGCGTGCGCGTACGGGTATGCATGTAAATACGGGTAAAAAATCTTAAACGGTGTAGAAAATGATCTCGGGTATTTGTCCGTCCTCCACGGACGTGCCGTTATTGTTACCGGGGGAGTAAATAAAGTTGAAGGTCACGGAGGAATCCTTCCCGATCACTTTCGTCACCTTCCGCGCTCCCCGCGTCCCGTAATGCGAATCCGGGCCCTGCACCAAGACACCATTACGACTTTACTTCAATTCATAAAATAACGTTATTCAGTACCACAACAAATTTTTTTAATTTTATCATTCGCTACAATTTAATCCACAATCCGCAGTCGAAAAACGCCAATTCACAGCTTTAAATCTGGAGGAAATTCATGACACGAAATTACGAGTATTTTATCGTGCAAGAAACATCTTGATCAAGGACCACTTCGTTCCGAGAAAAATGATTAAAATTAATACAGAATGATTAAGCAAGATTTTCATTTATTTTGTATTGTACCTTCTGTTCTAAGCTTCTAACCATATTATATTTTGTATTTATAACTGATTTTGTATATGCTGTTCTAATATTTAGCTGTTTTTCAAATTTTTCCGTGTTATTCTTGACTAAACTGCATTAAATCAGCTTTCTTGACTAAACCGTATTAAATCAGGTCTGCGTTACACGCAGCATCAAATTAGGGTGAAACGTAGTGAAATGGCAACAACGCACGGAAAAAAAACGGTCAATAGTTTCAGTACACAGTGTGTGTTTATCATGATACAACTTCATCGCAAAAAAAGTGTAAACAAGCAATACTTTTTTTTCTAACCACTGCTGGATGGATGACTGGACGAGCGCTTACCTTCAGGCAGGCGGAGATGGTGTAGTGCGTCTGCGCCATGATCTCCACGGGCTTCTTGAACATGACGCGGAAGACGGCCTCGGTGCCGTCGCTGGAGAAGGTGTTGTCGTGCTGGGCGACGACGCGCTGGTTGGAGGACAGGATGATCTGCAGGCTGACGCTGTACTCGGCCGGCCCGTGCACCGACCCGTACAGGCCCAGGCCCATCACGTAGATCTGCCGGTCCACCGTGAACCTAACCATAAACACACGATACAATACAACCAGGTCTGCCCGTTCTCAAATAAATTACAGATAAAAACCAGGCAATTCCGACCGCGTGACGGCCGGTGGAAATCAAGTACAACCGGCTTCGCTTAATTAACTGTTTATTATCTGGAAAGATTATTAAATATAATCAGAATATTATGACGATTGCTCGGTTTTTGAATTATTTTATATTGGTTACTTTTCGTATGATTATATGTTTTCTGCTTCGTTTCGGACGTTTTTCAGAGTACGGAAGAACGAGCAATTACGGTGCCAGCGCAACGAGAGCGCTGCTTGTGGTCAGCTGCGTTCTCTGTATATCGGCAACATTTGTAGTGTTGTGGCTCCGATTAAAGCACCAAAAGCCAGACATCACAAGGTTTAACCATTTCTAAAAGCAGTTGCATGTCTTGGTCTCGCATCTTTTTACCTGGCCTTGAAAGTCGCTACCCCCCATTGTTATATTCAGTTTTTACAATGCTACGGGCATTCAGCAGCCGTTGCTCACAATGTAACTTTTGCCTCCATCGCAATAAAAAAACTAACAAAAATTGGAAAACCGTATTAAAATTTTTTTAAAAAAATACAAAATAAACCGTACAGTGCTAATTTTGCGGCCTGGTTCGCTAAGCGACTAGTCCAGCTGCGTAGTCATTAGGACCTTACCGGATGCGGTCGGCGGTGCCGCTGTAGCCCCAGCGACTGTCGGTGGCCTGGAAGCGGTTGCAGACGTACTCCTTGCCGGCCACACAGCTGCGCGGCATACAGACGAAGCGTGTCTCCGGTTTGGGGTTCAGCGTGAAGTACAGGAAGAGCTCCTTCACCTCCTTGTCCGACAGCAGACCGCTCTGCACAAATCACAACATACCCATCAGCATCGCGATCAACACTGAGCCGACGAGAGCTCATTCCCGTCGTGTGATTACGATTATTTACACTGTCAACGTTATGCAGTGTTGTGGCTTTCTTGGTTATGCTCTATCACAACTTCTGAAGCCGAAGGCATTGGTGTCAATTCAGCCAAACGGAAGTTAAAAAAGCAACTGCCATTTTTTTAACAGAAATATTTCTTTTCAATTTAATTTTCTTAGGGAGGCCGGGAATACAATTTGAAATTATTGCTGATAATATTTGCTCCAAAAATATCTAGTGGTTGTTATTTAAGGGATTATTGAACCGTGTGCGCTCAGAATTACGATAAATCGAATCCAAATTAATCAACAACTTCAGTGAATTCCAAATTTAAAATTGATAAATAATTATTATCTCAATTTTATACGATTATATACTTAATAATTTCCTAATTAAAAAGGAGATTTGAAAATGTAGTCAAAAGTCGTAGTAACGCCTGTTATAATAAATTTTCGGAAAATACTCGTACCTGGGCTGGTCCGAGCGCGAATTCCTCGATGCTCATGACGGGAAAGCGGATGAGCTCCAGGGCGTTGGCCAGTACCTCACGCTTCCGTGCCGCGTCGACGATCTTGCCTTGCCGGACACATTCGTGCTCGGCCCACCTACCGGCATAATGTTGGTACACAATGCAGTTCATTCAGCCAATATTGGCGTAATCACTGATCCAAATGTCAAAACCTTAATCCAACGTAATTGCATTCAACACACAGCACAAACAAACACTTCCTGCAACCGGTTTAACAGCTGGTTTATGTACCGCGAAAATATAATAATCAGCATAATATTAGCTCAACAAACACCCGCAGAAATAATTCCGCCTTTTATGTTGCATCGGTTTGTCAATTTTAAAAAGAGCCGCAATTTTAAAATAACATTTTTCCGAGGATATTAAATTTTCTATAGCAGCACCTCAGTTAAACTGCGGTTCATATTGACGAATAGACACCGTTGTCCAAGAAATCTTGTTTTTATGGTTTCATTTACATGAAAAATGTTTTACCGCTCCGTTTGTAATTTGTATTTAGTTTTAATCACTTAAACTACAAAATTTCATTAATTTGATAGTCATTTAGTTATTTATTATTATTAATGCATTTTATTACTTAATTTGATGGTCATTTAGTTATTGATTTCTATTATTTTATTTCATTTTTATTTTGTAATTTAACTTAGTTCTATTTTTGGTGGTTATTTAGTTTTACTTATTCATTTATTTTTACAAACAAACAAAAACAGTGCTAAATCACTGTTAAATACAAAAACAACACTGTTAAAAATACACAAAAATACAATAACACTGTAAAATCACTTGGAATATAATTATCGCTGCCCGGACATTTTCACTTCAAGCAATAAATCTGTTTTTAATGAGCCAGTGCATTCACTAATTTCCATACACCGGAAGTAAGCTGCACGCGACGAACCGAGTGACAAACGCACTAATCGCGTTCGGGCCGGCTCGGCGCACGCGTTGCCGTGTGTTGTGTGCGTTTGCCGTGGCCCGCAACGGCCAACGGACAGCGCGAAGCCCATACGGTTAGCAACAGTTGCAAGATGCGATCACTCACTTGTCGGCGGCCTGGAAGAGCTTGTTCTCACGGATGTGCAGCGTGTCCCTCTCCAGCACCGAGCACAGCGTCTCGTGATCCAGCTCCAGGAAGCCCTCCGCCGTGATGGCCTCCCCCGTGTGCTTGTCGATCATCTCCAGACACAGGTTGGCCAGCTCCATCTCCGCGAACAGACGCGCCTGGACACATACATGCAAAGGGCAACGTTAATTTCACACTGCAAGCGATGGCCATAAAAACCTCTATAAAGTTGTTTAAATTCTAATGATTTAGATACAATTTAAATAATTTAAATTAAAATTAAATTAAATAACTGTAATTTAAATTACAATTAGAATATAATTATGTATATCTAAATTATACCTAATTTATTCGCATTTCGCAGCCACAGACAGTTCTCCTCCAAGTGTTTCGTCCAGCCATTAGTGCTGAGTTTACAAAGTATAAAATATCAGCTGCTCTTGTACGTATCCGTACATCGCTATTTTATAAACTTCGAAATTATGTTTCAAAAACACAAAGTCGACAATCTCAGGTAACCGACATAAGGGTTTACACCTAATATTAATATTTCGAATATTAACCTAAATTCATAAAATGCTAACAAAAATGCAGTAGGATCCAGAGTTCAAACTTTTATGTGTAATTTTGCTCATACTCGTATTTCAGCGATCAATTACAAATTGGGATTGCTGCATGATAGCATTTACTTACAGAAGAAGAAAGAAAACCCGGAAAAAAACGATGCTACGAATATTAGTAATTGACGAAAAAATATTAATATTTGACGGCATTACCTGGGTGACGAGGAGAAAGGCATTACTGGGGCAGAGATTATTCTTTAGAAACTGCACACACGCGGCTTGCAGCGCCGGAACGGCGTACTTCTTGGCCACATACAGCGTCGTCATCACAGAGTAATGCGTGATATCCCCCAGTTCATCCGTGTACAGAAACCTGCAAAAAATCTCCATAATTCCACAAAGCAATATGATTTGAAATTCAAACGCAAGCTAAATTTGTAGCCGCCGGAGGAATGCTAAAAAACGAAAAATTCATCAACCGCGAAAAACATCAACTAAAAATAAAAAATTCAGGAAACCATCACAAACATGTAATATAATTTGATGAATACATAACAAAATGAAAAGCAACATGAAAGTAAATACCGTAAAATTGCGTGTGAAATTTCAGTCGTTATTACCGCTACTTGCAAGGTTGCAATATATCAAAATCTGCAAGAATTACAAGAAATTACTGTACCACTACAAATACGGTACAAACTACTAAATTACTGAGATAATAATATTAAATAATGTATATCTTAAAAAGAATATTGCTTCATTTTGTGCAATTTATTTCAGAAAAATTGATGGCAAACAGATGATATAACAGCAGCATATTTTCTCCAGAAAAAAATCAAAAGAGAAAGCCAAAATTAAATACACTGCCATCAGACAGGCATTAGTGTAAATCACGAGTGCGGCAACTAGAATGATATAAAAATTAAGAATAATCCGCAATCGCGGTATTTAATGCGCTCACTTGAGAAGCGTGGCGAAGGCCGTGTGCTCGATATCAGGCAAGTGTATCTCCTTCTCTTTGGTGGCCAAGGGGCCGTTGAACATGGCATCGAACACCGTCGAGCCCATCGTCAGCACAAACCTGCAACGATTCCCGTCAACACAGACGAATCACCCATCAACAACATTCGCCCCAAACACACGGACTTGTGCGCAGGCATCCGCACAGGACCCTCCTTCCCCACGATGAACGTCACATCCGAGAGGACATTATTCCCCAGCAGAAACTGCAGCCGTTCCAGGACGCTGTTCTTACTGCCCTGCCAGCCCCACGACGGCAAGGCGGCAGTCCCACCGCCCCGGGGTTCCAGGTCCAGGGGGGCGCTGTTGAGATTGTCGGGGCTGAAGACGCTGCGAAAGTCCATCCCGGGGGAGAGGGACTGGGTGGAGGAGGAGGTGGAGGAGGGCGCCTGCAGGCACTCCGGCTGGGGGTTGCCCAGGGGCGGGGTGGGGGCCGCCGCGGCCAGGGAGGAGGGGTTGGGGCTGGAGTTGTGGCGTTTGCTCATGATCAGTACTGGGGATGAATTAGCAGGGTAATTGGCAATCAACGCGCTGCATGCATCCTACAGTGGATACTGGACAGTGTTTAGACTTGAAAGCGTCGAAGAAATGGTCTTTGCAGCCTCGGTGGATAAACGTGGGTGAACAGATGCAGCGACAGGCCAGCGAAAACAAGCAAAAGATTAGGAACTGTTACAGTGTTTAACACTTTAACTGTGTTACAAATTTTTACTAATGACGCTCGGAAAATCAATGGAGCGAGAGTGCAGTGTGCTCACTGTGCGTAGTCTGTCCAAGCTCGGAATAGGTAAGCTGACGGCGTGCGCCACAGCACGGCAGTCGTACCACAGTCAAGTACCGCAGTGAAACAAGCTGCCGGCCTGTTCTCTTTTCAGTTTGGCCGTGGTCTATCCTCTCCTCAGCTTGACTACTAAAGTTGAAAAATCATCTCACATGCGCTGGCCACTGGCCTGGAATCTAACAAGGCGCTATACATGTATGATGTAGTCATGTACGTAGTTGCACAGGAAAATTCGCTTCAGCGCTAAAAGTAGTTATATAAAAGAGCGATCGCAAAATACGGCTCCATTTTTCGTTTTCAAAATCTGATCTGTTTATTTTCTCGTGTAAACTATTAGTGCTCAAGTTTAATTTGAACAAAGGTTTAGTACAGTACTCTGTCGAGTAGCAAAACCTTTATATCAATTTTTTTGTCAGAAACGATGGCTGTGTCCGCAAGTACATTAGGTACCGTGCAATGACTTTCAAATTCAAAATGCCAGCTACGATAAAATACTGCAGTTACTGATAATCTTTTCTGTACGAACTGATCTGTTTATTTTGAATGTTTATTTTGTGGCAGGGAATGTGTGTGAGGACGTCGAACCGGTAACTTTTCGCGATGTAAGTCTGATTTTTTGTAAGGTAAGTTTTCTTTTAAGATGTGTCGATGTACACTAAGTAACGCATATATTTTAAGTACGTTACGGGTTCGTATAATAGAACGTCTGTGTGTTTATTTGTGACAATTGCTAACTACTCCGAGGTTTCCCGAAAAAGCGAGATAGTTTCTCCATTTGTAGGTTGTAGGTTATTACGGACAGCGTCCATACTATCGGTGTGATTCTGCGCGCACAAAGTAGTAATGGTGAACTGCACGGACTCCGGACTGTACGTAAACAAGAATAAGGTCGGGCAAAGTCCAGAACGTAAGTAGATATGCACATGTTATAGGCGGGAGATCTTGTCGCGCAGATGGTTAAAATAGCATGGTTATGATAAGAGACAGCACCAAATGGCTTGCATGTGGGGATGTGATGCACACAGCATACCGAACTAACCGAAGCACACGCAAGCGATTTGCAATGAATTCTACAGTACGCAGCGTATTGATTTATTAATGTTGTTTGGGATTTATCACTTATGAGAATTGTAGAGCCGCAGAGTTTTTACTTGGAGACGTCAGCCGTGCGTTTTCAAAATTTTCATATCGGGAACTGAGAGCCCCTTCTTTTGTCACCGTGGTTTTCCTTCAGGTCAAGAGCATTATTCAGCTGGTAGCGATGTCTCATAATTCCTCAGCGTCTACAAGCCACGAACGATTCGGGCTACAACTGGCCAGCAGCATCAAGCGCTCCCTGAACAGTGGAGAGTTCAGTGACGTACAGTTTACTGTCGGACGACAGTTCGGACCAGCACAGTGTTTCCGTGCGCATAAGTAAGAACGAAGAACTGATGGTACCCTGCTGTTGCTTCAGCATTGGAGCCTTGTACTTCAAATTTTGAAGGTACGTCCTGAGCCTGCGTTGCTCGGTGTTTGGCGCGATGTTCTACGGAGATTCTCCACAACGATGTGATCAACCTATTGACATTCCTGATGTTATTCCCGCTGCCTTTGGAAATATGCTCAGGTTAGGACCGTTAGGTACTAGCAGACCGTCCCGAATGTGGTCGCTAACCCTATTCGCGGATTTTGACGGTCCCTTTCAGAAACCTTGTATTGCTCGCCTTGAATCATGCTCGCACGCTAGTATTATTGCTGACCACTTGTTAGAAGTGTTCTGTAATATTTTTAGTCATGTAGATTAGTTAATTCATTGAAAGCAAACAAACCTTCGAAGTACCCACTACCCACAAATTTGGCCTTTACTTATATGAACATATTAATAGAAGGGATTCAAAGGCCATTTTAGTTTCTAGAAGATATTTGTTCCTAAAAAAGCCGAAAAATTCAATGTCATTATTTTTCCCGCCACTTCAGTCTGGTTACTTATAGTTTTCTATATACTGGCACTGTGGAGAATTTGTATATGGACAACGTCATCCACACGCTGGTATGCGCCAAGAAGTACGATCTGCCGCTGTTGATGGAGATGTGCAGCGACTTCGTCAGCGCCGGTCTGGGCGTCAACAACTGCCTGGTCATCCTGGATACTGTTCGTCAGAATTCGGCCGTCGTAGTTGTTCAACAGTTTTTATCATACGTGACCTGTTGCAGGTCGTTCGTTTCGGTGCCGACTTGAAGGCGATTATGGAGCGCTGCCTAGACTTGATCGATCGCTGTGCTGACGAGCTCCTCCAGTCGGAACAGTTTGCACAACTTCGTCACAAGACCATCATGATGATTCTGCAACGTGGCACGCTGTCGGCAGCGGAATATAACGTCTACTTGGCTGTTGAGAGGTAGTGTAGTAGTGTCACATACCGATAGTAATTGATCTACCGGATCGTGAGCCTTTCTCGGTTCCAGATGGGCGCGGGAAGTCTGTAAGGTCGGCAACGTGGACCCGTCGCCCACCAATCGGCGTCGGATGTTAGGGGAAGCGTTGTTTTTGGTGCGGTTTCCGCTGTTGACCAACGCGCAGCTGGCTGATGGCCCCATCAAGGTATTTGGAAGTAATTAATGTTTTTTTAAAATAAACACAACGGTTTTCACGGTTACGGCGTACACGGTAAGCATGAAATCGACAGAAACGCGAATAAACTTTGATTTCGTCCGCATTTTAAACAGTAAAAACACAAATTGCCCACATACCGATAGTCCGCACTCAATGAAATTCTGAGATTCGGCAAAACCGGGTTAGAGGCTTTAATCTTTTATAACGGTCAAATAATATGATTGTTCATGAAACTTGTAAAAATTGAAAAGCGTTTTATGCGGACTCAGGAACGCATTGAGAAAATGTATTTTAAAGCGTAGCTGCACTGCACAAAAAGCGAAAACGTCGTAAGTACACATACCTATGGGCTATATATAGTCAATGATTTTTTATAGAATTAATTTTTGATATTGGTCGTTCAGGACAGTTTTTCATCTAATCGTGGCCCTTCGTTGCAGAGTGGCCTGTTGCTGCAGTCCGAGGTACAGAACCTGTTTCAGTACCGATTCGCCACGGTGAAACCGCCTCTGCCATTCTCCGCACAGCCTCGCAAAGCCGTCGGTGTAGGGAATGTCGTAATCAAGGAAGAAGAACCTGTCTCCAGCACACATCCAGCGGAAGGCAGAGTGTACCACGGGGGTCCGAGCGCCGCGTATGGAGACGGTGGGCCGAGCGCATACACCTGTCCTCGTCCGGAATGTGAGGAAGCGTTCAGCGCTAATTACGCACTACAGCAACACCTGGACAATCGCCATGGGTTGGTGACCGCCGCCCTGCCCAGGGAGGACCCCCAGAAGAAGCTATTGTGCCGCATCTGCAATACGTGGATTGCCAGTCCCAAGCTTAAGAAGCACGCTGCTGACTGTATTGCGAAGAAGATGGCATCTAAAACTACAATTCATGTTTATACGAAGAAACGAGCCGCGTAAAGAACGAACAAACTCGAGTGGTTAACAGCGCACGGGGATAAAAGGGAATGGTGGGAACGCTGTTCCTGGCTGTTCATTTAGATGCAATTTCGAAGTTGGGATCCTTCTGTTCGAATGGATATTCCGATAATATTCCGATATTCCTGTCACGACTTGAAGGTGGCGGCATAATACGTATTTATTATGAACCGCCACTGAGGGCGCAAACAACCAACTGATCGTTGTCAATTTGTCATCAGGACAACAATGGCACACTGCAACCGCAGTTGCCATGCTGGACAACACACCACATAGAGGTCACAGAGGACACAACATTCTCGTGACGTCAGTGCCACTGCACTACGCCACACGCCCTTCACTTCTGAAGTGCTAACAAAGAAGTACAAATCCATAGTCATACTAGTCAAAGCACGTACGTACAGATACAAGCACAGAATTTTCTTAGCAACGATCATTAATTCCATTTTCCGTATTAAAATGCACAAACTCACTCAACCTGTACAATTGCGTCCTTGTACGTACAACTCGCTAATTCTCCCTTGCTGGTGAAGGTCATCTGGCTGGCTCTCCGAGTCCAGCATTCACCAAACTCTTTCCACGCCGTCCGTCTCACCGCGCTCTTCGTGCCTCAACCAGCCTGATAAGCATCCGCACGGCTTCTTGATCCACTGGAATCTTTCATCCTTTCACCACGTTCCTTGTTCATCGTTTCAGAGACTGTGCCTTGTCACTGGCACCGTCGCTGGTGTCCACGGATGTCTGGCTTCGCTCACCCTTCTGCCACGAAGGAACCGTCGGTCTCCAGGCTTCGCCCATTTCCCAGGTGCGTCGCCGAAACCAATTCTCTTCCTTGGCTGGGCAGCCTTAAGCAGACGTATATCTTGGTCACAGGCCTCACGGAGGAACGGTACTCGTCCGCCTCTCCATCGTCGCGGCTTTCCCATCTGCCTCCACAGGTGCGGCACTTCTCCTCCCGCCCTGCTTTCCCTCGTGGATACCATCCACGATTCAGGCACTCGTTCCCAGCACACGTTTTACATCCGATGGATGGAGTTGTTGTGCCTCTCCCTCGCTCGTCGATCGCGTCGTTCCGGCAGTAAAGCAGCATACATTAACACCTATACGCCACAAGTACTGACATCCTTCACGCCACTGTCACGACTTGAAGGTGGCGGCATAATACGTATTTATTATGAACCGCCACTGAGGGCGCAAACAACCAACTGATCGTTGTCATCAGGACAACAATGGCACACTGCAACCGCAGTTGCCATGCTGGACAACACACCACATAGAGGTCACAGAGGACACAACATTCTCGTGACGTCAGTGCCACTGCACTACGCCACAATTTTCGTGGCTTTATTTTATTTTGTTCCTTTCACATGTGGTACACGACCAGATTTTGTTTTTTAATTTGTTATCGTGTTATGTTTGCACTGACTTGTGAGTGTTGGATGAGAACTGGTTATGCGTCTTTCCGATATGGTTGAGTAGTGGAAGATGACTGTTTTTACACGGTTTGTTCTGACAGTTTTTGTTTTTGCTTTTTTTTAGAAGGTCGCAAGGTCATGAATGTAAAATATACCATTTTTTCTACAAGCTTAGACAACGAAGAATTTTTACTGTTTTGCGCATGTATTGGATAGTTATCGGAACAGGTTGCGTATGTGACGTCACTGATGAAAGAATGTTTACATACACAATATTGTGACTGTGACGTATTTCAAGTCGTTGCGAAGCAAGACAGGGAACTAATTTTAAGGATGTCCCTCCCGGCGCTGGTCATTGATAAGGAGAAGTACTGTACAGACTGTATATTTTATTAGTTACTAGTGTATGATGTACAGTACAGAAACATCAAGTTGTTAACTGTTATTTGTTTTGTTGAATTTTGTTCTCCACTCGCTAAGTGGCAACAAAGGTGATACTTTCAAAAAGGTCATTGTAGTAATCTGCAACCAGGGATATTTTTGCACGACGCGCAGGAAACAGTAAAACCCTTATTAGCCCCTACACCAAAACACTGCACGCGCATATCCATAAAGTCAACAGGCTGAACGTCAAAATCTGACTACTGCCGTTATCCTCGATCGCCGACGCATGCCAGTTACTAAAAAACAACATGGTTTTGTTACAGGATATTGTTCGGTCAGATTTTTCAAAAAAAGCCAGGACGAGAGCGTTCGACATTGGAAGTTCGCAAAAAGGAATTTTGAGCAGGCGCGTATAAGATAAATTACAGCGTGGTAAGGAGGCATATTGTTATGAGCCCGATTTCCGCCCTGTGTGTGTGTGTGTCTAAGTAATTGAAACAGAAGCCTCGGGAACGTATGGTCAGTTCGTAGTCGGCCCAGAAGCCGTACTGCGACCGGTTACCACTTTAATGTAATACGCCGTAGTCGGATTGTTGGTGCCACTGATTCGGCATTTCGTCTACGGTTAGATAGTGTTCCATTTCTCCACCCGTACTGCCGACTGGAAGCGTCTGCCGCACAAAATCGTCGTTCCACAATTTTAGCGTTATCTTTAAGTGGAACGTGTCGATGAGGGGATTATACATCACATCGGTTAAATTGGACAGCAACGTCGCCATGGGCGAGAAGAAGAAGGTTGGTTCAGCTGAGTCCGACGATGCAGCCTGGAGATTCCCACTTGGCGGCCGTTGTATGACATTGTGAAAGCCGGTTATGACAACTTCCAGTTCCCGTGGATTTGCAAGGGTAGCTCGGTTCACAGGCTGAGTCAGTGCAGCAGCTGAGCTAATTTGCTGTTGATCCGTGCAACGATGCGACTTTGGCCTCTTTACTGTTTGTTCTAGGCGCACCTTTTGTGGTGCACTTACTTTCAAAGGTCACGCGCAAATTTACTTATATTTCGAGTTATTGTTTATCGGGCAATAGCCGCCATAACAACAAAAAGTGCAAGCGCGGGCGTACTACTTTACAGTTAAAATTTAAACATAAAAAAAACAACCAAAATCTCTATCCGCCCGCGGGTTAAAAGGCAACGTACTTAACACAGCAGTAGCATTTCCGTTATGACAGCCAAACTAAAACGTTGCTTCATAAAACCAGTATAATGCGCTTCTCCAGTTAATTCACGAGTTTTACGGCCCATAAAATGTGCAAATTCACTTAAAGCTGGGCCGAAGACACCGAACGTTTCAACAACTAAGGGATAGAAAAGGTCTCTACTTTCCAGTGGAGAGTATTTCCGTCGCTTCTCATTTTCTGCCAGGTGAGCCACACTTCCTGCTTTCTTCGAACTTCCGTGGGAATCGGCTACTGCACACCAGCTTGTGACATCCCATACAACAGACTTTCCCTGACGGACTGGAATAAGCGTCATGCCGTCAGGTCGAATCGCCGCACTTGGTGATAGGCCCATCGGTTCCAGTTGACATGGGAATCCTGCACTCTCGCAACAGTTTTTGGCAATACTGTTCATTTCTCTATGTCTGGCCCATCGCCCTTTTGTTGATTTATTGCAGGAAAGCCCGTGATGGCCATTCATTTCCACTAATTTGCCGCATGCCACGCAGTTATGAGCTATCAGCCTGTCACTACAGGCAATCAAAAACGTAATATTTGGAGTCATCTTGACATTCATTCTCCTGCTGGCTACGGTTCGCGATAACCACTTAAGAAACGCTGATTGTACCCATTTTGCTGGACACATCTCGTGTTATACGTATAATCCGCGCAAAAAATATCTATGTGCATTCCACATGAGCGTCACACAGCCTTCTACAAGAAATTATCCATGTGCATTCTGCAATCTTCTCGTAACCTTGAGAAATTTTTGGTTTCGTTTTATTTCGACAACTTGAGAAATTAAGGAAATAGCGAAGAACAGAAAACGACGGTTACCAGGTCTGCGGCGAAGGTGTACGAGTACGATAACAAAAACTGCCCCTATTCCGGATATTCATAATAGACAGTTTTCCATCACAACACGCATTACATTATCCAGACACAACTTTTTTACCACAATCACATTGGCCTAACGCACCTATTTTATTCCGGGCAGTGCAACAGATTTTGGAACAATTTCCTTCTTGTCGGCGTTGTTTTCCCGTTACGCGAGGATGCTGAACTAACTATTAATAAACCAATAAATTACTTAGAAGGTGTGTAAACATGAATTAACAGACAGAAAAGAACATCTCTGGGCTCTGCATGATGGGCTGCTCGAAGTCAATGATATCCAAAGGATAGTTGGTTTTAATAACACTGAAACTTCCTAGTTAGTCAACGTTGTCTTGGTCAGCAGGCGGTTTGGGCTCGTTTCTTGGAACACTGTTCTGATCCTCCGGAAGTAACCCACCGGGATAAGCGTCATCGTATGACCTGCTGACAGAATCGATGGTCTGAATGACTACGCTGCTTTCTGTCGTAAAGAATTCCGTTCCACCCTGGACATTTCGCGGACTTCTACTTTCCTTTAATTCGTCGTGGACATCTCGTTCAACAGAATACCGATAGTTTACCTCCTTGGTATGAACAAGGGTGTATTTTTCGCGATTCTTCCTTTCTAATTCCTTCTGGCGCTTGCTGACTGACCGCTTGGTCATACCCACTTTCACCCGTCGCGTACCATCTTCGTCTTCGTGTTCCAAAACGTAAATGGTGCCTCTCCCTCGCCTTCTCTTCTCTGAAGGCGTCAGTTGACCAGGAGCTCGAGCTCCGCCCACCCCGAGAAAAAGCGACGCTTCTTGCGCGAAATTATCTTCGAACCATCTGTGGATCTCGAGTATGTCGCGAGTGGCCTGTGGGTCAGCCAACATCATGCTGACCGCTTGCAGTCGTAGTTCGGATGCGGACGGAGAATCGGCAGCGAGCTTCGACAGAATGTCGTAGCCGCAGTTATTCTGACTGCTGTCTCCTGTGTCCTCAATCTCAAATCCGTCTCCGTCAGCGTTCTTCAGAGCATAATGCCCCACGCCGTTGGGTTCACCCGGCGGCGGTGGTGTGTAAACGACAATACGCACACCGGAAGCTTTCTCCTCTTCGGTGGGTACGTAATCCGGATCTTCAACGATTTTGATATTAAGGTTACGGAACTTTGCTAGTAAAAGAAAAGTCGGATTGTCGATCGGCTTATTATCGGCAATATCCGTAGCTAATTTCTTGACCTCAGGGTCGTCCGGCGCACCGTCTTTAATTCCGTCTCTTTCGGCGCGCTCGGTAGCGGCTTCGGCTTTTGCAATCATTTCCCGTAACTGAAAGTTAATCATATATTCCTTGGCATTCATTTCAATTTGCCCTTTGATTGTTCGTGTCCGGTCCAGGAACTTTGGGTCTTTCGAGTCCTGCGCTTCGCTAACCAGGAAGCGCTTCTGCAGTTCTTCCGAGATACCGCGTACAATAGCACCGGCCGCTTGCGACATAACGGGCGACACAAGATGGGCGTTGGCAGTGCGAATGATGTGGCCGACGATCAGATCGGTCACCGCTTTATGCAGCACACTCATTTCGACCCGCACTTGGGCTGCGTCAAATTGCTTCTGCTGTTCGGACATGGTAATCAAGAGTTTTTGCAGTACTTCGTTTTCTTTTCTGTCCAGAACAACGTTAAAACCTTTGAAATTATTGTTTAAGTTTTCTTTTGTGCATATTTTATTAATTGATTCGGCGGAGAAATCGTTTTTGCGTAATATCTGCCGGAAGACCTCCACGTCTTCCTGCAATTTGCCTTCCATTTCATTAAAAACTCGGGAAGTGATATCGGCTATTTCATGTAGACCGGACACGGCGCCCCAGCACATGACCAGTTTGCTGTAGGCGCTCCCGACGAAATTCGGATCGGATAAAATACTGTTAGCCAACGGCGCGCCGACTGAGTTCCACCACGCACGCCACGTTGGCAATTGCGGATTCATGGTGGCTTTCACCAATCGTTCCAGTTTGCGCTGCAGAGTCAGCGCCGTCGTCGCTGTAGGAGTGCCGGCATCGAGGATGCGGTGTTGCGCCCATGTTATTGCTATAATAGTCTTGAATTTTTGATGGAAGAATGCGTTTTCTACTCTGGGTTCCACTTCTCGCACAATGGCTTCGCGAATTTGTTCGAAACAGAACCCCGACAGTTTGTCGGTCAGGACTTTCAATCCGATGCGGGCGCCAGTTTCGGTGGTGCGCACGGCGATGTGTTTAACCGCCAAAACTCTAAGGTTTGCTCCTGTTAAACAAAGCAACGGTCAACAGTATTATGACGGTTAAGAAACACGGTCATTTGCAACTTGCCGGTACAATAGCCCATTTCGCATATGTTTGTTCGCTTTGAATGATTTCGCAGCATTTCTCTGTATTTCTGCTTTCTACAAAAATTATTATGTTATCCGATCTCATGAACTTTGTTGCACGACACAGCGCTTAAGCTTTTTTCTTGTCTCTTTTCGTTACATTTCAGCAACGAATCTTGCAAACACAAACGGTTTTCAGGTCATCGTATACAAATTCCGTGGCTGTAGAATTTCATAATAATTATAAAAAGAAAGTGCTTCAGAGTGCGCGAATGCTGGAATGTGGTGATTGCATACGAAACTGATACCGGTTTTTTTTTCTCTAAAAGCAATAGTAACTCGGCTTACCGGTTGTGTTGATAATCGCGGTGTTGGCAGCCGCTACCGTCGAACTAGCAGCGGTAGTTCCCGTAGCAAGAAGTTTCATTCCTTTTGCGCCGTTTGCCAGGTTGTTTAAGCCCATGGTCGATACCGTTATGACCACACTGACAGCTTTCTGTGTAACATAATCGTTCCAGCTGAAATTGCGGGTGGTGTAAATACGGTGAGCCGTGGTCAGATCCGACATGGCCTCCGTAACTAGTGACATTCCCAGGCTGGCTCCGAAACCCGTCGTGATGAGGAGCCCGCCCGCCACCGCCTGCACTGACGCCAGTCCACAGACGCTGAACAAGCTGATCCACGGAATAAACTGCTTCTCGTTGAAGGACACTAGCAGGAGAATACCACGTGCGCTCAGTTCCCGTATCTCCTGCAACGGCACTTGGCTGTGGGTGAACATGTCCGGGAGCTCTTGCACTTTTGTCTGGTTCATCTGCTCCTGGTCAATCTTTGCCTCTTTCAGTAGCTTATTCGCATCGTCCCAACTCAAATTGTACAGCTGCATCGTGAATCTGATGTTATGCTTTCGAATGACTTTGATCACATCTTTAGCAGTATCGGACGACATTTCCGATAAAATAAGATTCGTCTTGTAATTGGCGATTTCTTTGTTCCATGCGGCTTTCACCACGTTTTTAAACGATTCGCCATCCTTCTTCGATTTCTCGCCATCTGTCTTCGGCTTTGCTTTCAAACCACGAAGAGTTAAGTTAATATTTAGTTGCGGTGCCGCTGGATTGTAATCTTTACCCAAAGCTTCGTTCGAATTATGCACATTAGCGGCACGAGACAACCCAGTGACTTTAATGGAGATGCAGCTACCTTTAAACTGCTCGATGATGGCCAGTTTCTCTTTTTCCTCCATTTTCGATGGCAAAACTTTGCTGATCAACTGCTGCTCGTTAGTATTATCAGTTGCTACAAGAACGATCGTATCGTGCTCAAATGTCTTCGATTTCTTTAATAGATTCTCGGCGGCCCTTATCAAGGTTTGCTGAGGACCAGAAATCTCCAGATCAAAACTGCTAACACCTAAATCCTTGATATCGTTAAACTGAAATGGCAACTTTCCTCCTTTATCGAAATCCCGGTGCATCTTAAGAACTTCAACGCTAACTTCGGGAACCTTCTTGAACAGTTTAAAGTTGGGTTCGTCGAGAAGTTTTGCGATATCAGCGGATTCACAGCACAAAGTGACTCTGGACGATCTCCACAGCAGAGGGGCAGCCATCATCCCAGGAAGAGTTTCTAGCGCCTGATCCTTCTCGACGCTATCATGGTGCACCGTTTGATCGTGAAACGTCAAACTGAACTTTTCAAACGGTTTCAGATTTTCATCAAGGCATCGGGTTTTCGAATTCTTTAAAAGAAGATCATTCGGCAGACGGATAGTGCATCTGTCAGATTTTGTCTGATATTCCAGGTTGACCTTTCGCAGTGACCTTTCCGTCGCATCAATATTGGATTGAATGGTGTTGATGAAATAGCCCAGGAGATTCGCCTTTTGTATGAGCTGCTGGAAAAGCGGTGTATCGGAAGCTGAACCCGGAGAGAATGGCTTTTGAGACAAAGCCTGCATCGTGTTAATGACGGACATCTCTTTGTACAGCAGACTCAGAACGCCGTGAAATTCCTCCACCGCTTTTCTTTTATAGTCCGCTGAATCACCGGCGTTAAGCGATGCAGCGGCAAGGCCCATTTGTGCACCGACAGCAAACGGTGGATCCATTTGAACGGCGGTTTCGTAGTATTCCGTAGCCGCTGCGTGACGTTCGTTGACATATTCAAAATTTCCTAAAGATAAGGATCTAAATAAGTGCATCGTCTACCTAATTAACTGAGCAATTAATTATTATTAAGCTGTTACTTAAGCTATTTGGTCGAAGGCTACAATCGCAATTATTTCACTTTTTTTATCAGACTGGTAATTTTACGATTTTTACCCAACTGCACGAAATAGAAGGCGTTGCTGGCGGCCTTAATAAGGTCATGGTTACTTTCCGCTTTCTCCAGATTTGACTTAAAAGTCTGCAATTCTGCACGTGCTTTCTCACTGTCGAATTTCTCGCGGTCCACCATAAGGAGAAACTTTGCCCACTGCTCTTCCACGGACAAAAGCACAACTGTTTCCAAAAGCGAAGGAGCGCTGCCACTTCCAACACCGAGCCACGACTGCGCTACATCCTGGACACCGTCGCCCATGTTCTTCCAGAAACTCCGTTGACTTTGCAGCTGTTGGCGAACGCTGTTGTAATATTCGCAGAATTCTTCAAAAAGCTTCCCTTTCATTTGAATATATGGGAGTTCACGGTCGCGAAAATCCTCCAGCATGCGTTTTTCTTCGAGGTCGCGCTGGTGCCGGTAATCGGAGTGTGGGTCGCCGATGATAATCAGTTGCCCGGTGCCTTTGTTGCCTTGTCGCGACGTTCGGCCGAATGCCTGTTCTTCCGTCCGTTGGCTGTGTGGAAGAAACGTTAGACACACGTGCAGTCCGCCGTATTCTTCGATTTCTGTGGTCTTCAGATCGGTACCGCGACCCGCGAGATTGGTCGCTACAACCACGTCACCAGGGTGGAGACGTTCGATCTGCTTTTCTTGTCCTTCTTGGTTTTTTACGTACAGCTTAACTTTGACCTAAGAATTCGGTGGTTACCAGGCGCACAGTACAATCAAAAAAATATACTAACCTTAAAGCCGGAAAAAACTGAAGCAAGTAGATGCGCCGTTTTGATGGTTTCACAGATCACTAGAGCAGCTCGCATTTTCGACGTTTCCGCCATGGTCGTAATGGCAATCTCTTTCAGCCACTGCTCTTCGGTTTCCACGCAAATATCCGGAAACTGGATATAGCGTTTAAAGTAGGTTTCTGGCAGAACGAGTAGCTTTACATGGTAAATGTTATACATGATCTCCCGTTCATAGGTGGATCCCAAGGTCCCGGTGAAGCCGATGATATTGGTACCGTACTTGCTGAACATTGAATAGTTCGACAAAAAATTCGTTGTCACTGTTTCCGAATGGATCTTCAACGAGTGCTTAAGCTGTAGGAACTGGTGGAGACCGTTGTTCCAGTTGGTGCTGGACTGCACCACACCTGTGGTTAGATAGTCCACCGGTTTAATCTGGCCTTCATCGACAATGTAGTGGACATTTTCCTGGTATTTAATGGCGGTCAAGGCACTCTCTACCCACAACGGAATCTGGTTTCGCGCGAAGTCCTTAATGTGGACAGGGAACTGCAAACCAAGTGATTCCGATTCCAGTACAGACTGAACGTGCTCTGTCATGTGGTTCTTGACGAACATCTCGAGGTCATCCACCACGAAGATTCTGGCTTTGAGCAAATCGTCATTCGATGCTTCCAGGATGAACTTGACTAAATTTCGAATTGCAAGCAGTTCATCTTCCACGTTTGCAAAATGGTACGCGAAAGTTCCAACAGATTCTTCCCGTGTGATTCGTCCTTCGACGTAGAACTGTCGTTCCCGGATGGAGAACAGGTGGGACTGTATATGTAACAGACGATCCCAGATGAGACAGTACAAAACATGCAGTGTATCGATTCCCGGCAAGGTCGTCGATAGGCGCGCCAGTTTCGCGCTGTCGTCGATTAACGCAGAGTCCACTTCGTCGACGATAGCGAAGTCCGTACTGCGGCCGCCCAGTGTACCCAATCCACTGTACTTATCCCGCAAATAATCAAACTGAAACTGTGCACACTCGCCGTACACAATCCGCTGATCGTAACATGGTTTCTTCTTAGCAACATATACGCCTTTATCGCCGTTGTGTCCGCACGTCAGCCCGAACATTTGGTAGAACGGCGCCCATTCCTGCGCGTCGCGCTCCGCCAACACCGGACTGCTGGTGTAAATGTCCACGGTGTGACCTTCCAGCGCCTTGACCGCGGCTAATACTGCAACGATGGCCGATTTACCGGATCCGGTAGCGACCTGCTGCAGCTGACCTTTCGTGGTGTCCTTCTTCAGTTTATCCAGAGCGACCAGACAACTTAAAATCTGTACTTTCGTCAGAACGAAATTTTTGAATTTTTCCATGGCAAGGCGGGCGATGGCCAATGCCTCCGTTACGAATTCCGCTGGTCGATATTCGCACTTTCTGGCGACCGCTTGCAACGCCCAGTTTGTAATGTCCGTATCGGTCCACGTGTTAACCAGGATGTCGGATTTGTAAACGCGGCTTCGGAGATCAGCGTTGAAGATGCGGAAGATGTGCAGCTGCAAGATTTCCCATTCGTAACCGGCTTTGACGAAACGCTCCCGTAGACAGCTCCATTTGTATGAAACACGCGTGTTGTCGCGACGGAATTCGCTGACAATGTGTGCGGCCTGTTTGACACCGTGTTTGCCATCAAAGACATTTTCTCGTGTGAATTTATTGACTGCTGCTATGATCTCCATTTCGGATTGTGCCCGGGAAGCCACCTCCCGTAGAGCGGCGAAGGACGTGCCGGTTAACCGATACTGATACGCTTGACCAATCGCATGCACGAATGATTTTAGTGCTGGAGAAGCGGATACACACACGGTGAGAAGCTGCTGCAGATCGCAAAGCAATACTCCGTTCTGCAAGAGTTTACCAATCACGCGTTCGATTCTCTGCCGATGGGCGGTGTGTTCCGGAATATTTTGCACGAGAAACTCGGTTCCCAGTTGCACAGCGATTTGCTGCAAGCGTTTTGTGCTTGGAGTTTGTTGCCCGAAGCTATCCTGTTTCCTTGCCAAATCTTTAACTGTTGTTCCTTCGAAATACTCCAAGAACGCAGTGAATTCTTGCATGGACTCGATTCTTTCGCACGCTATGCAAATGGTTGTCGCCAAATGAATTCCGAATACCGAAATTAGTTGTTGTGTTAATAAACTCCGAATCTGAGGAGACTGGGTGAAAGTGACCCTTTCCGCAAAAAGCTTCGAGATGACTTGTTCCGCAAGCTGTCGTCTGAAGTCGGCACTTGGAATGAGTGACAATTCTTTTAGCTCTTTTGCATCCAGCAATGTTAAAGATGATAGCGTTTTCGGCAAGTCTGAATTTTCGGCGTCGTAACAGACCAGTGACAGGTAATCGAAGAATTCTTCGCGTTCTTCATCAGCGGAAAACTTGCTTGCAATGGTCAACACGTGCTTATGTAAGTCGACCGCCCGGTCGAAGGAATCCGCAAAATTCAGCAGAAAATCCGACTTAAGCATACGTTGTCGCCACTGTGTGCGATCGGAGCGCACCGGCTTGACGATATCGAAATCCCAGTTTGTCAGGCATACGAGAAACCAAGCAAAATCGTCATTAAAACTTGTGTCGAGCGCCAGTTGTTGGGTGACTTCGCAATCACCGCATTCCGCAAAGATCTGTTGAAGCGCGTGGGTGATGATCGAGTCAAGAAGTGTTCTTATCTGAGCGGCTGACGAAGAGACATCAGCAGTCAAGTCTGTGACCGACGTAACGGAACTTACAATTTCCAGTGCAAGGACGCATTGTCTTCGCACGAAAGACGATGGATGATGCAACAGCGCAGGAAAAAACTGCAAAACGTTTGGCTCAATCAGCGTTTCGGGATTGCAGCGGCTCGCAGACGTCACCAACGCTACTAGGCACTGCAAGATACGTCGCATCCTATCGATCGAAATTGTTGCACTGGCCGAGGCAGAGTGGAAAAAAGCGTAAATGAATTCTTCCGCGCTGAGTTCCGGTTCTTGGTGCATAGAAAGTACAGTCTTTAGCGCTTCCAGCAACGTATCACTCACAGCTTCCCCACGGATACGGATTTCGTTGCAAAATACTTCCATGAACTTTTTCCGCAACTGATAGTTATAGCCAATGGTCTTTGAAGCCAAAGGTAACAGAACTTGGTTGGCTAAATACTCTGCTAAATTCGCACACCAGGAGAAATCCTTTTCCAACAGCAGCGTTAACGTTTGCTCATCCAGACCGTTGCTTTCATTTAACACTTTCGTAAGTGTGACTGGCGTCGTTTCCGTGTTCAGGAATTCGTACAGCTGACTAACAATTTTGTGGCTCTCGGTTGCATTCGCACCGATCGGTGATGCGCGTTCGCTTTGCTGGTCGGACGACATGTACGCTTTCAGTTTTTCCGTTAACTGAATTCCGTTCTCCAAACCAGCAGCTATGACACTTTGACATTTTTCAGTAACCTTCGGATGATTCTTACTGAGCTTTACGAATCCAACTGCTTCGAGAGTCTTTGCTGGCAGACGAGAAATACGCGGATAGCTCGCAATTATCGTTAGTACCTCCATAACAACATCCATGTCGCCATCGCTTTCCAGAATTTTCTGTAGTCGCGTTTGACATGGCTGCGATTCAAAAAATTCGAAGTCATCCAGTTTGCATAGCATTGGAAGATCGGTCACCACTTCCAGGTTTGCCTTGTTCTCCAGATGCGACAAATTCAGACTGGCTCTCACATGTGCTGGGAGAATTTTCTGCATAGATGTTAAAAACTCCGCGATCGTTTCTTTAACGGAGTCGGTGGACGAAGCAGATCTTTGAAGTTTCATCAACAGCGTGAAATGACTGTCATCACACAGTGACTCCGCCGGGCTTCTGTGCCGGCTCAGAGCGATGAAACCATTCAACGCCGTTTCGATCATTTGCGCATTGTCGGAACTCATAGCTTCCACGAAGACCGTCTCCAACGGCTGCGGATCGATATCACACGCCGCGAACACGGAGTTAACCTGACTCGCCAACGCTGAAATTATGTCGAGTTTTTGACGATGATTACCGCCGCTTTCACTCTTCCAGCCTTCGCACAGTTTTGCGGTAACGTTGCGCGTGTCGGGTATCTCAAAATTATTATGCATCAATTTGGTGATGATGTTGAACTTTGCGCATTTTTCGGAATTTTGGAACAGTTCCGGAAAACTGCCCGAGCAGAAATTAGCAACAATTTTTTGGGTGAACGCCTTCGGCAACGACTGGTTGTTCTGTACGATGGCGGAGGCTAAAGAAAGCTGCGCAACCGGCAATTGGTCTTCGTTTACATGGTCAAATACACGGTCAATTAAATCTCGCGGGAGAATCTGTCCATTTTCGCACACCAGCAGCAAAGACTCCAAAATGATCTCTACATTGATTTTCTCTTGAATGCACAAGTCGAAAAGTTTCTTGTTTAATCCAGACATTTTAAATCCACGCTGGAAATAGCTTTTGAGATGCACAAATAAACAGTTCTTTGCGTGCTGACTCAGGGTTTCGATAAAACCGAAGGTTTCCGAAGAGCTGTACGCTGCCAATAAACGCACTGACGCAAACTCCAGGTCAAATCGATGGAAAACATGCTCAGGAACATCCTGCACACAGATGGCGGCAAAGGTCAACCAGAAGCACAGCCGTTCAAAACGCTGTTCCGTATCGAATCGGTGCTGGACGAAATCCAAAACCGCAGGATTTATACACTGATGGAACCTCTGCAAAACCACAGTTAAGATGTTGGCACAGATTTCGAAATGTTGATTGTTGGTTATGTTGGTTAGAACCAGGTTTTCCACTGCATCCAAGCAGTACATCGGCAGCCCTTGTCTGACGACTGGCGATTGAACCTGCGCATACAGAATCTTGAGGACCATTTCCTGATCCACTTCAGCGTGTGGCGCTCCTTCTGCCATTAAGATTGTGGACAGTTGCTGGTGTACCGTGTCGGAAAACCGCACATCAGGCGCAGCATTCAGCACGACCTTTAACACGGAGGCATTAATGACCTTGGTGAAATCACGTCCACTGAGTACAACCGGTTCATAGGTGTACATGAGGGACAAATCAGTCAGTTCGTTCGTAGTCAGTACATGTTTTCGTTCGCTGAAAGTCACGCGCTCGAGAAGCAGACAGTACGCGGCCGTGCAATTGATGCGGACATCAGCGACCGCGCTACTAGTAAGCGGAAGCAACGGCCACAAATACTTATCGGTCATATCGGGGTAACTGTTAACAACTGCATGGAAAATGCATTCCGCACAACGAATCTGCGTGTTTTTGTCAGGACTGGTATTGATTGCCGCCTTAATTTCGTCGAGGGTGGTGGCGTAGCGTAGAGGTTCCTCAGGGATAAAGATCAGCTGCAGCAGCATCTGTGCAATCACTGCCGATACGTATTTGAGGCCCACGGTCTTTGTCGTCTGATCAGAATCCAAGCGGATCATACCGTCTTCGTCGATCGCGTCGTTTAATTTCAGACGAGAAGCCAGCTGCTCCACTCCGGGTATGTGACTCACTTTCTTCTCGATAACCAGGTTGCCCAGAACGATGATGATGTGGGCGACCAGACGCTGATCAGTCTCGGGGTCCAGCGCAAGATGCACCATAATCGGGAGTACGTCTAGTGAATCGATGCGCGAGGCGTCAAATTTCCGATGACTTAAAGTATTAAGGATGATCGCAATGACGCTCTGTATATATAGTCTTCGGTGCGGTTCGGAATCCTTCTCACTCCAACTAAGCAATAAGAATACAAAACGATAATAATGATAAATGTACTGCACCTTTCAGTAATGTTTAACATTTATTACCGAAGCGAAAAGGAGAGAGGGAGACAAGCAGTGTACAGCAGACTAGAAGGGTTTTTGCAACCTCTTCACAAAGGACTCAGCACTCGTTATCGTACAAAGTGCAAGGAGAAAGCTGACTGAATTCACTGAGATTAACTTACTTTTTTTTTACTTTTTTTTTTATTTTTTTTACTTACTTGGAATATACTTTCCAGGCTTCTTTGAAACTGCTCAGCAGGGTTTGAATTCCCTCGGATACGGCTTGGGGAAGCTCACCAGGAACATGCGACAAAAGGTCGTCCAGAATAGCGGCTACTTGCGAAGCTGTGTCCAAACCATACTGACCTTTCTCACTCCCGCTTAAAATATCAATCAATGTGGAGGAAAAAGTTAGACTTTTCTCTAGGTGCAACGCTCGAGCAGGATTGACAACTTGTTCCCAAATATACTCAATGCTGTCTCGGGTCATTTCATCCTGTTCTTCCTTAGCATGCTGTAGTATCTCCAGAGCCGCGGCGAAACTCTCCTGCAAGTTGCTGTCGTCTTTTTTCAGTATGACCCACAAAATTTTCTTCATATCGCGTGTGCATTCGCTGTTCTTCTGAAATTTCAGCAATATTTTTGTGACTTTTTCTGGAAGTTTCGAATTGCTGCGTTCAGCACACAGCTGAAACATTTTCAGAAACAGTAACCGGCACTCGTCATAGCTGCCGTCGAGTGATGCGTCGAACGTTATCTTGGCCAAATCCTCCTGAATGGTATCGTCCACAATCTGGTTTTTGGCGATAACGGAAAAGGTCAGCGCGATATTGGCGAAGGTCGTTATGCGGCCTTCCCAGAAATTCCCTACGTAACCGTAACAGAATTTATCCTTCAGATACACGATGTCGTCCTGACAGACGGCCATATTCGCCTGCGCTCGGGCCAACAGATTATCGATTTCTTGCGCAGTGCTGCGGAAGTACGAACGGACACTGTCGCCTTTACTGCTCAGTGCCGGGTTGATTTCCATTTTGTGTGCGGTCCCACGACTGCTAGCGCGACTGCTGTTCAGCGCTTTGGCCAAATCAATCCGCTGCAATTCCGTTTTTTCGGACATGTTCTCCTTGTACACTGTGGTGACCGTTTGTTGGGTATTGACAGCGTCGGCCTTCACCGCGCTTTTTCCCGAGCTCACGCATCGCCCAAGCATTTCCTGTCCGCTTGCAAACATTTCATCGGTTGATCCACTGAATTTATCACTGGCAATATCTATTAGCATCGCTTCGCGCGGTTTTTCGCCGTGAATTGAGAGTGATATTCCGTGTGCCTGGAGCGTTTCTTGAAGCTGGGCTTTCGTATCAGCGTTAGCAGCTGGAATATATTTGAATGCGAGCTTTACCAAGCGATCACGGTCGGCTTCGTCTCCAGGATTGCATGCACTGATCTTCAGGATGATGCACTGCACCAACTGGGAAATTGCATCTTGAACGTGCAACGGCAGGTCGCGAAAAGCATCCTTTTCGTCCGCATCTAACACGGTAGAGCAAGCATTCATAAGTTGCTTCACGTTGACACTCGATGGATCATGTTTCAGGCTGTATTTCAGACTCTGTGTGATTTGCTGGTTCACGAAAGCGTCGCTCGAACCTTCCGGATTTTTATCGGCGATTGAGCGTAACTTGGATAGTATGTTTTTAATTACTGACTGCGGCAGACCGTGGCGCCTGGACAAGTACTTCAGACAGGATACTACCGAAATACTCGCTTCGCCCACCGAGAAATTCTCAAGGAGGTTTGTGGCTCCTCCTAATTTTTCCCATGCTTCCTGGATCTTTATCCGCACCGCCGGTGTATCGGGATCGTGAACATATTCCATGAAAAGCGCTTTCATTGTTGCTGCGCAGACAGAAAGGGCGTGCGGTTGGGTCGCTGCAAAAAATGAGTGATTACTGAGTTCAATAAGCACTACTTCGGCGTTTAAGAGCTCTGTTGAAGTAGTCTGGAGTTGCCTGATTATCTGACCGATAATGAGAACTGTTGTCGTTACGTGGAGTGTGTGAGTTTAACGGCAAGCAACAAGGCGCATGGGGTATGGACTTTACTTCCGGGCATCAAGCGGATACCAAGCAAAGAGCAATACGGACACCGGGACACGTATATATATAACATCATAAAAGAGGCACGTAGTGCCCTAACAGCCAAAATCATCCAAAATGCGAGCGGCGAGTAGATCTGAAAACGACTTGCGAAGATCGTCGACGCGAGAGGTATATATCCGGAAGCAGTCACTCCGCCAGTTGCCCTGAGCTTGAATAGCCGCATCAGGTACGCCACACTTATGAGCAAAAGTGGCACCGCCTCGCCGGAAAGAATGGGTACTAACTGTACGTATAACATATCTGTACCTGTGGACTGTGTGCAAGTTACGAGGTAGATTATAAAAGGTAAAATGTATCTAAAATAAGTTACTAAATAATAATAGTTTTAAGTGTTGTATTGATTTTGTATGCTGAATGGTTGAAGGTACTCCAGTACTTGGAGGTTGGAGGCACGAAGTGCTCCAGACGGATTCGCCAGTGAACGGCTGTGCCACCGTCGTCCTTGTTTTGCTACTATCCGGCGAATGATTACCAAAATAAAGAACCGAATTACCAAAATACAGTGCAAATGATTACCGAAATTAGGTACTGTTGATTTTATACGACCACACTTGTTTATTTGCTTAAATGCTTGCGCGATAAATGTAACACTTGTGTGCATTGATGGCATCAACATAAACAACTGCTCTACCCGGTAGTATAAGCAACTCCCCATCGTAATAAGCTTCTTGCTCCCATGTCGAGGTTCTTTCGGCTTCATCGAGAACACCGGCTCGTCATGTAAAGCTGTTATCAAGGAGCGGTACGAGTGTATAGTCACGCAAAATGTCGTTCATTGCTTGTTAAGCTCTTCTTACCCTCAAAATCCTTTTTATTCGATGGATCCATCATCGGTTATTTTGAGCCTTGGCGGATATGGTTAGTGGACACACGGCGCTCCGATGTCCCACGCGCTTCTTACCGCGCCATTAATGCCGTAGCAATAGTAAAGATCTCCTGGAATAGTATATTTAGTATGTCAATGATTATTATAAAGAACATTTTAACGGTGGCCAAATGGCACTTTATGACTGTACTGCTTAATAATTAAAATGCACATTAATTACTATGATTAATTACTGCGCAACAGTCAAGATGCACTGTCATTTCACAAGTCCTATATGCTATACACACAGTTGTCGACATTTAAACTGAACTTACCAGTTATTTTTGATTTCGCCTCCGGTTCTTTCGCGTGAAATTCATTAAAGAGAAATTAATATCTATAAGACTCACAGGTACTGGCGTACCAAGGAATACTGAAGCAAATTTTCAGCTGCTTAGCCGGCAAGCCGCAACAGCCAACCGTGATAGAATGCGGTTATAAACAAACGTGATGTCGCTGAAAATCGCAGCAGCCGGCTTATCATTCTGCACTTCTCTATCATTCTGCAAGGCGCACTTGAAGTATGCTCTCTTAGTATGGACTGCCAGTTAAACAAGCAGTTCAAATTCCAGAAGACGGGTGCCGCGTTTGCAAATTGCCGCTTGTTATCATCGTGCATGATAAATTTAATGCGGGCGTGCGTCATTATGGCCGATATTGATATAAGCAACGATATGGATACGTAACACAGAGTTGGCTTGTGGACCTGTGGTCCAACGAGAACTGTACATTTGTTTTATGTGTAATGTTGTTCAATTTGGCAGAAGGAGGGATCACACTGATCACAACTTTATCCGCAAGAGCGAAGCAAAAAACCACCGCAAATAGACCGATCAACTGCCATGTCGCATTAGTACGCACTACGCGCTAAACTGAGTCCTGTAGCTTGTACTTCGTTAGAAACGGGCACACTGGTTTGAAAAGAAGAAGACATCTCGTGGTTTACCGACAAGTCTACAACTACAAGGCACAAAGTCCAGGATAATGGACAGCGATCTTTGAAAATTAAAATACAGCGAACTGAGCGACGGTTATAATTATATAACAGGCAGTGATAATGGTATCGTCAGACTAATACATACTCGGGGTCTATACATACCTGTACATGTATCATCAGTATACATGGTTTTACTCAGTGGTAGGGTGAAGGTCACATGCAAAACAACCTGCAGAGCGTAATAGTTATACATGTACTTGTACACGCGCTATACATGTACACACGCTCTGTGTTTTGCAGCATCCGATTGTTCTTCGGGCACCCATCAGACAATCAGTGACGCGCTTGCTTTACGGTAAGTGCGGGCCTGTGCGGCCCAGCTCCAGGACTCTACCGAGCCTACCGTCACCAGTATGCGCAGCGTACAGACCCTAGTATCGGTAGCTGTTTACATTTCACTGATTTCTTCTGCAGAGCAAAACTCAATTAAAATCACTTGTTCAGCAATCTGGATGCTGGACCACCACTGGGCAATAATGAGAGATGGCCGGCTTCGTTTATGTACTGTAGTAGCGCTTACTCTAAGCCGAACGGGAACGCTGATTTCTACGTCTTGAACGAACAAAATCGGTGCACTAGCGGATCCGATTTTACGAACAACTGTAAGAAACGATGCCATTATGAAACCGCGTAAAACGTCATTCTACGAAAACCGACTAAATCAACAAAGGATATTAATGAAAGCCAATAACAGTAAAACAGTCCGCCATTCATACCAGATAACGCAACAAACTAACCATCAAGTTTTCCATTTGAAATCAACAATCATTTTTATTGACAATTATACTGAGGTCGCTGTGCTGTTATCCGGTACCACGGTGACATTGTCCGATCGGCCGCTCCTGCCGCCCATATGTCCAGCATTATAGTCGTAAAAGGTCAACGGTGGCGCGCCCAGTGGCCGGAAGGTCCGGGCCGGTGGTCCGTAAGGACCCCGCCCCGCGATGGGGCCCAGCATGAACCCACCAGGGGGTGGTGGTCCCCCGTAATTCGGACCTGGAAACGGGCCGAGAGAATTCGGCTGCATGGCGTCCACCAGCACTCCCGGGTTAGGCAGCCCGGGAACGAACCCGTTGGGCGTACCGCTCCGGCGATCGTTCCACGCGGAGGGCAAGGCGTTCGGATGCGACGCGGGCGAGTAGGAGGGTTCATTGCGGGAGGCGTCGGCGTCCATGGCGCCGGTGTATTCGTCCAGGGCGAACATCCCGGTGGGACGGGAAGCGGCGGGCTGGGGTGGGGGCGGCCCCCCGGGTGGGCCCGGTGGGGGTGGACGGCGCTCCCAAGGGGCGGGGTTAGGGTTGTAGTTGAAGTCTACATCCGGGTCGTTCTGCAGGTCGCCCAGGCTTAATGGTTCGGGCCGGAGGCGGCGCTTTTCCACAAGTACAGAATCGGATAAAGCAGATCTATCAATTAAAAGTTCGCATTTATTCCGGTTATAAACAGTTCAAACGACAGACTTGACAGTAATATTTTAGAAAAATAAAGTGATTTAAAATTTTAACATTAAAAAAACCACTATACACACATTACTTATCAGTCATTCGACAATCAAACCAGGTTGAACTTTGTTTCTGGCATTTTTGCTAAGCCCATAACAGCTTTCGGTTCATGTAAAATTTTATATTGCAATTACAATAATAATATACGACGATCGCTTAAAAACTCATGTAATAAATACAAATAAATTAAACAAACAACAAGCAAATACTAAACGCTTGAAAAACTTGAGCAGTTTATAATAAATCACAAATGCGTTTGGCGTATTGAGAACTGACCAAAGTTTATTAAGATAAAAGTCACCAGTTATTTTTCTACGAGTGAACGTACGAATCAGAATAGGAATTCTGGTCCTTGTACCCGCCCTTCGGCGCATAATATGGCGCATAACTCGACGAATCCGGCGTGATAGCCGGCGGCAGCGGTGCTTGACTCTGCGAGCCAGATGACGGAATGAACCCGGAATACGCCCGGGTCCCCACATTCTGGGTGGCCTCACCGGTCAGCTGCGGAGTGTTAACCGAGGCGCTAGGAATCGGGTTGCTCGGACGCGCAGGACGCGGTGCTGGCCGGATGTAGCAGCTGCAGGCGGTGGGCAGCTTGAAGACGTCCATGTACAAACCGCGGCCGCGTGGCTCTATTAAGCCGGAAACGATAGGTTACGCTATTCTATTCAAAGAACGGTATTGTGTTGTGCCTGTACCATAGGCAATGAGGCGTTGATAGCTGTACTTTTGGACACAGCTGGTCGGTATGGCCTTGCTCATGTAGCTGCAGCTGGCTTGCGGGTAAAAACACTGCTCGATACGCACTGCAACGCACGTGATGCATGTATGTACAGACTGCATGAAGACGTAGAAATGTATATGAATACAGTAAATGAATGAATACAGTATACGAATAAATACAGTAAATAGAAAATAAGTATGCGATAACAGCAAGATTCAATTTAATTAATTATACTAAAGTATTTATTTTAAAATTAATGATAGTATTAAAAATAAGTTAAGTAATTTTGATATAGTAACAAAACGTTTCGCATTTACAACCACGAACACAGTACATGCGCATTTACGGTATCTGCGTTACTGCATGTGCAATAATAAATAATGCAGTAAATGCTCTGTGCAATAAACCAAAATATTCTGCTTTAAATAAGTACTTATTATCTTTTTATGAATCATTAGACAAACGAAAAAAATTAATAATTCCTAGTTAACGAAAACCGAAAAACTGGAAAATAATTATGATGTTAATGATAAAATATACTCGTACAACTATAAATCATTTACCGGTTTGCATCCACGGTTTTATATTGACGATGTACTGCCACTCGCCACGCGCGTTAATGGCCTGGAACAAGCCGGTGTAGTCAATAAATCTGCAACGGCAGAATAATTCATGTTATATTTTGCTCTGTGATTAGAATATCAAGAGCAGAAATGCGCTTACGCTGGGCAGACGTAACCGCCATCTTTGTAATACTCCGTTCTAAACGGCGGATTTGCACCGGCACCGTACTGCTTATTATCCCGGGTCCGGTCGCGATCCCCAAAGTAGAAAGCGAAATCATATTTCTCTTCTTCATCCGCTGCCACCCCGTCCACCAGCGTCGCCGTGGACTGATTGGTCACCTCGGCGTACATTTTGTAGAACCCGCCCAGATTCTTGTTTATATCTTTGATAATATCAGCGCTGTTGTGAACAAAATTTAGATAATTAAATACAGATTACATTAACTCGAGTAATACAAAACATCACATAATTACTACTTAAAGCTATAATATAATTAACTGAAGATTAATAACAAAGTTGATTTAAAATAGAAACATTTAATAATATGTAGACGAAAACTTTATAGTAGTTAAAATAATTTAACATACTAAATATGGTGATAATATTAATAAATAAAATAATTTTATTAAAAACATTTGTCTCAGTGTTGTATACCTGGGATATGAAGGATCGTCTAAGCAATACGTCAGCGTCGTGGCTTGTGCGCACTGTGGCCGGTCGGCGCTGGATTGTGCCGGTACGGCGATGGTCGCGACGGTGCTGAGCTCTCTGGAATACGAGCTGTCATACGGCGTGATCTCATTCCCATACGGATCCGGGGTCACGGAATTATAGAAATTGGCCGGATAATCCGCGCCATCACAGAATCGTAGAAAACACGAAACGGTTATTGTTAGATGGTAAACTGTACTTAATCCTAAATAATTATTCCGCCTCCGACTTCTCGCGGCATGGAAGAATATATGCCAGAACATACTGACGGCAGAAATCGGTGTAATCCACATTAACCCTGAATTCAAATTAAAAAGTGGTGTAAACGCTGTAGACGTTTACTAATAGTGGTGAACCCATCATCTTTGAAGTGTCATCATTCAATAAGCTGTAGGTTATGTAAAAACGCGGATTGTGTCACATCGTTGTGTGCGATGTCAACCGATACCGGTAGTCTGCACATCGCAATGTTACCTCCGTCACTCTCCTGTGCGTTAAAACAGTGGTGGTTTTGATTGAGTAAAATGCGTCTTCATTAAGCTAACAACTACAAATGGCGTGTAAGCGGTAATATCCAGCGATACCTCCAGCGAACCGCGAAGTCCTCAACTGAGTTACAATTAATCATTAAAATCGTACGTCTGAAACTTACCATAGTCTGAAAATTTGTCCTGCTACCAGCAATATTTTTGCTGCCTCACTTTTCGCTTCCCATCATTTTTGCGCATTATTATTTGCTTTTTAAATTAGATTATTCACTTCACTGCTAATAATATCTAGGGAACGATAATATGTTTAATCGGTAAATACGACTAGATCTCAAATAAAGCGAGCGGAATAAAAGAGTTTCGTGCCACATGTAATAATGCGAAACTTCTTCAACATTTTTCCATAACTGTTTTAGAGCAAAAAAATGCTATTCCAGTTGCCGAATTTCTACCCAAACGGCAAAATTGTTAGGTAATTTTCCGGAACTGAATTCCGGTAAAAAATGTGGAAGGCGTACAAAGAATTTAGCGGTTGTATAGCCCGAGGGTCTTTCGAGAAAACTGGAAACAAAACGCGGAAACCGGCAAGTGCATTGCTATTACAGACGAAAACGGTCGAGTCGGTCGTTGTGATTACTTCGTAATACATCACGCCGCAGTCTGCCGACAACGGCATTGAACCGGAAGAAGAATCCAGTACCTGTAGCGAACTGACAAGTACTGCCGGAAGTATTCATTAACAAATTATCGATGGTCGCGGTGGACCATGAGAATTAACAGCATTGTTGAATGGCTAAGATTTATCGAGCCGCCAGCCGTCGGCGCACAAGCAGTGTGTTGCGTAAATCCTGGATTCCGTAAAACAGCTGCGTCAGGCTTGGGGCAGGGCTAGATGATATCCGGTCCAATGTATTTTAGAATTATATAAACAGCAATTGTGAGAACTCCAAGGATCTGGATTATTATGGAATCTGGGCTAATGTGTGATATACCGATCGAGATACCGTATTGAGCCAGCGACGCTAATAATTCGTCGAGCACGTTTTTTATCATTCTTCCCGCTTAACTCGTATAATAGAATTAAAATAATGCCCAGATTCGGATATCTGCTACTGCTGGTGTGCCTTTCGTTCGATATGGTTTACTCTGGTACGTGGATGTTGGTAAAGAACGCTATATCATACGGTATCGATGGTGAGAGCTTCCTCTTTCAAAGTATGTGCCGGAAACTTCGCATCAGTATACGAGTACAGTAGCGTCACTGATACGCGCGCTACGGCGTTTATCTGTACATTCTTTCCGCATGAATATACAGACCGGACACTGTACTCTAGGTTTTCGAGATTAAACTTTATACACGTATGAACAGCTGTGGGAGAGAAAGGTTAAGAATATATGATTATGAATTTTATCTGAGATTCCAGCCGTTTGCAATGCCATGAAGGAAGAGATCTCTTCCTTCCTTCCTTTATTATTATGTACGAGTACTGTATTTCTATCTACTATAGATAAAAATACCCGTACATAACAATACAAATTGTGCAATAGGTGGATGGAAAATTATTTGAGAAACGGCACAACCCATTAATTATTTTTTATACTAGAAACATTAACGTTACATACACGTATGAACGTATTTTTTGCGCAGCGTAATAAATCCCTTATTACACTTGGCAGTGTTATTATCCGGCTTGTGGAAGCGTCGCATCGGAAGTGCCGTATGAGTTACTATGCAATATTGCTCTAGTTCGCACGTACACCTGTCATTTTATACGACTGTATTCGCGAGCGGGACCGTTGAAAATCATCTCTCAGCACGCATCAGTGATCTTTTTCTACAATATGTATGTATTTTAGACACTGGAACTTCCGTTGGCAAAGAACCACCAGCCAATACCCAGACGACCAACCCCGTTAGACGTAATGCCACAAATCAAATCGCTTCTTCCACGATCCCTTCCAAAAACCAAAGTTCGACGAATGTCTTGGCACCACCAAAGCCGACCGCATCCAACGGTAAGAGCAGTAAAATTTAGTTCCACAAACAGTACATTCGGAATTTTCGTTTTAGGCTCAGAAACCAGGTTCCTGAACACCAGTGCTTCCGCAGCCAGTGGAAGCAGTCGCCCTGGTGGCAACATTCTGTTAGGTACGTTCTGGCTGCGGAGTTCACCCGTATAGTTACAATCTATCGGTTAGCAGAAGCACTGATCGCGTTACGTTGTATATAATATTGTCATGAAATCATCCTCTGTTGATATTGTAAATAAATTAATTTGCGGTTCCAGGCCGGCTTGATATCACCGTACCAAGTTTTTTTCCGTTCCGTACGGCAGCTTTCAAATTCAGATGTTCAACACCACTTCACTGACTTCACATCCAGTCTTATATTACGCTCCGGCCGTGACTCTCCTCCCAGATGCCACGGAAATCATGCTCGACACCGAAACCGGAGCCAACTGTCTCTTCGTCGAAATAAAGTTGTGGGATAAACCATACTTAACAGCTATCCAGGATTTCGTACGGGCACAGGATCCACAGACTACGATTTCTCTGATCCCGTTCAAATGGATCCTGGTGGAATATTCGGCGAACGGTTTTACCAGAAGTATCAAGAACAGTTCGTGGCAGCCCATTGCTAGCATGCCGCCAACAGTGTCGCTGTGCATCCGTTGTCCCACACCGGCTGCTTGCAACGAAACCAAGACGGCCATTCAAACCGACGGCGCGCGTTTTGCACCGCATCTGTTCGTGTCGTTCGCTACGCAGGCGCCAATTTCACGAAAAGTCCCTTTCTGTATCGATAAGAAAGGTCTTCCGTATAACGCCATTACCAGCAGTGTAATCGAGCGTTCGGCCTTCCAAAATTACACCTTCATCCGGCCCAGTGATTATGCCAATTTCGTTCAAAGGTTTGTTGGGGATGTGGTTGAAAAAAGCCTGGGAACGAATGAGTTCGTGGACGCTGATGAAATAGACAAACTCATAAGCCAAACATATTCATTGTTTCCCTATAATGCAACAACAACCGCGAATTTTACCGACGCCATGTGGGCGGCCTTGTACTGGGACGATAATGATAATGAAAGACCGGATAAGAAAGCCCGACGAGTACAGAGTGTTCTAGGTAATGGAAATGCCTGGTTGCAGCGAACTATGGAAGAGAACGCTGCTGCGGACAGTCGCAATGATTCGCTAAGATCGGAGAACTCTCAATCCCTATCCAAAGCGTTGGATGAGCTGAAATCGCCGACTAGCGGGATTTACTGGAGTGGCGATCGGATATTAATCAAACCGTTTGCACTGTATCGGGTTAGTTTGGAAGCGTTCCGTCAGAAAACCCCACTGTGCAGTGGGAGCATTCATATTACGAGCAGCACTGCCGAATATACGGTCACCGCGAACACCGATAATGGATTATCGAATGCAGAAACATCGCCACCCGTTTCTGCAAACCAACTCTGTCAACCTGGTAAGAGAATTATTAGTGAATGTGACCTTTTCATTACCACCTGTAGTTTAGATACTCTCCTTTCTTAGCGGCGTGAATTTACTATACTATCGCTTATGTGCGAGTACAACAGAATAATGAACAGTTAGAGTTCTTGCTTATCTTCGCGACGGTAGTTTTTATGACTTGTCCTGTTCCGTAGATGTCGCCATTGATCGACCCACGTTCGGATATACCACGGTACAATGGCAGAGTCGCCGGGCTGACAATCTATGGGCATTTTCCAATGAAGATATCCTGGTGACCCTGCGAGACGCCAGCGATGAACCATTCAATCAAACTATCGTAACCACCAGCGATCTCTCGGGTGAATTTAACCTAACTCTACCCCGAACCACGGGCTACAGCATTCTTTTCGAAGCATTCGGATATGCTCCCATTATACTGCGAAACTTCTCCCACTTCTTCCGTTTAGGCAAAGAGATTTTCATGGAACCCCTTATTTTTGCTCCAAAAGAGTTTAACGGGTTCGGAAAAATAGGAGGAAGCATACGTCTGGTCAGTATTAACGGCGCTACTTCAGGTTCCGGGATTGAAGTACAAGTGCGATATGGTCTGAATAATTACAAGGGTCCGCTTGTGGCGAACACAACCACCAACACCAATGGCACGTGGTCGATAGCATTACCGGGAGGCCATTACACAGCTAGAGTGAAGGCACCTGGAGACCAGTACATGGCACCAGCGTTTAGTGTAGTAGTAGTTCCTGGACGCGATAGCTTCCGTGACTGGGCGATGACACCAGGGTTGCTGAACGGGGACATCAGAATTATCCTACGAGGAACTGGATTTGGCACGTACGATGTTAAACTGCTGGTGTCCGGACCGCTGCAGGACAACAGCGCCCAACGGGTGGAGGTGAGAGAGAACTCCACTATTAGCGCGGACAAACTGATGGTTTACTACCATATGGACGCGATCTTCAGCACTGTCATTATTCGGAAGCAGCTGACCGGTGTTTATCGAATACAAGTCTATGAAACTAATGCGATGCAGTCAAAACCGGCTTCGCAATGGATGCTAGCCAACTCGCAAGCCTCAGTGCAGATCTATCGTGGTGATACACTATGGGCGCAATATTTCGTACCGATCAAAACCGGTAACAATTGGACTGTTGCGGAAATCAGCGGGTTGCGCCTTACTACTGTAAATGAAATGAGCACCGTCAAGCAGTCTTAACCGACTCTTAAGGATCAACGAGGAAGCGTGTCTTTCGAGTGAAAGCATTAACATTTCGCAACGATGTTTTTTATATCCAATGTAATGTATGTAGCCGATTTTGTTGTAACTCTTTATAAGATCGGCCTCTTGTCCCACAAATTTATGAAATGTAGATTCTCATCTATATGTCGGTGCTGTGGATAGCAATTCTCAGGTATATAGGCGTATTCAAAATTATGAAGTAGTTAAAATACGCAAAAATTTCATAATTCCATGGAACAGTACATCAAAATTTAATGCTGTTTTCCAAAATGTAAACTGTACTACATAGTCGCAAATGAAATAACTGCTAGTGTCTATGTTGTTGCACAGGTGCAGCAGTAGACCGCGTCGCGATCGCACGTATCGGCGTTTACTCGCAGTGTCGCCGCGCTGACAATCTGTCGGCCCTTTAAAAATGAAAATATCATCGTGACTCTACGAGACGCCAACGACCAACCGTTCACTCGGACTATGGTAATGACGGATGTCTCGGGAGAATTCAATTCACGTTTACCACTTACCACCGGCTACAGCCTGCTTTTTCGAAGCCTTTGGATATGCTCCCATCGTACTGCGTAATTTCAACCAATTGTTCAGCATAGGCAATGATGTCGTCATGGAACCACTTCTCTTTATTCCGAAGACGTACAACGGGTTGGGAACAACAGGAGGAACTATACGTTTGGTTGGTAGTAACGAGTCTGCTTCGGGCTCAGGTGTGCAAATACTACTGCGAAGTGGCTTGAACACCTGCACCGGCCCATTTGCTGCTACCACCATCACCAATATAAACGGCACCTGGTCCTTGACGCTTCCAGGAGGATATTATACAGCTCCAGTAAAGGCACCCGGGGATTTCTATACAGCGCCACCGTTCAGTGTGGTAGGGGTGCCTGGGCGGGACAGTCTTCGTGACTGGGCCATGACACCAAGGTTATCAAACGACGAGGTCAGAATCATCTTGCGAGGAACTGGATTTGGCCTGTACGATGTTAAACTGGTAGTTTCCGGGCCTCCGCAGGATAACAGCACTCAACAGTTAGCGGTGGTGGCACGGAACTCTAGGGTTAGCGCGGACGGGTTAATGCTGTACTGTTACATGGACACGATACTGTTACATGGACACGATAAGAAGTCATACGAGTTATGGCGATGAAGCGGGTATGGGTTATTTGGTAGCTGCTCAGTAGGTTCTCTCGCTGTTTGCTTTAAAAGTCTTTCGTAAGTAATGTTAACGTTAACGTGCGTTTGCGATTGATTGCAAAGTTAATGTTAATGCCGGCGTCCACTTTGGCGGTGCGATAAAACCAGTTTTTTGCATTGCTCACTTAGAAAACATGAATTGCTTTGTACAAACTTTTACATGCGCACGCTTTGTCCAAACACAACTGTATCAACTAGTCATATAATATTAAACGCTGTCTCTGAAAATGGCTGTCTTGATTGATACCTAAATTTAATGGGACGTCAGCCGTCGACAAACTGACGGTTGCATAAGAACCTAAATACCGCAAAAACGTCCAGCTCCAGGCAAAACAGCCGATATCTGGCCAAATATAAGTATTTTCTGTATCAATAACAACTGTGAGAAAACCAGGGGTCTGAATTGCTTCGGTACCAAGGAGAGCGTACGCTGCGTACCGATGCTTACTTTGCTCACTGTAAGCCTGCAACACCACTAACTTTAATAATTTGTCGGGCACTTTATTCTTATTTTTTTCCATAAATTGTACACATTATAATGGACAAATCTGGATTCTTTCTGCTCTTAATTTGTCTTTTATTTCGTATGATTGCTTGTGGTACGTATATGGATCTCGAATAGGAACCGCTCGTAGAAATTAGTGATTCTTCTACTTTCAAAGTAAATGCTCGTGCGATACAATTTGCCCAATGCCATACTCAGCCATAGCGTGTGACCAATACGAGTAACTAACACGCGTACGCCTAATCGAGCCAGCAAACTGTACGTTTTGAAAATATACCTATAAATGTGAACAATTGTAGAAGCAGGCATAAAGTGTTCTTCAGCAATTATTTTTTGACATTAAATTAACTGCTGGGTTCCCCTTTGTTTGACTTTGACGCCCCTTTACAGATGCTTTCGTGCAACTAAAGAAAGATGATTTCGTGGTAAACCACCGCATAATTTCAGTTATCGGGTCTGCTGTACCTGTTAATATAATAAGCGTTATGGCACTGGGGCAAGGCTGTGCCTTTTGCGAGACATCGGTTTTCATTTGGAAACATTATAGATTATTTAGTTTCATAATACCGAGATTTAAATCGAAAAACCGGCACGTGTAAATGCTAGTCTGATCGGGTATCTGAGATAGTGCAGCACTGCATCGGAGACCAACAAACTTCAGTTTTTAAAAACCAACTTATTCTCTTTACGTTCTCCAAAAATTAATCAGCAGCGAATGTCACTGTCGTGGATACGCTGAAAGAGAAATCCACATCAAGAAAAATAATTGTCATTCACGAGCAAACAGTTTAAATCGTCCAGCTAAATTCTTGATTTTATTTTTACTGAACCGTACGCATATAGATAGTATTGCAACGGCAACTTCTAAGCTGCCACTAGTGGAGTGGGCACACCCGTACCACGACAAAACGAGGTTTGATGGTTCGTCGGTGACCGTCGGTGATGTTACGAGTTAGCGAATTACCCAAAAATCAGTTATGCAATTGCGAACATGTTAACCGATACCAGCGCGATTGTCAAAGTGCAAAAACATTTTTAATCAGCTGGAAAGTCACTGGGGAAGAGCAAGGGCAAGGGCAAGAGCAAGAATAATTTTAGAGCATCCAGACGATCTCAGAAGTCTAGAAAATCCACGTTAGAACTGGTCATTTCGTACAAGTACACATTCAGATGTTTCCGGTTGAACTAGCACCCATGAGATGTACATCTTCACTACAGATCTCATTTGTAGGGCTACAGAATCGTATCAAGGAAACTATCGTATCCAACCTGCTTGAAACTTGGCTGTAGAAGATCTCAGGCTCATCCAGACAGACCAGTCTGATTTGGACCCGTATGTAGCCCTTTTCTGACGACAACATCCTGGTGAACTTAAACGGTGTACTTTCCAGCTACTTCGTGTTAATTGTACAGTCACCTCACAGTACCATCCGGTTCCAAGCATTGGGATACAATATCCCATCGTGCTGTACAGCGTTTAGTGCTTACCATTAGTAATGTCACCGTGCGTGGCACTGCGTGCCAACGGCATGATGCTCTACGATTACACCGATACGATCTTCGGTAGCGTTATAATAATATTATTATGTCGTTATTCTGCCGGTATCTACCGCGTCAAACATTACTCTGCGCTCTGTTGAAACGACAACGGACCATAGCAAACGCGATACCGACGCGACCAATTCCGCATAAATGCAACAGTAAGAGGTTTTTCATTGGATTTTCTGGCAGATCAGCCGACTTCGGTCAAATGGCTCGAGGGGTTTTCTACAAAAATGCAAACAAAGCGCGGCAAGCGACAGTGCTTAAGCGCGGCAAGCGTGCTTACGTTGCGACAGCAGACAGAATTGGTCACGGTGTTCTTATGCATAATTAATTACTGTACTTCGTAGTACGTACTACAACCCACCGAAGTTCGCAGATTATGGCAACCGAAAGGGTGGTCGACAGTCCAATGGCAGAACTGTCGGCAGTAATTACCAGAATTATTCATTACGGTCGCAGTAAGCCGTGACACAAGCTTTTTTAAGCGAATATATAACCGTGCAATGGCTAAGCTTTACTGATCGAGCCGTCAGCCGTTGGCAAAACAAAGCAAATACCGCGCGAAATCCTGTTTCCGTAAAACAAGTATATGAGCTCCATCAAGCTTGAGGCAACAACAGCTGACATCGGCCTAGTGGATACCTATAACTGTATAAATCACGCTTGAAAGAAAATAACGCTTAAAAACTGTTCTATGTGCAAACCATGCGAACTTCGCTTGCTGCAATCTCAATATTCCTTTCGATTAGTTCACACATCAATAATGCGTAAGTTCGGATACTGGCTATTGCTGATTTACCTTTCCTTGACTGATTGTGGTAAGCGAATGATGATAATGTCTTACATTAAGATTATTAGGTTCGAGGTATCTCAGCGCTGGAAGGAACTGTATCAGTTCCTTGTAAACGTATGATTGTGCGTAAAATAGAGAAACACAAGAACATACTCCCAATCGAGCTTACATGCTGTACTCCCTGCAAATTTATTAAGACAAGTGTATCAAAATTACGTACAGATAAAGAATTATCGAAAAGATTCACTTCCGCATAATTGGTAGCACGCTGTGATTGCAGCATCACTCGACCTCACCGTACGCGCGACGTTCTCCATTCCTAATGACAGCTTCCAAATTCTGATATTCAACACGACATCAACAGCTTCGTATCCCATTATGTATTATACACCGGCTGTCACTCTCCTCCCAGATGCCACGGAAATCATGCTAAATCCCGAAAGCGGCGCCAACTGTGTCTTCATCGAACTAAAACTGTGGGATAAAGCATTCGTGTCGGGTGTTCAGGATTTCGTCATAGAGAGTACACAGGATCCACAAACGGTGATTGCACCCATCCCCTTCAAATGGATCTTGGTCGCATACTCGGTGGATCGTTACAACATAAGTATCAAGGACAGTTCGTGGCAGCCGATTGCCAATATGCCACCCACAGTGTCGGTGTGCATCCGCTGTCCCACACCGGCGGCGTGCAACGAAACCAAAACGGCCATTCAAACGGACAGCGCCGGTTTTGCCTCTCATCTGTTCGTGTCCTTCGCCATGCAGTCACCCGTTTCACGAAAAATCCCGTTTTGTATCGACAAGAGCGTCCTTCCTTATAACGCCATTTCGGACCTGATAATCGAGCGTTCCGCCATACAGAACTACATCTTTATGCGCCCCGGCGATTATACAAGTTTTGTTCAGACTCTTATTCGAAATGCCGTTGATCAGGGCCTGGGAACGAATGAATTCGTGGGAGCAAATCAAATGGATAAACTTATAAGCGAAACATATAACCTGATTCCGTATAATGCGACAACAGCCGCCAACTTTACCGACGATATGTGGGCGGCGCTTTATTGGGGTGACGGCGAGCGGCCGGATGAAAAAGCACGGCGACTGCAGACTATTCTGGGCCATGCTAGCGCCGGGTTGCTGAATACGGTTGACGAAAGAGCGGATGTCAGCCATCGCAATGGTTCCCTGAGGTCCGGGGATTCTCGGTCTGTAGCAAAGGCGGTGGATGAAATAAGATCGTCGAGCGGCGGAATTTACTGGAACGGTGATCTATTAGTAATCAAGCCATTTCCAGTATTTCGTGTTAGTTTAGAAGCGTTCCTCCAGAAAAAGCCGGTGTGCAGTGGATTTGTCCGCATCATGAGCAGTCTCTCCGATTACGCGGTTACCGCGAATGCCGGCAAAAGTTTTCCTGATAAAAAAGGGTTTTCCCCCAGTCAAGTCTGTAAACTAGGTAATGCGCAGTGATACTGGAGCGCCTCGCACCGTTACAGGCTGTTCTGCTAACCGTCGAAATATTGACTGTCTGGTGATTAAAATGCACATTTACTGTAACAAGCTGAATAATCCTTATAGGTTTTATAAAAGCAAATACATGTAAGAATGTGCTTCCCAAAAATTCGAAGTGCATATTAAATTAATTTTCATAGTAGCCGCATTGTTGTTCTCTAGAAGTATTTCTTTTTGCGCAAATGTGATCTCTGCTGTTCTTCAGGTGCGGAAATCGATCGCCCCGGTGTCACGCTGGCCGCCGTCCATTGTCAGAGTCGTAATGCGGAGAGTTTGTGGGCCTTGTCCAACGCCAGCATCATGGTGACTCTCCGAGACGCTAACGACCAATCGTTGTGTCAGTGGGTCGTGACTACCACTGAGCTTTCGGGTGAATTCACATTAACTCTACCACGAACCACTGGCTACTACAGTGTCTTGCTCGAAGCGCGCGGATATAATCCCATCGTGCTGCGAAACGTTTCGCATCTGTTGAGCTTCAGCAACGAGGTTTTCATGGAACCGCTTCTGTTTATCCCGAAAGAGCGTGGCGGACTTGGAGTAACAAGAGGAACCATACGACTATTGAATGGTAGCCGCACGGATAACGGTACAGGAATAGAGATTCAACTGCGAGCTGGTTTATACAATTATAACGGCCCGATAGCGGCTACCGCAACAAGCACAAATGGGTCTTGGTCAGCGGTGCTTCCGACAGGACACTACACAGCGACAGCAACGGTACCTGGATATAATTACACCGCACCACCGTTTACCGTTACAGTGATCGGCACGTACCGCAGTTATCGCGACTGGGCGATGACACCCGTGTTGGAAAGCAGCGATCTGAGGATTTTCTTACGAGGAACCCAAAGTTATCTACACAGCCAGTACGATGTCAAACTGCTGATTACGGGGCCGCTGCAAGGCACGACGGCGCGTGGACAAGTGCGCACTAACGCCACCGTTAGCGCCGACGGCCTAATGCACTACGACTTCATCGACACGGTCTTCAGTAGCGTCCACATTCGGAAGCAGTTGGCCGGTATCTATCGGATACAAGTGTACGAAGTCAGCGCAATGCAAATAAAATCGACTGAAGATTGGGAGTGGAATTTGGCCAATTCGCAATCTATGGTCCAGATCTTCCATGGCGATGCGTTGTGGGCGCAATATTTTGTGCCGATTAAAAGGGGAAATATCTGGACCGTGGCCGAAATCGATGGACGGCGTCTCCGTGTTGTAAACGATATGCAAACCGTTGTCCCTCCGCCAACTAGCGATACTTCTATACAAGAAGATTAAGCAGCCACAGACAACAAGCCTTATGCAGCGCCAGGAGAATTGGTACCGGAAGGATAGCTGTTGAGAAATAATTATTTCTGCCACTTTGAAGTGGAACCGACTGCTGGCTTGCCCCTGTGTTTGTCTATCACGCCATATTACGATATTTTCTTGCAGTTAAGGAAAACGCGTTCGGGGTGTGCCGCCGAATTCCAAGCTTCTTCCGCTATGTTGTACAGTACATGTTAAGGAAAATAATCCGGGACGACGTGTGTGTGTAGCGGCTGTGCCGCTTTAGTATGTATCTGTAATCTATGCACGAGTGCACTTGTTTAAGATGTACGAGTAGTTGAAAGTTTGAAACTGCCCAGATCAGGCGCTCAAGCGCAGTCACGGCTAATGTGATCATGTCATTCTCTGACGTTCTGAGATTTCGGTTTTGAATTAAAGAGAATCTGGGATTTCTGGTGTTTCTAGGCTAGAACTCGGTATTTCTAATAGTATAGAATGTAAAGAGATCGGCCTGCATATCCAACTACGTTACACATTTTTAACGTCCTTTAACAATGTACATAGATAGGTAGATACACTTTTACCAGGAAGAGAAAAGTCTACTCAACCCGAATACGTTAAGCTTGAAGTATTGTAACAGTGGCCTATCTGGCTACTGTTCTAGTGGGGTGGCGATCAGCCTTTACCACGATTAAACGGCTGTTGGGGTGAAAGGTGGCACGACCGGCAACGATGCTGGCCGAGGACGCTCTTACAGATGTAACGCAATTACACAGGTGGCTCCGATTGGGATGACGCTAGTTCATCCCAAGCGGTCAAACGCAACAACGTAACTCAAGGCATGTTTAATGACAAGGGAATCAAGAACGCAGCAAGGTTGTAAGCAAGGGTTTCGGCAAGAGAAACACAAGTAGATGCAAGCTGTAGCAAGCGAGTGTCAAGACTGAATTCTAGAAATTCATGAGAAAGGAAACTAGCCGGTAAAGTGGACAAATTCATAACGCGATGGAATGATTCATCATAACTGGGCGGTCTTATCGTTGGTACAAATACTATCGCTACATCCCTCACGGTAGCGATGAGATATACCTGTCTCATCAAGACAACAACAACTCAAAACATAAGAAAACAAGAAAATTAAGCGTTAGGAATTAGTAAACAGTACAACACAATGGTTCGGGATGATCCTTAAGGCGTGGTGGTCCCTCACGTTGAACAACCACGAGAATCCATCCGGCGATCGGAAGGATCCTACAGTCAGGTTCCGCTGGGCATGTCCGGGATTGGGAAGGGGTCCCTCACGGTATCCGGAAATTTTCCTCGTTTATCCGGCGATGTGGGGGAGTAGTGGGAGTTTCACATAACGGCAGTGTGCCGGCGTTTGGGTGAATAATTTTATGCGGTTGTCTCATTAACTGCCGGTAGAACGGTGAGTGACGAATACTTTGTATGATCGAAGCCATTGCTTTTAATTTAGACTTTAGAGGTGTTGATTTTAATTTACTTTTTGATAACTTTGATGGAAATTTAGCTTTTGACACTTCTTGTGTTAAGGAAGTCTGTTCTGTATGCGGAATTTCATCGCTTTCGGCAACTGCTTTTAATTTCGACGATACCAATGCGGAGATTTCAGTTATTAATTTTTCGCACATTTTCAGTTTTTGTGGAATCGTTATGTTTTTACTAGAAACAATCCGACAATTCGAACAATTATTATTTAAGCTTTTAACGACAGATGACTTAATGTAAGGTGTTCGCGGTCTGAGAAAATCAGATGTTTGCATATTTTCTCGTTGTTCAGTTAATATCAGTCTGCAACGAGATGCCGATTTATCCAAACGATTACTGTAAAAGTTAATTTCTTCAGTATCGTAGAATTTAGGGGGTACATAGGCATGTCCATAAGGCCCTCCTTTATTATAAGATCTCAACCGTTTTCCTTGTTCACTGTACCAAAACGAATCTCCTGTTCGGCGTAACATGTATTTTATAAAGTTGTCGTACTGTGACTGCACTTTGGCTTTAATGTCATCGGGGCATATGCGCGGTAATGTTTGTTTGTCGTCAAGGCTGAAATTTGTGCATTCACCATACGAATGGAAAAAATCTTTACATTTAGGACAAAATAATTTCCCATTGTGTAGTCGATAGCTGTCGAAATCGATGAATTTTGGATGTACAATTTTGTCCGCGTTACAGTGTTTCCGATTATAATATTTTAAACGATCTCGTTTGGGCGAATTCTTGCGTAGTCGTGGAGAATAATATTCTTGACTGTGAACACGTTCGCGCGAGTAACTGCGGTGCGACTCACGACGATACTCGTAACTACGGTTTCGTTCGCGATAATAATTTTGGCTTTCCCAGTGACTTGAACGATATTGTTTTTTATTGTCTTGACTGTCGGGCGAGTGGCGACGGTAATGTTCACGGGCATGCTGCGAACGTGAGCGGTCACGATACGCACTGAGTGACCGATTGCCATCATAAATGCGGCGATCTCTGTAATATTCATCATGTGTGCGGCGCCGGCGTGGGACCGGTGACCGGTGGTCATCTGAACCGCCAAAGTCACTATAATTTTCATGACGAGCGCAATGTCGGTGCACGGCGTCGTCTCTGTTGTTACTGTACGAGTACAGGTCACGATCAGCAGGGCGATTAATTTCTACATTTCTTGACTGTGAAACCGAACATTCTGCTTTGCCAGCGTTATATAATTTTACGAGCACAGAACGAATCTCAGGTAATGTAGCTGCCTTCGACAATGCCAGATACTTCCTGTATTCTGGTACATCAAAAAGCGTGCGGTGAACTTCAGCAACTTTATAGGAATCGGGCATGTTAGGATCGATTTCGTTAAAAAGTATCTGTAATTCATCGAGAAAATCGTTAATGTCTGTTCCTTTTTGGTACATCATTTTGGATAATTTAAGGCGTTTTTTGACGACATAATCAAAAGGAAGAAAACGATCAATTAATTCAGTTTTCCATTCTTCGTAACTTAATTTTGAACATGTAGGCCAATTGCACTCAAAGTATTGACGTGCTGTATCACCAAGGTAGGTAGGTAATATGCAAATTTTCTGGATTGAACTCCATCCAATTGCATCGGCAGCTCTCTCGAATTGTTGAAAGAAAGCTGTTATACTATAATCTGGTTGATCGTTAAAAACTTTGATTTTGAAATCCTTCCCACTTAACCGTTTCTGCGATTGTAAAGCAAGCGCTTGCAACACGCAGTTAAAATCAAACTGTCCTTGCTCATTTGTAATGTTCGCGGTATGAGCAGGTGTGGTGTGCTGCGCAGCTGTGTGTACGGCAGACTCTCTCTGGGCGGTTGCTAACTGAGCGCTATGCAAAGCAGTGGGAGTGAGTGACTCATCGGAAGGCTCATCATCTGAAAAAGTGATTAATTGTTCTTCCCGTTTATAACGTTTTTCCAGTCTGTCGTGTAGAAGCACCGGTTCTGTCTGGCTGATGTGGGTGCATGCTGTATCCCCACGCACTGTGCTCTGTCCAGTGTCTGTTTGCGGCTGTGCGCGTGCATCTGTAATGTTGCATGCCGGGGGAGTTGTAGCAGGCAGGCCGGGAACAGGCTGGACAGCAGACGCTGATGTTGTGCTGTCTCTGTGTAATGTCGGCAGTGAAGGCGCACTGAGCTTTCCAGTGCAATCAACCTTCACATGTTCATTCGGTAAAGTAATGTTGTGCTTTCCCATGTAGGAAGTTAATTTATCAACATAACCTGACCGAGAGACTTTCCTGTTAATGTAGACATTCAGACTGTTGCTGATGTCTTGCAGCTGCGCCTTGGTGAGTTTACCAAGTTGAGACTGCAAATTTATCTTCTGAGATTCCATTGAACTGGTGGACCATGACAGTTAATGTTGTGCTCTCAGAGCATCCAGAGCGGTGTTTACGATACACAAGAAAGTTTTGGCGCGAACGAGAGCAAGGCGGCAATGCGGTGCCGGTGAACAACGTTAATATAACAGTCAACGAAAGCGCAAACAAGTAATATAACCGGAATATTATGTACCGTATGTTAATATTTGACACGAAAACTGATGCCAACAAAACAGGAGCGATGATACGAGTATGAAATAAGTAAGTTAGCGTTCGCTGAATTAATGTAAAACTTTGATGTAATTAATATATCAACGGTGAAAATGCAGTTTCACTTCTTTAACTGATGCTGTAACACTCACAAAACGGCGATGGCTATCCGTTCCGGGACTTCCGCAGGCTGGTATGGGAAGTGGCGATGGTATGATAATCGCGGGTGTTGGCTGCAGGCGTCCAGGTGGTGTGGTTCTTTACAGGAGCGCCATGTAACAGTGGCCTATCTGGCTACTGTTCTAGTGGGGTGGCGATCAGCCTTTACCACGATTAAACGGCTGTTGGGGTGAAAGGTGGCACGACCGGCAACGATGCTGGCCGAGGACGCTCTTACAGATGTAACGCAATTACACAGGTGGCTCCGATTGGGATGACGCTAGTTCATCCCAAGCGGTCAAACGCAACAACGTAACTCAAGGCATGTTTAATGACAAGGGAATCAAGAACGCAGCAAGGTTGTAAGCAAGGGTTTCGGCAAGAGAAACACAAGTAGATGCAAGCTGTAGCAAGCGAGTGTCAAGACTGAATTCTAGAAATTCATGAGAAAGGAAACTAGCCGGTAAAGTGGACAAATTCATAACGCGATGGAATGATTCATCATAACTGGGCGGTCTTATCGTTGGTACAAATACTATCGCTACAGTATTGAAGTAACCGATACCTATAAAGTAACCGTAGCGCTTGTGACCGTTTCGCCGTTCATTCAAAACGGACAGTGCAAGAGCAGATCTATGCAAATTAGTACGATCAATTAGCAGGCGCGTGCAATTGTCGTGTTCTTAGCTGTCCTAGCAGGTAATGTTGTGCTTCCTCTAATTTTCTACTGTTATTTTTCGTCTACTGTTATTTATCCTGATGACCTAGCTACAACGCATTTCGTTTATTTGTAACCATATTACACCTATTAAAAGAAAATACATACATGCTTTACAATAATTATTACGTTTGGTCGACGGTCATTTGAACTCCGTATTTCCTTTCCAAAATATTGCTGCGCGCTTAAAACTGTACGATTAATCAATCAAACAATATTATAATAGCTAATTACGGTAGCACTGTTGCATTTTGCGAACAAAAAATGCCAGTCGATCTGTGAGAAAAATGCCAACACCAGTTTTTGATAACCATACCATTTGGGCCTGAAGAATTTCAGTACGTACTTGTACTGAGAGCTTATGGAAATGAGCGGGTATAAGCCACTACTCGCCTGCCGTATCGAAAGATAGATAATTTTTATGTACAAGTTACAGGTATTTTTATGGCTGTGTACCCTATCTGTACATGGGTAATTTTTCAGATTTCAAGTTAAGTTTTCTGCAGCTTATTTATGCATATTCTGTTGCATATCGGTTGCATTTATGCATATTCTGTTGTATATCATATTCTGTTGCATTTTTGCATATTCTGTTGCATATCGAATCACGTCAAGCGATACCGATATGCAGAGGAACCTGCTGAATAACCTAAAAGATTTCAGATCAGCAAAACTACCTTGCAGGATGCCGCTTGTAAAAGATGTTTGTTGAGTTACGGGCAACATACCTAAATATTCATATAAATTTTTTCAGACAAAGAATAACAAATTTTGAGGAATGGTGTTTTAATATTGTTAGATCTTCCACTACACGTAAATGGCAGTACTAAATAATAACACTTCAGTAAATACTGCAACACAAATACCAAATCCACGATAATGTAATAACCGCAAATTAAACAATTTTCATCCACGGTAAAACGTGTTGAATACAAACAATCAACTGGATCAGTTTAACGTCTACTGCAGCCTGAAGGCAGGATAATCGTAAGGATAACGTAAATTTCGGTATAGATTAATTAACCTAACTCTAGTATATCTTGCGGAGCAGCAGCCTGCTTCTGTTTAGTAGGCCAAGGGGGAACGATCTGCATGTCATTGACGGTATTGATTTGCGCACCGTTAATTTCGGCCACCGTCCACATATTCCCCTCCTTAAGTGACACGTAATACCGCGCCCACAATTTATCACCACGGTAGATCTCCACCATTGATTGCGAATTGGCCAGATTCATTTTCGGCAGTTTAGAAGTGGGTTTTGGCTGCAGCGCATCAGTTTCATAGACCTGAATGCGGTAAACACCGGGCAGCTGCTTCCGGATAAGAACGCTGCCAAATATCTGGTCCATATAGTCATACTTCATCAATTTGTCCGCGCTAACCGTGGAGTTGGCTCGCACTTCTGCAGTCTTGTTAGACTTGCCCTTCAGCGGCCCGGTAACAATCAATTTAACATCGTACGGACCAAAAACACCGTTAGTCGTGAATCCGTTCCCTCGCAAGACGACGCGGATATCTCCCTTTTCAAACTGTGGGGTCATCGCGCAGTCCCGAACGTCATCGATTCTGAACACTGGAACAGTGAACGGCGGGGCCGTGAACTTGTTATCAAGTGACGATACTGTTGCCGTGTAGTGTCCTCCAGGGAGCTTCACCGACCAGAGGCCATTTGCATTGGTGGTCGTTGTAGCCACAACCGGACCCGTGACGTTGTTCAGTCCATTTCGCAGCTGCACTTGGAACCCTGGGGCAAAATAGGCACCGGTGGTATTGACCAGGCGTACGGTTCCCAGTGCTTTTCCCATTCCCTTGAAGTCCTTGCGAATGAATCCCAACGGCTCCAAATAAACATCGCTGCCTGGGGTGAAGAACTGGGTGAAGTTGCGCAGTAGGATGGGAGAGTAGGATAATTTCCCGAATCCAGAGGTTTCGAAAACGATGCTATATTGGTTGGTACGTGACACATTTAACTGAAATTCCCCAGTGACAGGAGTGGTTTTTTCGCTCGACTGTATCAAAAATTTGTCGTTGGCGTCGCGAATTCTTATCCGTATAACTGAATCGGACATAGCCGACAGGGTATCAGGTCGACGAGCCTGCCAGTGGACGGTGACCATTTCGTTCTCGAGGGTCTCAGGCGGAATATCTAGAATTATGAACAATTCATTAATAAACGATAACAAATACGTAATAATTATTATCTTAATATTATATTTTAATAAAAGATCCTAAACACATACGTAAGTGATCATACTACTTTCTATTAACATTGTGGTGAAAGACAGGATTTTTTGACTGTTGCCGACAGCACAAGTTGTACCACCGAGTGGAGTAAATAATTATACGGATATTTGCATACATAATATTCGACGTTCAGCGCGTAACTATCTGTAATGCCCAGTAGTAAGAAGAAAACGGCCGGATACGTTTCTAGCGGAACTTGAGTGGGCGGCTACAGTACTTAAAACCGAAGTGCTTAGTAAATAGAAGAGTACGACCCGTCGATATCATCGATCCGTCATAATTCCGCATACCTGAATTTGGAATTGCGTTGGTCTCATTAGTAGCCGAAGAGGAAACAGTCCCATTAGTAGACGAACAGGGAACCGTTCCATTATTTGGCGAAGAAACGGTTCCATTAGTAGGCGAAGGGGAGACGGTTCCATTAGTGGGCGAAGAGGGAATAGTTCCATTACTTGGCGAAGAAACGGTTCCATTAGTATGCGATTTGGAAACGGTTCCATTGTTTGGCGAAGAAACGGTTCCATTAGTATGCGATTTGGAAACGGTTCCATTGTTTGGCGAAGAAACGGTTCCATTAGTAGACGAATTAGAAACAGTTCCATTAGTAGGAGAAGAAACGGTTCCATTTGTAGACGAATTGGAAACGGCTCCGTTACTTGACGAATTGGATAAGGTTCCATTAGTAGACGATGGGGCACCGGTCCCATTAGCAGGAAAAGAAGGATCGGGCTCACTGGTAGTCGTAGAGGCGTCCGGCTCACTGGTAGTCGTAGAAGCATCAGGTTCACCGGTAGTTGTAGAAGCATCAGTTTCGTTGGTAGTCGTAGAGGCATCAGTTTCAGTGGAGCTAGTAGAAGCATCAGGCTCACTGGTAGCCGTGGAAGAATCAGGGTCACTGGTATCCGTTGAGGAATCAGGCTCACTGGTAGGCGAAGTGGAATCAGGCTCATTGCCACCCGTAGAAGAATCCGGCTCACTGGTGGGCGTAGAAGAATCGGGCTCACTGGTAGCTGTAGAGGAATCAGGCTCGCTGGTACCCGTAGAGGAATCACCCGGCTCACCCGTAACCGTAGAGGAATCAGGTTCAGTGGTACCGGTAGAGGAATCCGGCTCACTGGTAGCGGTAGAGGCATCAGGATCACTGGAAGCCGTTGAGGAATCAGGCTCGCTGGTATTCGTAGAGGAATTAGGTTCACTGGTACCCGTAGTGGAATCAGGCTCGTCGCTGGTAGCCGTAGAGGAATCAGGTTCACTGGTACCCGTAGACGAATCAGGTTCACCGGCACCCGTAGAGGAATCAGGCTCACTTGTAAGCGTAGAAGAATCAGGCTCACTGGTAGGCGTAGAGGTTTCGGTCCCATTTACAGGCGAAGAAGAGTCAGTCCCATTATTAAACGCACTGGGAGCGGTCCCATTACCAGCCGAGAAATCGGTTCCATTAGCAGGCGAAGGGGAAGCGGTTCCATTAGACGGCGAAGAGGAATTGATCCCATTGACCGTTTGGTCCAAGAGGCGTGAGTTCGGGATATCTAGAATAATGAACAATGCAAAAGCTGATAATGGATATTATCATAAATTATTATTAATAGTATTACGTTTTTCATAATACTGGGTAAACGTTTCGAAGATTATACTACTACTTCAAACCGAATTACAGGTGAAAAAGATATACTCCGCTGTAATTATTTCGCATACCTGGTTTTGAGATTTCGTTAGTGCAGTCCGGTGGTGCTACACTGTCCGATCCATCTGTACCGGTGGTCGCAGTGACCCTGTATTGGGACTGGACACGGCCCTTCGCAGCTGGCGCGTAAGTAGCGAATGATACGAATAAATGTGAGGCAAAACTGGCACTGTCCGATTCAATGGTCGTCTTGATTTCGTTGCATGCTGACGATGTGGGGCATTGGATGCACAGCGATTCCTGTGGCGGCATCAGCTTACTGGTTATCGGCTGCCACGAATTCTTCTTTATTTCTCCAGTTAAATTGTTCGCAGAGTACTCAGCCTGGATGGATTTGAAGGGAATTGGAGACGTCACGGTCGTTGGGTCCTGCGTGCGTTGTGTGACGCAGTCCTGAATGGCAGACATGTAATTCTTATCCCACAACCTTACTGTGACGAAGACACAGTTGGCTCCGCCTTCCGGGTCCAGCATGATTTCCGTTTTATCCGGGAGGAAAGTAACGGCCGGTGTGAAATACAGCACAGGGTGGGCGGATGTTGGTGAAGTCCCATTGAAAAACTGAATCTGCGAGTTGCCATAGGGAATGGAGAAGCTCGGTGCGGTCAGGTCAAGTGAGGCTTGGTTTATTGCCGCTAGAACAAGAACAGAATCAGATAACCCATTAAATTGGACGTACTGGCAAAGAACGCAATAATATAGGCCCAATTTATAACATCTCAATTGTTTAGAAACATAAGGCAAACAAAAACTGATATGAATGCAGTACGAGTCGTTGACGATAAAACAGGGAGGATAAAAATAACGTAAATGATACTATAAACATAAACAAAGGGATTTGCCGCATAAAACATAAAGCTTGCCGTAAAAATGTAACATCGGAAATCATTCTGTACCAAAATAAACAAATAGATATGAACACATAAACATAAACATAAACATAAACATAAACATAACCATAAACATAAACATAAATATAAACATAAACATAAACATAAACAAACATAAACATAAACATAAACATAAACATAAACATAAACATAAACATAACATAAACATAAACACAAACATAAACATGATCATAATCATAAACCGCAGAATAACGTGGTAACGAAAAAAAAAGGTGCCTGAACCGGTCATAATAATAATAAAGCGTCATCATTTATTTGTAATTATGTAAATGCGTTACAAACTTATACGAGTAGCTTTAGCTGCCTTATCTGGTCATAATAAAAAATTACGTGTTCGATATGCTATCTGGGAAGATGAAATCTTCATCGTTATACGATCGCGATGTTATCACATCCACTTACCACAATGTCCCATCCCGAAGGAAAGGCTAAGTAGCAGAAGCCGGTATGCGGATTTGTGCATCATGGATGTATAAATTGTAAAGTATAAACCAGCGAAAAGGTCAGTCAGAAAGGGTACAAATGCCACGAATTACCAACGTCGTTGGCGTTCCAACATCAGTATCGGAATTTTAAAGTTTATAACGGAATCATCCAGTATTCAGATACTTGTGTTTCTTACAGTTGTTATTTATATCATATACGAGCAGATTACCCATTTTTGCCGCAAGCTGAACACAGCTCCGTAATTACCTAGATACTTTAAGGAATTCAGAATTTACGCAGCACTTTTACCGCCGCTCAAGGAAACCTGCGTAGGAAATATTATGGCCGTCTGAGAAATTAATTGTTATAGCGTACCGTCACTGTAATACCTTGTTAATTATTATTCCCGGCAGTGTGATTACCGGTGTCTACTCGAGTAGTGCCTAACCGGTTGTCGGAGTCTGCAGACTGGTGCGTGATCTATTACGAGGTACGTGTTGTGTAACAACAGCTTGCTGGCTGCGGTTTGAGTGGCAGTGCCGGCACCGTTTTCCGCGTCTTATGCCAATTGTTCTAGAAGGCCCCTAGACGCGGCTAGCCAGGCGCTACGACGGAACTATCCGGAAGTGTCGACATTTACAATACTGCAGACTTTGATAGGATCATTAAGCAGACAATTATGCCCGCATGTATTCTGCAGCCAGCAATTGTTAGTGCCACGTAGCTGCGCTACCGATTCTACAAAACATGGGGAAATGGCGTAACCAACAACAGCACATATTGAACAAAGCGGGACACACGCAGCTCGCGCGTTTTTCCCGTAAAACATACTCCTAATCAAACATGCGCAATTCGCTACAGTAATTTCTTAAGCAAATCTGGCAATGTGTAACCGGGAAGTCAGTAGTTAATACCATACTAAATTATTACCCTTTGCAGAGGGGCTTTTTAAAAACCATTGCCGTGCAAACCTGAAAAGCACTGTACTGTAGGCGTCAGCGCTTCCTGTAACAAGGCAAAATCGCAAACGGCTCACTAATTCAGTTATGGTTACCGTTTGCCCGGATAACTGCGGTAATTCTAGAGCTAATAAGTGCAACCAGCTCGCTTCCGAGCGCAGTTATTGGAGCAAGACCAACCCGACCATCCAAACTCCAGAGCCTTTTTGAAAGAAGCAAAGAAACTTACGGTAGGTCATCATGGCTGGAGGCCGACTTAATTCAATCTTAAGTAACATTCATTTCTGTAAAAAGCAGCATTTTCTGTAATTTTTTTGTGACTACGTAAACTTCCATCCGGTCTACGTTTAAGGGATTTGGCCCGGTACATAGCACTAAAAAAATCGTGTACATTGACGGGAATATGCGCTTTCGCGCACTTTCAAACACTTTTTTGGGTTGCTCTTTGACATTGTGTTGCCAAATAATTGGTATACATAGGCGTGAAATCCGTTTTTGCGCGCAACATCTGATTGCGGAGTTATGAGGGTAACAAAATTCCAAAAAGTTTGAATGCATTCAGCTGTACCAAAAGTTTCATTATGGACCGATCGCTTTCGAACTTTGCATGTAAATGCACATAACCATGAAGATCATTTTGACACGGATCCACTGTGCTTGTATGTTTTTCAAATTTTAAAATGAATTTCAAAAATTTTAGAATTCATTTTAAAATTTGACAAAAATCGTAGAAGTCTGGATCCGTGTCAAAACGATCTTCATGGTTATGTGCATTTACGCGCAAAATTTGAAAGGGATCGGTCAATAATGAGACTTTTGGTACACCTGAATGGATTTAAACTTTTTTGAATTTTGATGCCCTCCTTCGCAACCGGATGTTGCGCGCGCAAACGGTTTTCTCACCTAGGTATACAATTCTTCTGGCTACAAAATACCATAAAGCAATGCAAAAAAGTGTTTGGGAGCGCGCAACAGCGAAACTTCCCCTGGATGTACACGAACTTGGACCTATGTACCGGGCCAAATCCCTTAAGGGCAGCATTTAAGTGTAGCCCACGTAGTAATCGCTTTATCTGTTGTCTATCATGTATTCGTCCAGGAAAGTGATGCGGTGCAGTCACGTCGGTCTGTATTCTCCAGGCCGGAATAAAATCTGGCCAACTCAAAGTCCATCGTGGTGATCGGCACGAGACATCGCGCCCACAATGCATCGCCACGGTAGCGTGGCGAAACGTTGTGGCCGCGATATTTCGAGCCGATTAAGAGTGGAAATTGTTGGACGGTTTCCGGAATTAACAAATCGCTCCTCACTGCTATCAGAAAAACTGGCACCGTTCAATAAATCTGACGGCCACTGCAAAACCCATGGTCGTCCTTTCAGTGCAACGAAAGCTTTCTCTGGTGACAGTCACTTCAAAATTTTGATTAAGGGACAATCTCTACAACGGTCAATGGCGATTTTAACGACGGTGCTCGTAATTCATTTATTGGCTTTTCAGCATTAGACGTTTTACTGCTACCGCCGTTTTAGCATTATTTAGACAATTTATCGTAAGTAAATAAAGTTCTAAGGATATACTCTATTAACACTTAGCAAAATTATACAAACCGCATCGAGGTAAGAAAACCGGTTAGAAAAAGATTAGGAAAGGCAAAAAATGGTGGAGAGGAAACCCCCGCAAGAAAATTTCCCAACCGTGCATCGTAACTGACAAACCCGTCAGGACCAATATTATTTTCCGCTGAATGCAGCTGCCGCTAAAAGCCTGAAACCCTTCGCCGGCCCTGAAAAATGTTGTCCCGTAATTGCATGCTCACGAATACAGCAAAAAAGTATAAACTGATGGGTTATGATTAAACAACAATGCCATAATTAAGCGAGAACAACAAGGGCTCAGCATGTCGTAACACAAAATGTCTTTATCACGCTTGCTTCAGTTGCGGTATGGTCTGCAGCATCTTTGACCGAGCGCGACAGGCTAGCCGGACTATCTGTACAACGTAGAGGTCTGAAAACCATCACGGATTACAGATGCCGGTTACTCCGGAACTGGATCAGCAATCGGGTATTCCTTCTCATATTCGACCGATGGCGTCAGAGCGATGCGGTGTGGTTATACAAGATCTTGAACAAGAATCAGTTCTTGCTCCCTGTCTACCTTCTGGACATGATCAAAGTGAAAGACAACACATGTAGTAATTTGAAAAAATCGGCAAAGATCGACGCTGCACGCGCAAGGAATGTCACTGGACATCGACTGTGGACTATGGACATGCGGTTAATGCGTCTTGAAAAAATCCTTACTGCTAACCTTAAAATTCTTGATGCAAGTTCACTATCTGCCTTTAAATTATTTCCATTTACTTTATTTACAGGTACATTAGCGCTAGAATGTTTTTTTGTTCGACCACACTTGCAGTCCCTTTGTCTGGTCTTGTGCCGTAATAATAATAATTATAAAGCCAAACTTTATAATACGGCGCGCCACACCACACTGGTTAAACACGTAGCATGCGTTTGGTATGGGTTGTGGCCGGACCAGGCCGGTGCACGCCAGATATTTCAATGAGGATAACCGTTACAGCCTGGCGGACAGTGGACAGAAAAGTGTCGCGATCGGTGCACCGGTGCAGTGAAAGCCGGCCTGTCAGCTTAGCGTAGTTAGCCATTGTGATAAAAGTAGTGTAGTGGCCATCGTTTTAAGCGCAAACTTCGCGCTCGCTGCACCTTTACGTAGCAAATTACGGGACAGGCTTGTGGTAACTTTCACGTTCTACTAAAGTGTATTTACCGGACAAACACAGAGACTGTGTGTGCTGCTTTGCTCAGTTTATGCTGCTGCTGTTTGCGAATTTTCTTATGCTTTTCGAATCTGCCACCAAGTTACAAACATGTGTTGGCTGCTAAATATATATCAGACTAATTCTCCTGTGTTTTTCCGGTAAATACACTTTAGTAGAACGTGCAAGTTACTACAAGCCTGTTCCGTAATTTGCTACGTAAAGGTACAGCGAGATTCTTATGAATATCTGTGATATATGCAGAACTGTCTGCAGTTTACCAATAAAAGCCGATACTGTCGGGTTGTTCCGCTGTAGGTCTCGGCTGCCGGCCGGGTCGACGGGTTTTCTATAAGTACTGGAGCGAAACCCGGAAAATGGTGTCTACCCTGGTATTCATACGGCAACGAGCAAGCTGCTGTTAAGCAGAACATGGCTTCCCTCGGGATATGCTGCATACTACTGCAACCAGTAAGACACTACTCGAGTAGACATCGATAGTCTTGCAACCACTGCCAGCAGTAACAACAATTAACAAGGCATTACGGTGGCGGTACGCCATGATAATGAATTTCCTAAATGACTATCATTGTTCATTGGCAAGATTTATTGAGCCACGGTAAAAGTGCTGCGTAAAATTCTACAGAAACCATAAAGTACCTAATTACACAGTTGCGTCTCGCGTTAGGCGAAACTAGCTAGTTTACTCATACATTACATAAGCAATTAAATTACCAATTATGATGAATGAGAGTCTGGAGTCTGGATCGGTCCAGTTTAAAATTTTAAATATGGTTTTAACGCCAACGGCGTTGGTAATTCGTGGTATCTACACCTTTTCTTGCGACTCTCTACTGCATTTAATACACTAAATGTATTAAATGTATATCATGAAATAATCAACATAAATGTATATCATAAAATCAACATAAATGTATATCAACATGTGTATATCATAAAATAATCAATGATTTGTTGAGTGAAGCTCGCTTTGTACATATTGAGAAATAAAGTCCATTTTTAAATAATCAACATAAATTTTATGATGCACCGCGTTGAGGTAATTTCGTGTTGCCCTTTGAAAGCTGAAAAAACATTTTAGTTAAAATCGTAAAAATTAGCGTACAAAAATGTTTTAATGGCGAACCCGGCGTAACATTTTTGGTGACATGGCAAAACCGTTTCTGCAGTGTTCAGGGAGTGAACCGGTTTCGCTCTATGAACCATATTTTTTTGTACTTACGTTAGTTTGTACTAGTGTTGGGTAGTAAAAGTCCTTGCCAATATACTTATTTTTACTATCTGCTTTGGAAAGTTTACTTATTTTTACTTACTATTCAAAATTTTTCGGGACTTTTACTTACTTTTACTTTTTATTTCAATTTTCGCAGGGACATTTACATACTAAATTAAAGTAAATTTACTAAATAAATGTAATTTAGCATTGACAGTTTCGAATTTCGCTAGTTTCAGAGCGCAACAGACTACTGAAAATAATGCAGATAAATTTCTTATGCATTAATCGAGCTATACAGGTGCATACTGAAAAGTAAATACTGCTGCTTTTGAGGACGGCAGGCTGGCAGCCGACTACTGCGCACACCCACTTTACCTGCGAGTGGCGGCGGCTGACACGCCAATTTTCCGTAACGTTGATAAAACGAATTAGTAAATAATTTAGTAATTGATTTTTATTTATTCAACACTGAACCTTAATATTTACTTACTTTTTACTATTCCGGCAGCACATTTACTTACTTTTACTAACTTTGTTTCCAAAACCTTACTATTTACTAGACTTTTAATATTAGGCGGACTTTTACTAAGTAAATGGCCGTTATTTAATTTTATTTAGTAGCACAACACTAGTTTGTACTTGTGTCATGATACTTATAAAAGGGTGGAAGTACGCAGGTGTTTGTAAATAAAATCCTATGTAACGCGCTTTTAATTGCCATGCAGGAATGCCGCTTGTAGAGTAAGACAATTTATTGAGTCAGAGCCCTAGTACTATGTTCACATATTTTTTCAAGAAAATTATAACAAATTTTCAGGAGTCATGCTTTAATACTGTTTGATCTTCCATTCTTTCTAAGGTTTCTTAGCACTTAACAGTAACAGTTTAGTAAATAATGAAATTCAAACTCGAAACCCACCACAATGTATTTCACCACACATTTAACGATTTTCCATCCATGATATAACGGTTTGCATACAAACAATATAGATAGACGTAAATATCGATCTAAACTACTTAAAAAAGCCTTTTGGCTCTATCGGACCAGCCGGGACCTCTGGCTGCTTTCCTTTATTCGGCTGCTTTCCTTTATTTAGCTGTTTTCCTTTACTGGGCTGCTTGTCCTTATTTGGCTGCTTTTTCTTATTTGGCTGCTTTTCCTTATTTGGCTGCTTTCCTTTATTTGGCTGGTTTGCTTCAGCAGGCCAAAGGGGAACGGTCTGCATGTCGTTGACGGTATTGATTTGCGTACCGTTAATTTCGGCCACAGTCCACATATTTCCGCTCTTGATTGGCACGAAATACTGCGCCCACAATTTATCACCCCGGTAGATCTCCACCGTGGCTTGCGAGTTGGCCAGATCCCATTCCGTTGATTTAGAAGCAGGTTTTGACTGCGATTTCGAATCGGGTTTTGACTGAATCGCATTCGTTTCATAGACCTGAATGCGGTAAACACCGGGCAGCTGCTTCCGGATCAGGACGCTGCCAAATAACTGGTCAATATAGTCGTAAACCATCAATTTGTCCGCGCTAACAGTGGAGTTGGCTCGAACTTCTGTACTCTGGTTAGCCTTGTCCTGCAGCGGCCCGGTAACAATCAGTTTAACATCGTGCGGACCGAAAATAACGTTAGGCGTAAACCCGTTCCCTCGCAAGACGATTCGGATATCTCCTTTTTCAAACTGTGGGGTCATCGCGCAGTCCCGAAGGTCATCGATTCTGAACACCGGAACAGTGAACGGCGGGGCCGTGAACTTATTATCAGGCGACGATACTGTAGCTGTGTAGTGTCCTCCAGGGAGCTTCACCGACCATAGGCCATTTGCATTGGTCGTCGCTGTAGCCGCAACCGGACCCGTGACGTTGTTCAGTCCAGCTCGCAGTTGCACTTGGATTCCTTTAATTGAATAAGCACCGCTTGTGTTGACCAAACGCACGGTTCCCAGGGCTTTGCCGATTCCCTTGAACTTGGGATCAATGCGAAGGAACCCCAGCGGTTCCATGAAAACATCGCTGCCTGGGGTAAAGAACTGGGTAAAGTTGCGCAGTACGATGGGAGCATATGATAAATTATTGAATCCGGATGTTTCGAACTGGAGGCTATATTTGCTGGTTCGTGATAGGCGTAACGTAAATTCTCCCGTGACAGGAGCGGTCGTTACGTTCATCTGGATCAAAGGGTGGTCATCCGCATCGCGAACGGTCACCTGGATAGTTGTATTGGAAATGGCATACAGACTTTCCGGTACTCGAACCTGCCAGTGGACGGTGACCATTTCGCCCTCGATCGGGATATCTAGAATTATGACAAATGCAAATTAACAATAAAATGTCATAAATACAATTGATAAAATTACTTTTTTCTTAATATGGTGCTAAAGGGTTAAAAAGTTTAATTGACCCGCCATTTCGCCCGTTACTTCGTCTAACCGTCACGCGTCGAGCTGGTGTTTAGCTAAACCGTCCTGGTTTTCTCAGGTTTTTTTTCGTGTACCTGATCCCAATTTTCGCATACCTGATTTTGAAATAACATCGGTCCCATTAGTAGGCGAAGGGGAAACGGTCCCATTGGACGCGGTTCCATTAGGAGCCGAAGGAGAAAGGGTTGAATTGGTAGACAAAGAGTCTTCGGTCCCATTGGAAACGGTTCCATTAGAGGAAACGGTTCCGTTAGAAGGCGAAATATTTTCGGTCCCATTGGAAACGGTTCCATTGGTAGCCGACGGAGAAACGGTTGAATTGGCAGACGAAGACGAAGAGAAAGCAGTCCCATTAGAAACGGTTCCATTGGCCGAAGTGGAAGCGTTTCCGCTGACCGTTTGTTTTCCGAGGCCTCCGCTCGAATTATCTAGAATTATGAACAAAGCAAAAGCTGATAATAAAAAAGATCATTTGTTATTATTAATTTTTCATAATTTTGTTCTAAACGTTTGAAGATTTTACTTTTTCAAACCGAATTGCAGGTTGAAAAGGTTCCAGTCAGCTTTAAGTTTGCATACCTGATCTGGAGCTTATATCAGTGCAGACCGGTGGCACTATATCCGATCCATCGGTACCGGTGGTCCCAATGCTCGCGGTGACCCTGTACTGGGATTGGGCACGGCCTTTCGAACCTGGCGCGTATGTAGCGAATGATACGAACAAATGCGAGGCAAAACTGGCGCTGTCCGAATCCAGGGCCGTCTTGGTATCGTTGCAGGCAGCCGGTGTGGGACAGCGGAGGCACAAGGCTACACTTGGCGGTATTGGCGTTCCGGTTATCGGCTGCCACGAATTCTTCTTCATTTCTCCAGTGAGGTTGTTGGCAGAGTACTCAGCCTGGATGGATTTGAAGGGAATCGGAGACGTCACGGTCGTTGGGTCGTGCGTGCGTTGTCTGACGCAGTCCTGAACGGCAGACATGTAATTCGTATTCCACAACCTTACGGTGACGAAGACACAGTTGGCTTCGCCTTCCGGGTCCAGCATGATTTCCGTTTCTTCCGGGGCGAGAGTGACGGCCGGTGTGAAATACAGCACAGGGTGGGCCGATGTTGGTGAAGTCGCGTTGAACAACTGAATCTGCGAGTTGCCATAGGGAATGGAGAAGCTCGGTGCGGTCAGGTCAAGTGAGGCTTGGTTTATTGCCGCTAGAACAAGAACAGAATCAGATAACCCATTAAATTAGTCGTACTGGCAAAGAACAGATTCATACAATAATATTTTTAGAAGATCAGGGAAACAAAATACAAATACGGTACGGGTCACTGGCGCATGAAACGCAGCAAAAATGTATTTGATCAGTAATAAACAGTGGATCACCAGATAAACAGTGGATCACCAGATCACCAGATATGGATCACCAATGCAAGCACTGATTGGTAAACGAAGCGTGTTGTTTATTCACAAGATGTGGAAATGTATGCCTTGTTTCGCATGTACGAATTAAGTGACCAATATAGCATATTAATCCAATTTAATTAATATAACTTAAAATTTACTTCACTGATACATTGAACTTCAATGAAATATAACAGCATTGCGCAAAATTGTTTCAGTACGTAAATTCCTGTCTTTATGTGTTACGTTTTGTACATATATACCCACTTACCACTATGAGCCATGCCCAAGAAAAGGCCAAGCAGTAGTAGCCGGTATGCGGATTTGTGCATTATTGATGTATTAACCCTTCGAGAAGGTCAACAAGAAAGGGTACAAGTGCCGGGAATTACCAACGTCGTTGGCGTTACAACATCAGCATCGTTATTTTAAGTTTAAACCGAAACGATATAGTCTTCAGATCCTTGTGTTTCTCACAGCTACACAGCTGTTTCTCACAGCTGTTATTTATATTAGCTACTTAGCGAGTAGATTATCTACTTTTGCCGCAAGCTGAATCCAGCTCCGTAATTACCTTGAAACTCTAAGGAATTCAAAATTTTACACAGCACTTTCGCCGTCGCTCAATGAATCCTGCCAATGAACAATGACGGCCGTCTAGGAAATTTATTGTTATGGCGCACCGCCACCGTAATACCTTGTTAATTATTGCTGCCGGTAGTGACTGTAATAATATTATGAATACCGGTGTCTACTCGAGTAGTGCCTTACCGGTTATCGTAGTCTGCAGACTGGTGCGTGATCAGTTACGAGGGTAGCTGTGTATTGTGTAACAACAGGTTGCTTGCTGCTGAATGACTGGCAGTGCCGGCACTATTTTCCGCGTTTTATGCCAATTGTTCTAGAAGGCCCCTAGACGCGGCTGGCAGCCAACCGCACTACGACGGAACAATCCGGAAGTGTCGACATTTAACAGTAGTCCTGCAGACTTTCAAAGGATCATTTATAGACAATTATGGGGCCTTGCACGTATTCAACAAATGTTGGTGGCACAAAGCTGTGCTGCCGATTGTGAAATGCATAGAAAAAAGCAAAAACATTTGTCAACAGCGCAAACAGAACAAAGCAGACAACATGCATCTCGCGCCTTTTTCCATACTCTTATCAGTACTTACGCAATTCGCTACAGTAATTTGTTAAAACAAATTTGGTAATGCTTAACCGAGGAATTTAAGACCATACGTTTTTCCCAAGGAATCTGAGACAATTATGGTACATTGTTAAGGCGCTGCACGGAGCGAGTCATATTTTCAACCTACCAGATAATCTACTGGAAATACCAATCACTTTTGTTTGGAATAACATTTTTTATATTTATTTCTGACTACGTAAACTTGTGTCCGAGCTATTTTTAGGTGTGGGTCGCACCGTTACCTTTCGATTTCTCCCTTTTAATCTAATGTCTATCGTACGCTTGTCCAGAAAACCGATGCGTTTTATTCTGGTGCTAGGGGTGCGGGTATGAACAACATCAATGTGCGAGCAAGATAACGCAATCGGAAACACAACACTGAACAAAACGTGATTATGTTAGATATCAAACCAAAAGATAAATCACCATCTTGAAAACAACATCGAAAAAACGACAAAAAACACACCCAAGCGAATGTAAAGCCAGATCGCTGAAGATTCATCCAACACGCATAGTCGTCACAATGAATCATAAAAATAATGAATCATACGTCATGATTAATCGGAGTAATCGATGAATGGAGATCGGCAGTAGAGAGCGGCTCGGCAGCTCGATCAGGCGATCCATCGTCTGCCCGCTGGGAGCTCACAGCCGACCACTCTGGCACAAGGTAACCGGTTTTCTGTAGGCCGGAACGGAATCTGGTCAACTCGCATTCCATCGTGGTGATCGGCACGGAACATCGCATCCGCAATGTAGCGCCACGGTAGCGGGGCGATACATTGTGGGCGCGGTATTTCGTGTCGAGTAACAGTGACCTTGCTCGGACGGTGGCCGAAGTCAAGCATCGCTATCAGCGAAACGAACACCGTTCAATAATTCTGACGGCCATTGCGAAAACTGGAGCGTCCCTCAACTACAACATTCAACATAAAATTGTACTAAAGAAAGTGGTAAGCACTACATAGGTCAAAGGCGACATCAGTAGTTGCAGTGCGAGTATTTTTTGGTGATGGTTTTAACAGTTTTCGTAACGCATGTACAGGTTTTTGAGCGTTATACCTGTATTTACTGCTGCCACCGGTTTAGCATATTCAGGCTAGTTATCGCAAGTAAATAACGTAATCAGTCACTCAATTAATCTTTAGAACAGTCGTACAAACCGCATCGGGGCGAAAAACCGGTTAGTAAAAGGTTGGTACAAGCAGAAAAATAGTATATTTCGAAGCCTGGACAAAGGTTAAATCTGAAATTCGTCAGTATGCCAAACATACGGCGGGTTACAGGGCGTTGATATAGTCACTGGGATGAAAGACCTGCAAGGATCTTTTTTAGGGTATTGCTACAGTCCGTGACTGCGACAGGGTGTGGTTGTATGAATACTTCTATCGGTATCAGTAACAAATATCAGTTCAAAAATTTAGGCTTCACTCCATTCACAACCTCTCATACCCTTTCACTCCGTGCACTACCTTTTCAGGCACCGCTTTTAGATGCGTTAGCTTTGTTTACTGACGAGTGCGAAACTGCTTTTTTTACTTATTACTGGCCATAATTTTTGCCACAGCTGCTTGTTCTGAAATATTTTCGACCCAAATTTTGCAAATGTTTCGCAAAATGCGGCTAATTCCCCCAGTAAACACTGCACAATATGCCATGTAGGTTTTTTTAGACGGTTCATTATAGAACCGATACTTCCGGGTTGTCCCGACTTAGCATTTATGGTTAGCTGCCGGCCGCATCGAGGGACTTTGTAGAATAATTGGAGTTATCCCGAAAACTATGTCTACACTGCCACTCAAACGGCAATGAGTAAGGCTGTAGTAAAGTGTACAGTAGTTATACAGTACAATCCATAGCTTACCTGGGAATAGAATCACGCATCAGTCTGCAGACTACAATAACCGGTAAGCACTACTCGAGTCATAGACACCGATAGTCATAATGCGACGACTGCCAACGATTATAATTAATTGGCGTGGCGGTACGCCACGATAATTAATTTCTTCAATTACTGTCATTGTTTGTCGAGAAGATTTATTGAGCGACGGTAAAAGTGCTGTGTAAAATTTTGTATAAAGTACCTAATTAGAGAGCTGCGTCCTGCGAATGCTTGAGGCAAAACTAGCAAATTTACTTACATATTATATAAATAAGCAAATTAACAATTGTGAGAACACATGATTGTAGAGCCTGGATCTTTCCGGGATAAAAGTTTGAATTCTGATGCTTTAACGCCAACGACGTTGACAATTGGTGGTCCCTATCCTATAATCGCCTGCAAATTTTCTCGAGTATTCAGTACATGCATTAACGATGCATCAATTCAACAGCCGCCCACTGCTGTTTTGCTTCTCTCTTGGCTTTGCTTATTATGGTAAGTAGATGGTGTAAATTCGTTTGGTGCAAGTTTCTAACATTGTTTTTCTCGTGACTGTACAGTATGTCTTACCAGGGCTCATAGGGAGGCTCCAAATTCAGAAAAATCTCATCTTTTGTAGAAAGTTAGAATTCTACCCCAGTATAAACATTTTCTTCTGTACATGTATACCATGGTAGTAATCTAACTCTCTACAAAAGACGAATTTGTAGCCTCTCTATGTGCCCTGGTTAGTTAAGCCGGCAAACTGTACGCGGTGCAGATTTCATAATATTTTTAATTATTATTACTGTCATTATTATGCTGTTAGATTATAGTGCTAGTTTACGGTACATACGGTAGTGAGCGGTGAGCGACCTTTAAAAACCACCCGCATCTTATAATATGTGGCGGAAATTAAATATGTGCTGGCCATTTCTCTTTAAAAGCCCGCCTAATGTAAAGGTGTTGCAGCCCCTAAAGTCACCGCAGACATGGATAGAAGTGCATCGGACTTTGTAGCGCCACCGGGTTGCGCCAATATAAACTCTGACCCAGGTATGTCAAATTAGAGCGGATCGTGTCCTTTCACCCGTACATTTCCCCTTCTGCTTTTAATAATAGAATCTTTACCTTTCACCAATGACCACAGTATTCATTAAGATGTTGAAACTTGCCAGTCCATTTTTTTAATTTTTGACTTAAACTTACTGTAATAAAAGTGATTGTGTGCACAATGCGCTTGCTCTAGCATTCTCTTTTTCTATAAGGCTGCTGGCTGCGTACAAGGCACACCCCTTGTTTTCACCTGAGTCAAAAATTTTCAAATGAATTGTTCATTGTCAATTAGTATCTATGATGTTATCTATGATATAAGCTTCTGCACTGCTCATTATTTAGACGTGTGCTTTTGTATAGATGGTCCGTTCGACCGCCCTGGTGTCCAAATGGTCACCGTCCATTGGCAGACTCGCCGAGCCGACAATCTGTACGCTATTACCGATTCAGTTATCGCAGTGACACTTCGCGGCACTAACGACCAACCTTTCAATCAGACTAACGTAACTACCACACCTGGCGTAGGAGAGTTTACGCTAAGACTACCCCGAGCCAATGACTACAGCATCCTTTTCGAAACCTCTGGATACGCGGGGTTTTCGTATGGCCCAGTCGTACTGCGCAACTTTAGCCACTTGCTCAACTTAGGCAGCGACGTTTTCATGGAACCACTGCTGTTTTTTCCAACGTTCTTGAAGGGGAGTGGCAAAGCAGCAGGAATCGTACGTCTGGTCAATACCAGCGGGGCTTATTCCGTGTCAGAAATTCAAGTACAACTGCGAGCTGGACTGAACAACGTTACGGGTCCCGTTGCGGCTAATACAACTACTACAAATGGCTCGTGGTCAGCGGTGCTCCCGGGAGGACATTACACAGCGACTGCTGTATATACAACACCGAAGACGGATGCCAAATTCACGGGTCCGCCATTCACCGTGCTAGCAATACCAGGAGTGGATCACCTGCGTGATTGGGCGATAACACCACAGTTTGCCAAGGGAGACCTCAGAATTATCTTGCGAGGAACCGGATTGGTAGCTCACGACAAATACGGTTCGTATGATCTTAAACTGCTGGTCAAGGGGCCGCTGCAGAACAGCCCCACCCAACGTGCCGAGGTGCGCGGTAATGCCACTACCAGTGCGGACAAACTCATGGTCTACGATTACATGGACCGGATATTTGGCAGCGTCCTTATCAAGAAGCAGCTGCCCGGTGTCTATCGTATATTTGTCCAGGAAACCGATGCACTGCAGGCAAAACCGGTTACCTATAGGGCGGATATGAATCTAGCCAACTCGCAGTGCATGGTAGAGATCTACCGTGGCGATGCACTGTGGGCGCAGTATTTTGTGCCGCTTAGTAGTGGGAATACTTGGACGGTTGCCGAAATCAGCGGAAAGCGCCTCACTGTCATCAACGAAATGAGCACTGCAAAATAATTCTGTTGCCATCGGGAAAACTCATCCCTCCGGTGGCATGCAGCTGATGCAAGCACTTCAACGATTGACGATAAACACGTAATTTTATTTACTAATTGGTCAGATTTTTGATGTTCTGCTCGTTGGGAGTATTTTTTATCCCGGTAGTGTCGTGTAATTTCCTTCTGTGTGTTTCTAGTGTTATATTTCTGTCTTGTTGTTTTTCGCATTAAAAATGCCTTTGCTAAGTTTTGTTGTCTTTGGCTTCTGGTGAGAGTAGTCTACAGGAGGCCTGCCCAGCGGCCAGAACGAATAATCCTGGTTGATGTCCAGATATTTCTTGGTCATATGTCATTCCGTTTGTGCTAGTGCGGCTCTGGTGCAGTCTTTCACAGGATAACTCACAGACAATTAAGCGGCAAGTATTTTGCAGCCAAAAAATGTTGGAGACACCAAGCTGTGCTGCCGATTCTGAAAAGGACGGAAAAAAGTATAAACGACAACAGCCCAAACAGAACAAAGCTGCACACACGCATCTGGCGCGCTTTTCCATACTCTTGTCATTACTTACTTAGCATTAGTACTTACGCAATTCGCTGCAGTAATTTTTATAAGCAAATCTGGCAAATGCTTAACTGAGGAAGTCTGTAACACCTTAACCTACATATTATCCTTAGTTGACAGTATTTTGAGAAAATTGGCGGTTGCGATCCTGAAACAAATACCCGTTTTCAAGGAAGCCGAGCCAGTTTTAGTAGGTATTTAAGTCGCTGCGCGAAGCGAGTCTTATCTTAAGTCGATTTCGGTTAATCCGCTTAAAGTAATATTCATTTCTGTTTGAAGTAACATTTTTTAATTTTTTATTTCTGACTTCGTATACTTAGCATCCGGGCTGCGTTCAAGCACAGCATGTAGATGTAGGTGACGTCGTTATTGTTCGGTTTCTGGCTTTATAAGTTTATATTCTGATGTCTACAGCACACTCGTCCAAGAAACCGATGCACTGCAGCCATGTGCTAGGGGTGCCGCTATAAACATGAATGTGTGAACGAGGTAATGCAATCGGAAATCGGAAACACAAAATCGAGTAAACGTAGTTTTATGAAATGTCAAACCAAACCATAAATCTTCATCCGAGAAAACAACAACAAAAAAAAGCAGTAAAACACACCGAAGCGAATATAATTAATATAAACCAGATCTCTGTAGTGTATAAGAGTTTGCACCGGTTAAGGTATGATAAACGATCTTTACTCTTTCCGTGCCTGTAATGTTTAGTCGGTACGCAAACTCTGTCTCAGCTGTCTCAGTAAAAACTCAGGTGGAATAAGTGAAACGGTCTGGAACTCGGGAACCAGGAATACCCAAGCTAGAACTCTTCAGGAACAAGCTCCGTATAACCTTTTCATGCACCGCCTTTAAATGCGTTAGCTTGGTTTGATGGAAAGTGCGAAACTGGTTTGTTTTTGCTTATTTCTGTCAAAATAGTTTGGTTCCAAATTATTTCATCTCAAGTTCTGCAAATGCTTTGTAAAATATGCTACTACTCCAGTAAAGAGCACACAAAAAATGCCACATATGTGTTCCCCGCAATAAGTGCAGAGACGTAGAATCCAGGCATTTTAGAAATTTAGATATATCTACAATATCAATAAGCACGGTACGGCAACATGTGCTGGTTGCGGAATACATGCAGACTCAAATGTCTGTAATTTTTTCACCGTTGTCTGCAGTATTTGCCAATAACTGCCGATACTTCCGGATTGTTCCGCCGTATCGCTTGCCTGTCAGCTGCGTCTAGGGGCTTTCTAGACAAATTGGAGAAAAACCTGGAAAATGGTGTCTACACTGTCATTCAAACGGCAATAAGGAAGCTGCCGTTATGCAATACGTAACTTACCTCGGGATAAGCTGTAGATTACTGCAACCGGCGGTAAGGCTCTACTCAAATTAGACACAGCTAGTCATACTGCAACCACTGCCGGCAATTATAATTAACAAAGCATTATGGTGGTGGTATGCCACGATAATTAATTTCTTAAAATAATGACTGTCGCTGTTCATTGGGAAGCTTTATTGAACGACGGTAAAAGTGCTGTAAAATTCTTAGTTCCGTCTAAAGTACTTGATTACACAGCTGCGTCCCGCTTAAGGCAAAACTGGCTAATTTACTCGTATATTATATAAGTAAGTAAATTAGTGATTAAATTAGCTTATGTTTACAGACGTTTTAACAGCTCACATGATAACGATTACTGGTGTTGCAACGCCAACGCCGTCAGTAATCCTTGTCACCTTTATCATTTCTTGCAAATCTTCTTGCACATTATTACCATAATAATGCACCAATTCGACTGCCGCCCACTGCTGGTTTGCCTGTCCTTGGCTTTGGCGTACTATGGTACGTGGATGTTGCAGAAATCGTTTCGTGTTAGGTCAAGATTTTATTTCTTCGCATGACGTATGTTGCAGCGTGTCGTTGTCCTGTATATACAGAACGATTATACTCGTACGTCCGCCTTAATTAAGCCGGCAAACAGTATGCGGTGCAGATTTCTTACATTTTCGCGCCGCATGCTTGTATACATGTGTACTTTGTTGCAACAAGGGTATTGTCTGCGTGAATACGAAATCACATACTACCGCTCAAAGCGACACTAATAATTGGTGGCGGAAATGAAATACGAGTACTTGTACCTAACTGCTGTCTATTAAGATATCGTGTAGAATTTCCTTTAAAAGCGCATCTAATGTAATTTCTCTTCTGCTTTTATTGCAGCCCCAAAAGTAATCGCGGACACTGGTAGAAATGCATCGGACTTTGAAACGCTACCGGTTTGCGTCAACCCGTTCTCTGAACCAGGTATACGAAACTCAGCAGATCATATACGTGTCATAATCTTTTGCTGTTAAGGGAAGTGATCCGGTATGTGGTACTAAATTCGTGTACATACACGAATTTTTTTACTTTTGCGTGTACGCGTAACTCGTATAATTCATCTGTTAGCTTTTTTGACTGTTCGTTATTAAGACGTATACTAGTACATATATTACATAATAATATGATATACAGGGGGCAAAAGTAAACGTGTTCCACCGTTCCCCTGTACTGCTGCCGTCACCCGACTGGAGTTTGACGTTGTGGCTGAACATGGCGCTTACGTACCGCGCCAGATTTAACCATACGTACTGCCGTAACGTCACACTCCAGGCGGCTGACGGCAGCAGTACAGGGGAACGGTGGAACGCGTTTACTTTCGCCCCTTATATACAATTGTACAGAAGCCCCGGCCGACTTGATCACCGCCCACTGGCAGGCTCGCCGAGCCGACAATCTGTATGCTATGACCGAATCAGTCATCGTGGTGACACTTCTCGGTGCCAACGACCAGCCTTTCAATACGACTAACGTGACGACCACTTACGGCTTAGGAGATTTCACGCTAAGACTACCTCGAAACAAGGATTTTAGCATCCGTTTCGAAACCTCTGGATACGCAGGCTTTAAATATACTCCAATCATACTGCGAAACTTCACCCATAAGCTCACCTTAGGCAGCGAAGTGTTCATGGAGCCACTGCTGTTTATTCGAGAGAGTTTGAAGGGGATTGGCAACGCCGCAGGAACTGTACGCCTGGTCAATCCTTGCGGTGCTTATTCCGTTTCAGGAGTTCAAGTCCAGCTGCGAGCTGGACTGAACAACGTCACGGGTCCTGTTGCGGCTGCCACGACCACCACTGCAAATGGTACTTGGTCAGCGGCGCTCCCGGGAGGTCACTACACGGCGACCGCCGTATATACGGCATCAAAGACTGGTGACAAATTCACCGGTCCACCGTTCACTGTTCTCGCGGTACCTGGAGGATGGAATAACCTGCGGGACTGGGCGCTAACACCACAGTTTGCCAAGGGAGACATCAGAATTATCTTGCGAGGGACCGGATTGCAGCTACTTCGCGACCAATTCGGTCCGGTTGACATGAAACTGGTGGTCTCCGGGCCGCTGCAGAACAGCTCCAGCCAACGTGCCGAGGTGCGCCAAAATATCACTATTAGCGCGGACAAACTCATGGTCTACGATTACATGGACCGGATCTTCGGTAGCGTCCTGATCCGCAAGCAACTGTCCGGTGTCTATCGTATACAAGTCCAGGATACCACTGCAATACAGCCAAAACCGGTTACCTTTAAACCGAATTCAAATCTGGACTACGGGCAGGCCATGGTGGAGATCTACCGGGGCGATACATTGTGGGGGCAGTATTTTGTACCGCTTACTAGTGGAAATACTTGGACGGTTGCCGAAATCGACGGATCGCGCCTCACTGGGATCAATAAAATGAGCACCGTTAAATATTATTAATTTTGTGACTATCGCCCATCGGTAAAGCTATAGTGTCATATAACGGAATTTCGTTCTAGGTGTTGCGCGTACGATTTAAGTTTTGCGCATTAAAAATTCCTTTTCTCAATTTGCTGTTTTCTGAGTATTTGCAAAAGGAACACCAGGTGCAGACATTTCCTCGCAGCAGATATTAATGCTATAACAATTATAACATACCGTACTAAAATTGTGTTATTATTCAAAAGGTTTAAAAAGCAGCGGCTGAAATGCCACTGCTTCCGTCAGCGATCGCTGCTGAATTTGTCGCGCGCTAGCGAGATAGGAATGCAGATGGGTGCTTTTTGCGCAAAGGCAGCCTTTGTAATAGAAAAAATTTTGCACGGCCGTAACAACAATCATTAGATGACTCGTGAAATTTCCTAAAACTTAACTCTGAATTACATCAGAGTTAAAGAAAAAAGTAAAATGTCATCAAAATTAATAAGACACCTTGAATCACAAGGAAATTTCCGGTTAGAAAGGCAGATGTCCCGTTTTCTGAGGACATTTACCGAGATATTGCTACAGTTCAAATTCCGATTATTTATGATCGTTTCTTTGTAAAGCATATAATTAGCAGACAATTTTAATGAAGTTGAAGAAATAAAGAAGATGTCATCATACTGTACAAACGGCATAGATAATTTCGGTTATATGTGTATAAAGCGCCAGTAAAAGATTTCGAAGGATAAAAGACTCGAAGGGCTTTTTGTAAAATTAAAAAAAAAACGTGGAAACGGCTAACTAACGGAAATGATGTTCTTAACTAATGATAATAACACGCCACTGCGGCACTGCCAGCGGCAACCGGAAGGACGGACAGACCGTCATTATGTACGTCCTACCTACATACCGCGAACATTAAGTTTTATTTAATTATTACGGCCGCCAGAGGCCCTGGAAATCGAAAAATAAAACGGCTGCTGCTGTTTAATAGCTAAGATTTCATTGAACAGCCAACCGTCGACAATCAGGTGCAGTGCTACGAAGCAAAATCCTGCATTCCGCAAAACCGCAACGGAGCTGTCGTATGCTGGAGGCAATATACTCGTAGTAATATCCGGCCTAATGTGTATATAAATAACGGTTGTGAGAAAACACGTGTGTGGATTGTTCCGCTCTAAAGCTCAAAACATACGTGAATAGTGAGAATACTGCAACATCACCGACTTTGGTACTCGTACTTCGCGATACACTTGTTTTTCATTCATTTCGCATAATTTGTTTCGCATGTTAACAATGCACAACGTCGGGTTTTTGCTGCTGCTTTGTCTTTCCCTTGACATGAGTCGCTGTGGTATGTATTTGTCATTAAAACGGGTATCATGCAAATACATAATATATATGCTTCGCTTTTTCTCATATTCCGGTCTCTTTGAGTGTATGTTTTCATATTTCGGTCACCTGTCACTGGTTAGACCGCACTTGTGGCGCACTATATGAAACATCTGCTGATCGCACTGCCTCTAGACACCCGTCAGTTTGCAGTTCGCTGAGCAAGCCCGCCCAACCCTCACACGATTCAGGGGTCCATAAAATTAATATTACATAGAAATTAACTGATGTTTACGTTCAAATTTTATAAGAGAAGCCGTTTTTGTAACAACTAATGATCCCTGTGAACTAAATTTTGTCAGGAAATTTAACTACCTGGTGACCGAAATATAAAACCACACACTCAAAGTTAACCGGAATATGAGAAAAAGCGAGGTACGAAAGATTTATTTTCAAGTACGTGCTGGACATTTTGCATTAATGTCGCAGTGTATGATTATAATATGCGTTTCAATCGTTGACTGGCAAGTTTGTTGTAAATGTCGTCTCATAGACGGGCCGGCAAACAGTATAAATCATACTTTAAGTTTCAAAAAATTTATTCGAGAATTCCTGTAGTAGAAATTGAAGGGCAATAACAACTGTTATGCATTACATAGAAATGGTGCTACAGCATTCCAGTTCCGCGTAATCAGTTAGAGTTGTGGAGAGAGCTTCTTGTTGTGTAAACCGGAATAGGATGTAAAGTCACCAATGCAGATATTTGCAAATCGCAACAATCACATTGATGAAAACACCGGATTAGAAGCTCAGATTTTGTTGGACATTTAAATCGTCCCGTGCTTTTGACGGAAAGAAACAAAACTGAAGTTGGATGAGCAACAAGTTAGCAACAAGGTCACGGTACGCTTGTTAAAATGAATGTAATTTCTTTGCACGGTGTGGTTTCAGCCTGGCTCGATCTCACCGTACCGAGTTTCTCCATTCCCTACGACAACTTCCAGATTCAAATTTTTAATACGACTTCGTCAGCATCGCATCCAGTTTTCTATTACGCACCGGCCACCACTCTTCTCCCAGATGCCACGGAAATCATGCTCAACGCCGAAAGTGGAATCAACTGCCTCTTCATCGAAATAAAATTGTGGGATAAGCCGTTTTTGTCGAGTATCCAAGACTTTGTCACAGGGCGTACGCAGGATCCACAGACCGTGATTTCTCCGATCCCCTTCAAATGGATGCTGGTGGAGTACTCAGCGACTGGCCTCACTCGAAGTATCAAAAACAGTACATGGCAGCCGATCGCCAGCATGCCGCCAACAGTGTCAGTGTGCATCCGCTGTCCCACACCGAATGCTTGCAACGAAACTAAAGCAGTCGTTCAAAAGGACAGCGCCCGTTTTGCCTCGCACTTGCTCGTCTCCTTCGCCACCCAGGCACCAGTTTCACGTAAAGTTCCGTTTTGTATCGACAAAAAACTTCTTCCTTACAACGCCATTTCGGACAGCATAATCGAGCGTTCCGCCGTACAAAACTATATGTTCATGCGTCCGAGCGATTATAAAAGCTTCGTGCAAGCATTTGTCGAGAATGGCGTTGAACAAAATCTGGGGACGAATGAGTTCGTGGACGCTGATGAAGTAGACAAACTAATAAGCCAAACATATACCCTGATTCCGTATAATGCGACAACAACCGCTAACTTCACCGGCGCCATGTGGGAGGAGCTTTATTGGGAGGACGACGAGAGGCCGGATGAAAAAGCACGACGACTTCAGAATATTTTGGGCAATGGAAACGCCTGGCTGCAGAAGACGCTAGAGGAAAGCAGTGGTGCAGACAGTCGCAATGATTCGTTACGATCCGAGAATTCCCAGTCTTTGGCCAAAGCGTTTGAGGAAGTACGATCGTCGACCAGCGGATTTTACTGGAGCGGCGATCGGGTATTAATCAAACCGTTTCCAGTTTACCGTGTTAGTTTAGAAGCGTTTCGCCAAAAAAAGCCGTTGTGCAGTGGGATCATTCACATCACAAACAGCAATACCAATTACACTGTCAGCGCCAATATACCGCGCACTTCGCCTCGCGATGAACCGGCTCTGGTTTCTACAGATCGAGTTGGTAAAATAGGTACACAAAACGGCACAGTGATTGATCTTAAGCTTCGGTATTTGCCTATATCGCTGATTTTAACTGATTCGGCCTTTCTTGCATTTTTATCGATTCCATAATTCCATTTTATAATTTCGCGTCGAAATCACTCGCGGTTAAGACTTGAGACTATAGTATATCGACCGCCTATTGATCATAATTAATTTTAAACTTCAAAGTGCCTGGTCGCTTAAATATTGCGTGGCTACGAGTAGCCGAAATAGGCGCGAAGTCAAAATATTTGACTCCGTAGACATCGTTTTCAGTTGTCTTTTACGCCTACAGTAACTCTGACTTTTGCTGTTATATAGATGCGGAAATCGACCGAATAGGTGTCGCAATGGCCATCGTCCATTGTCAGTGTCGATGGGCGGATAAACTGAGGCGGATGGCTTTCTCCAAAGACATCATGGTGACGTTACGAGACGCTAACGACCGAGCATTCGATCAGCGGGTCGTGACAACAACGGACCTTTCCGACGAATTCACGATGATCATACCACGAACCACTGGCTACAGCATCCTCTTCGAAGCGTTCGAATACCATCCCGTCGTTTTGCGGAACTTCTCGCATTTGTTTAGTCTCGGCCAGGAGATTTTCCTGGAACCCCTTCTGTTTATTTCCAAGGAGCTCAACGGATTCGGGGCAACAGGAGGAACGGTACGTCTGGTCAATACCAGCGGTGCTTTTTCAGCTTCAGGAATACAAGTACAACTGCGAGCGGGATTGAACAACTGTACGGGTCCACTGCTGGCGAACACCACCACAACTACGAATGGAACGTGGTCTGTGACGCTTCCAGGGGGACTATACACAGCTCTAGCAACAAAACCCGATGATGACTACACAGCACCGCCCTTCACTGCGGCACTAGTACCCGGACGCGATAGCTTTCGTGACTGGGCAGTGACCCCAAAGTTATTAAACGGAGATGTCCGAATCATTTTGCGAGGAACCGGGTTGAACTTGTACAATGTTTATTTGCGGGTTTCCGGGCCTAACGGCACCCAGCTTGCGGAGACGCAAGGAAACACCACAGTGAGTGCGGACGGGTTAATGGTCTACAGTCACATGGACACGATATTCGGCAGCGTTTTTATACGAAAACAGCTGCCCGGTGTCTATCGAATACAAGTGTATGAATTGAATGCGATGCAGTCGAAGCCGGATTCCGAATGGAATCTGTCCAACTCGCGGTCATTGGTGGAAATCTACCGTGGCGAAACATTGTGGGGGCAGTATTTCGTGCCGATTAAAGACGGGAATATGTGGACTGTTGCTGAAATCAATGGATTACGTATAAGGGCTATAAACGACATGAGTACGGTGCAAGAATAATTCGTGCGGTCATGGGACTTCTTCCTCCTCGAAATGAAAACAGAACCACAATTTTTCGGTTGATGGTTGCTTTGTTCCGCCTCCTTGTAAAATACATACAGTATTTGGTGCATGACACTGCGTGTCTATTAATTTGTTAACGAGGTCGGCAGAAAGGGAAAGCCGCTTCTTTTCCACTGCTCAACTTTACGATTGGAACTGCTCTGGTACAGTATTATCTGGAACTGAGCTTTTATTTTCGCTCCTCCTCCACACGTTAACTGCGCAACACCGTCAAATCTGCTCTTACGCTACCTTATTTCATTGCTCTTATTGTTTACAAAAACTTCTAAAAATTTTCGGTTTCTCATCCTTTCTTATGCAATCTAGCCAATGGCCCAATGCCACCAGATCGGGGTGGCCGCCATGCAAAGGTTCTTAACCAAAGTGTGGTGGATCAGATCAGAATGTGCGGTTTTATGCATGATGTCTGATTGCCGTAACGTCCGTATGAAAATAAAAGCGCATTTGATGGTTAAACGTTTACGAATTACGTGGCTCAAATTATGCGAAATACAGAAATTATCAGAAAAGAAACCGTGCGACCATCGACCTTCCGCAATTATTTGCAAGGATCTTCATTTAGTTGTTAACGTAGGCACATATTTGCATAATCTAATCTATTGTTGTTGTCTTTAACGAGTTCCTAATTTGTGATTACACAGTGGCACGATAGCCTGGTAAAACGAGGTGGTAAGCACGCGCAACCCACTTTGCAGAAGCAAACCAGTTTTCCACATCATTATTATAATGTAACACTGGGTGATTGCTCCACCTTTAGGATTTCTTAATTCGGTTACAAGAATTACACAAATAGTTTGTTTGCGAGGGCTAATCTCCATTGAGGGCAGAATTTTAACCTCACATAGCTGATTCAGATTCCCGAGCGAAGAAGGCATTTAACTGGTGGCTTTCAGTGATCAGCATAATTATACTGCATGTAGAGTTGCCGGAACAGGTACATAGGTGACTTAATCCCGGAACGCTCGCTTGATGATATAATGGAGTCCGGACGTCTAATGACAGTAAAAACCGAAACATTCGGCAGTAATTGTGAATACTCACCGCTTGATACCGATCATATTATTGGATCAGGCTCCTTTGGCAGCGTTTACCGAACGACTATAACCGTGGCGGGCGACTACGAAGGATACGAAACAGTGGCTGTGAAACTTATTATTCTGAATTCAGAACAAGAAGTTTTGGTTAATCCGCAGCGTTATGAAGGGATTCGTCAGAGTCTACAACAGCTGATCACTTTGAGAAACACATTTCTAGTGGCGTACCACAAGATTGCCATTACTAGGACCGTCCTTGGGGCAAGAGTTGAACTAATGATGGATTATTTTGAAGGTAAGGTTGTGGAAGCAGTTTATGACGGCGCTAATAACCTTACCTAACGTCAATGTTATTAGGATTCTTGGCTAAGTTTCTTAGCTACAGTATATAAGGCAATCTTCGACTTCTCGGATATTGAGGTCTGGTAATGATTTCTCAGGTATTGGCTTACTTTTAAACTGATTCGCAGGCGATTTGGCTACCCTATTGCAACGACTGAAAGAAGCAGCGGTTTTAATTGACCTTTCGACGGCTCTCCGCTATTCGTTAGATATCTCCGAAGGAACGAAGTTTCTCCATGAAAACGGCATTATTCACGCCGATATAAAGCCAGCAAATATTCTCGTGGAGAAGCTGGATGAGGATCGAAAACGCTTGTTAATTGGTGATCTGGACGATCGTCTGCAGATGAAGCAAGACACCACTTGTCCAGGCGACATCACCCATATACGCGGCACTGAGCGCTACATGTCGCCGGAAATGCTGAAGAAATTTGCGACGCTCCGCGGTGAGCCGAGGGGGCAGGAGAGTCCCGGCCGCAAAACGGATATCTGGAGTTTAGGCTGCGTTATACTGGAAATTGCCCAGCGTATTACTGGAACACAAGAAAGAGGTTTGATTGATACTGGTGGAGACGGCGCGCGCGTCAATGCTGCTTCTGACGATGCCGAGTATGTTTCGTGGATTATTAACAAAGGTTATCAGCCGTTCGTGCCGGAAACGATCCCGTTCGAATTCGCTGGCTGCATTCGCGGCTGCCTATGCATCGCCACTCAACGCAGGATCTCGGCGTCGAAATTGTGTTTTCTCCTGAAGGAACTAGCGAAGAAGGCAAAACCGAACCCAGAAGTACAGGAAGTAGCCATTGTGCTGTGTGACCGGGAAATAGATGTTCATAAACCTTCTAAATTGCTCGCGCAGTTAGTGGACCCGATTAGCCGAACCGTGCGCCGCATTCCAGTACCGGACGATCTGTGCCAGAAGCATTTTTCACGGTTTTTCACTGTTGTGGACGACGAGGTGATCTGCCAAATCTGGGAAACTGGTACGTCCGCACTAGAGACCATATCATGGAATCCTGTTCGGAATTCATGGCGTTCCATCGTTTTAGCCGATGTTGAAGTGCTAATCCAGCACCCGGTGGCGATTGGCAGTAAAATTTATTTCATAGATGGTAACGATCAATCTTTCAAAGTAGGATATCTTTCTAACGAAAGCATCGCAGAATTTGGAGGACCAAGTTTATCTTCGCGCACTCTTCGGACGTCTGAGTAAGGAGAGTTTACAAAATTCTTTTCCTCGGCCATGATCTCTTACTTTTTTAGGTTTCGTGACATTAACTGTGCACTTCGATGCGGTCTGCGCGTAGTGTATCTTGGTTGCGAATCACACACTGCTGATGCCGTGTACGCAGCTCCAGTGACGACGACCAAAATGTGGATGGAATATTTCGATACAGTTACTGATGAGTGGCATCATTGGCCCGATTCACAGCGGCGTTTCCTCACTAAGACTGATTTCGAAGCGGTGGTGATCAATGAGAAGGTTTACATGCTGGGCGGCATCTCTTCCTTGTGGATGTTCGACTGGTCAACCAAATCTTGTCAGTCTCTTGACTTGAGCAAGCAAATTATCCTGGATATAAGTGACCTTCCTCAAAGCAGAAAGGGCTCCTGTGCGTTCGTACTGAACAACCGGATTTACATGTGGAGCGGTCCGTCGGCGAATGAGAGTTCTCAAACTGCTTACGTCTATAATGCCGGCAAGGACAAATGGGACACCGAGGGTTTTCGTAACCTCGATCACAAGAACGCTGTGGTTTACCCACCACACTGCGGATTTACAAGCTTTTGCCTTAACTGGCCAGTTATGGAATTAAGTTCCGGATAACTCTGTCTCCAATGGTACACAAATTTTGCAAAGCACTAAGTAGAAATGCACGGATGCGGTAACGAAACAAATTATTTCAATAAACTGCCTACCTCTCGAAACACGGTTTCTCAATAATTATCCTTTGGATGCGTCATTTTGTTACATTTTACGCTGCGTAATTCGAAAGTAACACAGTTTGTACGATTTGTACTTATAAGACTTTCGTCTGAAATGGAACTTTTAACCGGTCGACAACATGTTAGACATGCAAATCAATCAATAAAATAGAAACTAAACTCGTAGATACAGAATAATAATAGGAAAATAGAAATTATTTCCAGTAAAATTACATGATGTCCGTGCAGGCGCAGCGGTTTGTTAACCTACTAATGAAATTAGGCGAAGTAACAATAGTTTAATACGTAGCTACTGGGTAGCTATTAAAAGCATTGCGGCTACGCTTATCAAGGAATATGGCTCGGTGCACGATTAAATCCTGAATACCAGTTCGTGCACTTGCGCTTAATAAACCTTCCCTTTCGCCCGCTTCAAAGCAATTTTTGGTATACCGGTAAAGGTACATAAATGAAAACCATTCTCTAGCCAAATGATTAATCCTATATGCATTGGCGAAAAAAGCGTTTGTGCGTGCAGCAGCCGGTTCCTGAGGTAAAGCGCGATTGCAGCAACAACCGCTAAGAGACGTCGTGGCATTTCAAATGTTCTTAATTTTAGCACAGCTTTTAGTGCTCTGTTGAATGAGTATCCACAGCGAGAAAATTTGTTCGGTGGGTGTTTATTTTGAGATGACAAACAGCTAGACGTTTTTCATAATATAAAAATCTGGCTCTGTGACGCTGCTTGATTATGGATTGTTATGCAATGTGCAGTATGATTACACGTTGTAATGCATCTTTTTCATCGGAAGCACGGGTTTTCTCCGATGGCCGCAGAACTTTCTAACGGTGTTCCTTTCGTTGATAGCAGTAAGATCCGTTGACGTTAACGAAACTCCAGAACAGCTGGCGGGGGACCTGCCTGCAACGCTTTAGTAGGCTCATGGGGGACGGTCTGCATGTCGTTGACGGCATTGATTTGCGTACCGTTAATTTCGGCCACAGTCCACGTATTCCCGCTTTTAATCGGCACGAAATACTGCGCCCATAACAGGTCACCCCGGTACACCTCCACCATGGACTGCGAGTTGGCCAGATTCCATTCCGGGAAGCGGGTCGTCGGTTTCGGCAGTATCGCATCGGCTTCATAGACCTGGATGCGGTAAACACCGGGCAGCTGTTTCCGGATCAGTACGCTTCCAAATATCCGGTCCACATAGTCGTAGACCATCAAATTGTCCGCGCTGGCAGTGGCATTCCCGCGCACCTCTGCACGCTGGCTAGTGTTATTCTGCAGTGGCCCGGAAACCGATAACTTAAGATCGTACGGACCGAAGTTGCCGCTAACCGCAAATCCGGTTCCTCGCAAGACGATTCTAATGTCTCCTTTAGCAAACTGTGGTGTCATCGCCCAGTCGCGAAGGCTTTCGCTTCCCGGTACCACGGTAAACGGTGGTGCCGTGAAATTGCCGTTAGGGTCCGTTACTGTAGCTGTGTAGAGTCCTGCCGGAAGCGTCACGGACCACGTTCCATTTTTACTTGTTGTGGTAGCCGCCACAGGACCCGTAAAGTTGTTCAACCCAGCGCGCAGCTGAACTTCAATTCCGGAAGCAGAGTAAGCACCACTAGTATTAACCAGGCGAATGGCTCCTCCGGCTTTTCCGCTTCCCGTAAAATTCCTGTCAATAAAGAGGAGCGGTTCCATGAAAATTTCGCTGCTTAAGTTAAACAGGTGGGTAAAGTTGCGCAGAATGATTGGAGCATATGATATGCCAGAGAATCCAGAGGTTTCGAAAAGGATGCTGTAGTTTGCGGTGCGTGGGAGGGTCAGCGTGAATTCACCCGTGAGATGGCTAGTTGTCACGTTCGTCTTGTTAAATGGTTGGTTGTCGGCGCCGAGAAGTGTAACCCTGATAACTGAATCGGAAAAGGCCCACAGATTGTTTGCTCGGCGACTCTGCCAATGGACGGTGACCATTTCGGGTAGGAGACGCTCCAACGGGACATCTGTACAACAACAAACGACGTTTCGTATAAGGAGCAACGCAAAAGCTAATAAAAATAACATAGTTTGACAACCTATAAATAACTGACAACTACAGCTTAGCACTAAAAAGACGCATAACTCCATACCCAGATACCCGTAAGCATGTGCACTTGTACGACAACCGGATATTTTAGCTAAGTCGTACAGCGGCGGCTGCATGCGTTCGGAATGCTGTGGGTGGAATTATGCGTCTTTTTAGCCCTAAGCTGTAATTCTGTAATTGATAATATTAGAAACTTCAAAATTTGGTAGAAAGATCAACGTTTTCTCACGACAAGCCGAAGTGCCGGTACACGGATACCATGCATGAGCCATGATTTCGCTTACCTGGTTTAAAGGCTGTGTTGGCGCAGTCCAGTGGCGCTACAGTGTCCGATACATTTTTCCCGGTATTCGCCGTGACCGTATAATGTGTCTGGACGCTGCTGTCACCTGGCGTCTGAGTGGCGAATGACACGGATAAATGTGACGCGAAACGGGCGCTGTCGCTTTGAATCGCAGTCCTGGTTTCGTTGCATGCCGCCGGGGCGGAGCAAGGGACGCACAGCGCTACCGTTGGCGGCATGGGTGCGCTCATCGGCTGCCACGAACTGTTATCAGCTTTTCTGGTTGCGTTGTTCAGCGAGTATTCCACCGAGATCCATGTGAAGGGGATCAGCGAAATGGTGGTCTCTTTATCTGTCCAGCATTTCTGGACGAAGTCTTCAGCAGCCGACAGATAATCCTCATCCCACAATTTTATTGTGACAAAGACGCAGTTGGTCCCGCTTTCCTTGTCGAGAATGATTTCTGTCGCATCCGGGAGGAAAGTGGCGGCCGGTGGGTAATACAGTACAGGGCGCGTGGGCGCCGGGGCAGGGTCAAAGAAGATGGGAGTTCGGAAGTTGCCGTAGGGAACGGAGAAGCTCGGCGCGGTCAGGTTCAGCGAAACTGGAGCAGCTGCAACTTACATAAGTCGAACTTTCGAAAAAATTTGTATGATAATTTGTATGATTATTAACATTTAAGGTAAATACTTGATTCCCGCCACATATTAATGTCGCTTCAAGCGCAACCAGGTGAATTCGTGCTCATACCGTACACAGGCATGTTAATACGTACAAATTAAGCTGGGCGAAAACCGGTTTCTTATCTGTAGTTAGCTCTAAAAATAAGCGGTTGTTCCATGTGAACATCGGCTTTGCCACTAAAAGTTTGGGTTAAAGCTCATTCAGACAATCTAGACTGGTATGTCATATCTGCGTATGTCACCAACTGATGCTACAAATATGCCAGCAATTGGCACTACAAAATTACCTCTAGAATACAGAATAAGCCAAAACCGATAAAAATCTACACAGCTGCATACAGTTTGCCACCATAATGAGAGTTATTAGACAAACCCGCGCCTGTCAGTACTCGTAAGTCGTATTTTAAGTTTCCCGATATGGTTCTGATGAAAATTTACCAGCCGCCCATACTTGCAAGATGCATTTTAAAATGTATACGCCAATTTTACAACATTCACGTACCACAATAAGCCGTGCCAAAGCAAAGGCAAAACAGCAGCAGACGGTATCCGACTTTGTGCATCATTAACATATGATACGAATACAGTATTAAATTAATAGTGTTATGAGCGAGAAGATTACCAAAAAAGGGGAAAAAAATACCACGAATTATCAGTGTATTAGCGTTACAACTTCAGCGTCTATCAGATCGATCCAGTCACCAGACCATTATCTCTCGCATTTGTTATTTATATGACTGTCGCTAGTAGATTAGCTGATTCTGCCTCAAGCCTGACGCAGCTGTGTAATTAATTAGGTATTTTTAGTATTTTGCGCAGCAATGCGCGCTTTTACCGTCGCTCAATAAATTAGTCTTGTCAATGAACAATGACAGCCGTTTATGAAATTAATTATCTTAGTGTACCACCGCCGTAATACTGTATGTGTCAGTACTTGCAATATCATGACTAAGTACCGGTATCTACTCGAATACAGTAGAACCTTACCGATTGCCGAAGTCTGCAGACTGCTGCGTGATTTTGTTACGAGGTAGCTGTGTGTTGCATAACAACAGCTGGCTCGTCATCGTTTGAGTGGCAGTGCAGGCACCATTTTCCGCGTTTTACTCGCATTTGTCTAGACAGTCCTTGAAATCGTGCGACCGATAGATTTTTTATTCGCGCTGGAAACACGTAAGCGGAATTCAGCTCCGAAAAATTGATTAGGTTAGAATAGTATATTATCGTTAGTGCAGGAAAATGCCTCGAAGGGTTGCGGCGCGCCGCAGTCAAGCGCTACGCTGGAACAACCCGGAAGTATCGACATTTATTTGTAACACTGTAAACACTACTAAGATCGCTCACGGTCAACTGGATCTGCAGGCATTCTGCAACCAGCGCATGTTGACGACAGGAAGCAGTAAATGCGCTACAGATTCGAAAAGTCCTGGGAAAAATGCGCAAACAAACATAACCGGAGTAAAGCAGCACGCACGGTGCTGGTACTCTTCTCCAATAAATAAAACACACCCTGGTCAAATTTACGCAGGTCGATACAGTAACTCTTCAGCAAATCGCGGAAGTAGCGTAATAACATTTGACATCGACGGACCGGCTTGTTAAAAACTGGCGACCACAGACTTGAAGTAGTGGCACTAAAGCGCGAGACGGAGCGAGTCATGTTATAGATTATCGTACGTTCTGCTTAGCCAAATCTCAGAAACTAGATAGTGCGCGCATAAATTAGCGTTTTCTTCCCGATACTAGCATACAAACTATTTCACTGCAGTTGCATGTTTTCTTTACAGTTTTACTTGAATTTGCAAATTAGTAATCACATTACACATAATATTGCAGTGATCTCACAATGTATTTGGCGATGAGCTGCTGGTCGTAGCTTCCAATAACGTGTGTTTTTACCTGGTCAACAGTCCTTACCCTGGTTAGTACGAATACTACCAAATTTGATTTCTGTGTGAGATGATGCCCGTACTTTGATGCGTCTGAGTCGGTCTGACAGACAAATCATTATGAGTATACGCCTATGGCCTGGGAGAAGAATTACTGCCTTCCTTACGGTCAGTCGCATTTTATAAAGGACACTGCTGACCGTTCTTGCATCCAGAAACGAGTGAAGCTGTCCGTGCTACAAGACTCTCCGGACATTCAACACGTAAAGGTACAGCTAGTGCAGACCGAGCGTACGGTTAGCGCTTTGAATGATGGTCAATATACTACAGTTGTCGCAATGGAAAACTGTGCTCCGCAGCTAGATCGCCTTGGACCGACTGTCGTGTAAGGTCTAACCACCAACCACTACTCTAGGCGATTACGGTTATTGTTGTTCGTTAATACCGTACTAATGTTCTTGAATATTTAGCATGCACCAGCTATACCAAATGCATGTAACCTGTTAAAAATGTTGTGCGGCGTGTCGTACTACGTACTATGTAGTTTGGAGTAACCCGTGAATTTATATTTTTCGCTGCTTTCTTTCGTGCTAATTGTCCAGACCGGCTTGTAAAGCCCATCCCGAAAAACCGTTCGACCTCTGCCAGCGTAACGCAGTATAGCGGCTTTTGCTGTAATTTCATGTACCGGAATTTGTATGACTGCTTTTAAAATTCAGGTTGCAATTGGGCTAGATTTTGACCCACGCTAGATTTTGATCCCAGCATATATTGGGTTAGCTGCCTACCTTTACAATAAACAGAAAACTGTGTACGGGAACGCTTATCACTAAAGTTTTATGTGACTGCTAGCCATCGGCAAACTAGCGCAGTGTTGAATGTTGCGTAAAATCCTGAATCCGTAAAACAGCTACCGCGCGACATAAGCTTGAGGCAAAAATAGCTAACAATTAAGCAATGTCTGGCCTAATATTATACGTGTGACTGTTCAAAACTCAAGGGCCTGGATTGTTCCGGTATAAAGCTTAGCAGACCGATAGTGACTTTGACTTGACGGCTATAGCACTGATCCACGTTGTCAATACAGATAAGCTTTTTTGTTACTGTTTGCTACTTTTACTCGCTTAATTCATATACTAATAATGCATAAATTCAGATACCTGATGCTGCTGATTTGCCTTTCCTTTGGCATGGCTTCTTGTGGTACGTAAATGTATCTGTACGTTGTACACACTTTGTTACGAGTATAGCATAAAATATAAATTGACCGCATAACGATGTCTTGAAAAGTTCAAAGAAATTCTCACGCATTGTGGTTGCAGGCCGACTCCTCAACCTGACTGCACCGAGTTTCTCCATTCCCTATGGCAGCTTCCAGATACAGATTTTCAATGTAACTTCACCGACATTGCAAACAGTGCTGTATTACGCACCGGCCGTCACTCTACTCCCAGATGCCACGGAAATCATGCTCAACACAGAAAACGGCGCCAACTGCCTCTTTGTAGAAGTAAAACTCTGGGATAAGCCATACTTAGCAGCTATTCAGAACTTTGTCAGGAGCACTCAGGATCCACAAACCGCGATTTTTCCGCTTCCCTTCAAATTTGCTCAGGCGGAATACTCTCCGAACGGTTTCACACGGGGCATAAAGAACAGTTCATGGCAGCCGATCGCCGGCATGCCACCAGCAGTCTCGTTATGCATCCGCTGTCCTACACCGGCTGCTTGTAACGATACCAAGATGGCGATTCAAACGGACAGCGCTAGTTTTGCCTCACATTTGTTCGTGACGTTCGCTATCCAGGAGCCATTTCCATCGGAACTATGTTTTGACAGGAAAGGTCCTTTCAGCGCTATAACCAACAGCGTTATGGTGCAATCCGCCGTCCGGAACTACACTGTAATGCGCCCCGATGATTTTAGGAATTTTGTTCGAGTATTTGTCGGGGACGCTATTCAGCACACCCTCGGGAGGAATGCGATCGTGGTTGCTGACGATGTAGAAAAAGTAATAAATCGAACCTATTTCCGGTTTCCTCATTACTCAACAACGACTGCAGAACTCGATAATGCCATGTGGGAGGCGTTGTATTGGGACGAGAGCGAAAGACCGGATCGAAAGGCACGACGTCTGGAAAGTGTTTTAGGCAATGGAAAGGCATGGCTGAAGAAGACTTTAGAGGAAAGCAGTGCTGCCAACAACCGAAATGACTCCATAAGATCCAGAGATTCGCAGAATCTAACAGAAGCTTTGGATGAATTTAAATCTGCTAGCAGCGGAATTTACTGGAACGGAGATCGGATACTTCCTAAACCGTTTCCAGTGTATGTCATCAGCTTAGACCTACTCAACATGAACCTGCCCTTTTGCATTGGGTCTATCGACTTCGTGAACAGCAGCTACCAATATACGGTCACCGCGAATCTCGGTAAAAGCGTGTCTGACACTGCAACTCCGTCTGCATCGAATACCGGAAAAAGATTGTCTGGTACTGAAACGCCACCGGTTTTTGCAAACAAATCCTCTACATTCGGTAGGCGAAGATACCATCATAGATTTACAATCGCGCATCGTTTTATAGCTATTTGGGTTTTCCGCGGTACCAGTTTTAGATTTTCGGACAAAATCCATTTTTCCAGATTACTAAATTTAATAATATTACCAAATATTTATTAGGTGCAGGATTATATGATCATGCGAGTTAAATACAGAGTAATCGTTCTTCGCTGCTTTTGGAGAGGTGATCATTAAAACGAGTGATGTTATACAGATGACGCGATCGGTCGCTCTGCGAACGAAACGGCCATCGTCCACTGGCAATGTCGTCGAGCTGACAATCTGTGGGCATTCTCGAATTCGCGCATCACGGTGACCCTTCGCGACGCCAACGACCAACCTTTCAATCAATCGAGCGTAACAACCACCTATAAATCAGGTGAATTTACGTTGAGTCTCCCACGAACCACGGGCTACAGCATCCTTTTCGAAACCTCTGGATACTCAGGATCATCATACACTCCAATCATACTACGCAACTTCAGCCACTTGCTCAGCTTAGACGGCGAGATTTTCATGGAACCACTACTGTTTATTCCGGACCAATTTAAAGGAACCGGCAAAACAGGAGGCATCATACGTTTAATTAGCAATATCGGTAATATTTCGGTTTCAGGAATCAAAATTCAACTGCGAGCGGGAGTGAACAACTACACGGGCCCTATTGTGGCCAACACAACCACTACAATTAACAGCACGTGGTCAGTGGCACTCCCGGGAGGACATTACACAGCCACAGTGAAGGCACCTGAGAGCTTATCTGCGTTCACCGCGCCGCCGTTTACTGTGACAATAGTACCTGGACGCGATAGTCTTCGTGACTGGGGGATGACACCAGAGTTCTCAAAGGGAGGCATTAGAATCATCCTTCGAGCAAACGGACTGGCCAGGTATGAGCTACGTCAATAAACTGCGACAGGGTAATTTTATGTATGAATATTTATTTATTTATTCCTGTAGTTCGTACATGACCCAAGGACTGGCAACGTACGATGTTAAACTGCGGATTACCGGTCGGCTGCGGGACAGCAGTGACCAAGGTGCGGAAGTGGGAGTGAATTCAACTGTTAGCGCGGACAAACTGATGGTCTACGACTATATGGACACGGTATTCGGCAGCGTCCTTATTCGGAAACAGCTGCCGGGTGTTTACCGCATAGAAGTCTATGAAGCGGATGCGATGAAGCCAAACCCGGCTTCCAAATGGCCAGAGTGGAATCTGGCTAACTCGCAGGCCATGGTGCAGATCTACCGTGGTGATACATTGTGGGCACAATATTTCGTGCCGATTACAAATGGAACTCTGTGGACGGTGGCCGAGATCAACGGATCCCGCATCACGGTTATCAACCAAATAAGCACCGTTAAATAATATGTCTTACGTTTCCGGAAAACTTGTCCTCCGGTGAAAAGCAGGCATTAGAAAACGGCAGTCGACAATACGGACGACACTTGATTGTTAAAAATTCAGATGGTGCGACGATATTTCAGAAACGGGTCCAACGCAAAACTTCCAGTGGCGTAGGAGATTTCTGTCGATTGAGTGTGTCTTAGTGCTTTTGGTGAATTTGCTGTTTGTGTTTAGTTATTTATCGGACTAATAGAAAAATCGAAATACGTGAATGCTGTATCAAGAAATATTATCGTAGTTTAAGCAGAAGCAAACATTACGAAACCGAAAATGCCTCAGAATTTAATTTTTTGTAAGGCAGTGAATAACAGGCGTAGCTCCGACAGTCGTCCGGAGAAACAAACCAGTTTCTAAGAGAATTTCCGCTTGATTGTCCTTAACGGCAAATTAATAAGCTTAATAACGGAAACGCAACTTGGAAAACGGCAACCGTTTTGCTACATTAGGCTGTAACAGGCAAGCGCGAGGAGATCACGAGTGTGCTTTATTGACAAATAAAGGGAACAATGCTGCGTAATGGCAGGGAAAGCAAGACAAAGCACTGATGGCTAAACAAGCAAGTGAATGCTAGAAAGGCTCTTGAGCGTTCGTCAAGGCGTGAAAGAAGCAACTGGCGGCAAGCACGTGCTGTGTGCCATCAGCTGTGTGATGATGCGCAGACTGGACTCAATCCAACGCGAGCGTACGCTGAGTCATACAGCGAGAGAGGGACAAGAGAGCAAGTATGCTCAGTGTGTGCGCCGCATATATCCGCTTCAGCGGATATGAGTGCAGTGCAGCAGCACACGTACGTACAGCGAGAGAGGCGATATGGCAAGCATGGGTGCAAGTACGTCCGTGGTGGGCCGTATGCACCAGGCGCAGTCATGTGCCTCTGACATGCCTCTGGGCGGGAATCCGAGCTCCTGCGAAGGATGCTCCGACTCGGTACCGCACCAGTACCGCACAACTCTCCAGTCGGACCCAATGTGGGGTCGCTGGTACGCGTCCTCTGGCAGTGGGAGTCCGGTGTCTGGTCGACCGTCCCTTCTTCACTTCCGAACCCATGAGTGGAAGCCACTCACGGCCGAAAAATCCGGAAGCCGCTCGGGCGTTTCGTTGGACCGGTGTTGCTTCTGTTGGCTGGCTTCTTGCTTCTGTTGGCAACGGAGAACAATGTGAAAGAAAAGTGTAATGAAAGTTGTATACAGCGCGAAAGAAAATATGAAATAAAGTTTAATCACAATTCCAGTGAGCAAAAGGGGTTACAAAAACAGATCTGTTAAAGAGATCGAACTAGAAAAATACAATTCCGTTTGTTAGGAGAAATACTAAAAAAATGCAAAAATCTGTCCGGGGGTCCTATTCCGACTAGGATGACGTCCACGGGGCAGTTGAGTCTCCACGGGGTCTCCTGTCCACTTTCATCCGGTAAGTTGGGTCCGGGGCATCGGTTCCCGGGTTACCCGTCGTAACCGGTTAAATTCACCGAGGTCGGATAAGCACGGTTAAACACTTACTTCCGACTCGTATCCGTCCGTTCGGGATAGAGAGGCACTGTTGCGGTTGCAAATGCCGAGGCATCCTCTCTGAATGGGGAATAGAACCGAGGTCGGTTTGACCAAGGTCGGCCTACCGGTAAGTCGACCGGCGGCTAAGGGAATTCGGCTATGTTCCGAATTGCTAAAGTCCAGGTCGGAGAAAGCTGTAAGTAAGTCATGCGGCCTGTGTGGTCGTCATGTACAGCAGTTCCGTTCAAAAGTGGTCGGTTACAACCGTTCAATCTGCTACCACGAGCCTGGTTTGTAGTAATCCGGGTCGAACTGGCTCGAAGGTCCGGTCGGAATTTATGAGTTTCGGCGATGGAAGTGTCCAGTCGACTTCCATCCAATCTGTTCCGTTGTTATCCGACCTTCTGTCGAGGTCGGTTATCCTATCCGTCAGTGGTCGACTAGGGTTAACCTGCAATAACATGCCCATGTGGGGCTAAACAAGTTCCTTCAGGTCGAATTCGTCCACCGCAGATATCTATCGTTCTTTCTGTCCGTCATGTTGACTAAGTTGCCGACTTCCGACATGTGGTCGGTTATGGTCGACTTCGGAGGGTCGGATGAACTTTGTTTCCATCCGTCCGAAGGTCGGATTTTTCCGTTAGGAGGTCGGTTCTCGACTTCTGAATGTCTTTGCCGACTTGTTGTCGTACTTCTGTACGGTCACTTCCGACCTCGGCTTGAGGTCGGATATCCATGTCCAAGTTCGGAGGTCGGCTATTTTCCGACTTCCCCAGGTCGGATAAACTTTGTATCTATCCGCCGGGAAAGTAAGTTCCTCCACTGAGAGGTCGATTTCCTATGTCTGGTTGGTTTTCCGAGCTGTTGTCGCTTATTTCCGACCTCCATCTGGTAATTGTCAACCTCATTTTGGGAGTTCTGTGCGTTCGGCTACAGTTGGCCGGGTCCTTGGTGTCAGGACATCCTTCGGTCAGTTCGGACTGGCAGAGGGATGTTCGGCAGCACAACTCCGTTCCTTCTGTGATCTCTGACGTGAACTCCAGGTCGGATCCGAGCTACTGTTGAGGTCGGTCAATCCGAATTGCTTGCTTCTGGGTCGCCAAGTCCTGTGAGGTAGGAATTTCTTGGCATCTGTTGGCCGGTTGGCTGGCGTCTCATCATGCACTGCGCTCGCTTACAACGCTAAGGGTCTTTGTGGCCCCGGTTGACAAGACAAGCTCTTTGGTTTAAAGTTCATGCACATGCAAGTCCCTGGGGTCGTCAGATCTGATTCTTCCATTTTGTTTTGTCGCGAACCTGTGACGCCTAGCCGCTTCTGTTGGGGGTAGACGACTCATGTCCACGGGGAAATTTTCCTTTGCCGCTGACGAAGACCGACTGGCCGGTACTGTTGCGGGCAGGTGGTCATCGTCATCGGGGTTCGTTAAGGGGGTGCAGATCAAGTATTCTAACTGGGTCTGCCTAGGATGTTCCATTGGAGACATGGGGAAGCAGGTCGCGGCGGAGTCGTTGGTACACCAGTATCCAAATCACCGTCGCTGTTCCTCTTCAGGGAATGGCAGCACGTTCAGAGACGCGCGTAGTCGTGGTCACCGGTGAATCGGCTGGTTTACCCGATGTCGTCCGGGGGAGACTGCGGTTGATCTCCAGGTACAGAGCCTGTAGGTCTGGATTCAAACGGAGAATCCGGTTGAATTATCACGTGACTACTGCCAGCTTCCATCCATTCTCCATAATCGACTTCTGTCGGTCGGCTACCATACTCAGTCGATCTTTGTGGTCGTCTAAAGGTAGCGAATCGTGGTTTTAACGATCGGCATCGTTGCGGTTCGAGCTGTTTGGGTCTCCGAAACCGATCTTTGTGATCGGCTTGCACAACCGACCTTTGTGGTCGACTTGCGCAGCAGTATCCATTATGTCTCCAAGTTATGGGCAAAGTACGAAGTCGACCTTTGTGGTCGGCTCCCGTACCTAGTCCAATCCGAGTCTTCCTGCACTGTTGGCGGCTCGGCCGAGGGATTTCCGCTGTTTACAATGGTGAAGGCTGCTCGGCTACCCGGTTCCGAAGTTGGCCACGGGTGCTTGGCAAACATGGCGTGGAACGCGCGCAGCGACGTGTTCCGCGCCATGTTAGCGTAATCCTCTCGGTTTCTTCTCCGGAGTCGGTTGGCCGGAGTAATCTCCATGTAACGCGGATTGGGGCTTCTGTTGGCTCCGATGGTCGCAGAACGTGGTTGACGATCTGCTTTGTTAGCAGATGTGGTTACGATCTGTCTTTGCCAAGCTGGGGAACTGGGGTCGGTTGCCCAGTTCGTTCCAGGGGATTCCTTGGGGGACGTACCGGTACGGTGAAAGAGCCGAAATACCCGGGTCTAACCACGCGTTTCCGGGTCCGACCAAAGAATCCGGCTGACTTGTGTAGTCGACCTTCTGGCAAAATCGTCGTTGACGTCCACCGCGTACATGGTTGGTCATTTTCAAAAAAGAAAAGAACTAAAGAGAAGTATCCATTCCGAAGTCGGTTCTCGACAGTGCTGTTTCTCAGCCGGACTGTTTCTCAGTCGGAAGGTCGGTCCTCGACCGTGCCGTTTCTCGGCAATGCCTCCTTAAAGTTATTCCAATGGGGGATCGAGTTCCAGTGTGGGAACTCGATCTTAACTGAGTGGAACTTCGACGGGTTTATCGCCGCCGAAGTAATCTTCTTCTTCATCGTCGTCCGGGCCAGGTCGGTTATGTGGCCGTATATTGGGGTCCCTTGGTTTGCAAGTCGCCGGGCCACTCCGTTGAGACATCTCGTCGGTCTCATCTGTTTCTTGGCCTGGGCGCTCCGCTCTGCTCTTCCTCGATTCCTTGGCCGCTTGTTTGCGGAGCCGCAGCGCGAACGGTCGTGCGCCGGGTGCTATGTCATCCGACATCCAAGGTTCGTAGGGCGACGAGTTGAATCCGCTAGGCAAAGTTTTCTTTTCGCGGTACCAGCTGATGAATCGGGTTGCATCGTCGCTGGGATCTACGTGGTCCTCACGAAAGGCATACTTTGTCGCATACCGTTCGTGGGTGTACAGCAAGTCACGCATCCAGACAGCTAGGATAACACTTCTCATCGGTGTGCCGAGTTGGGCTACGAGGGTCTCCACAGCCGCTGGTATCATCTCATTCTGGTACAAGCCGTATAATGTATAATGGCAGTAATAATTGCCAAGTCGAGCTGCGAAGATAAATCGCAGGAATGCCGTGACTCCGTCCTGGGCCGTGTCAACTTCTCCTTCCGGAAGATACTGGGTTAAATCCAGTGCTGCCCGAGCCGCGGTGATTACAAAGGCTGGGTGTGCGTCCGTGATGACGAACTGGGCAACACTCTCCAACTCGTCATGGGAGTATTCCCGAGCTCCTAGTTGGCTCGCACGTGTTCCGTCCGGGCTGTACAATGGTACATTGAGCAAGACCGGGTCGGTCATCGATGGCAACGCATTCGATCTGGTGTACGGGTGTTCAACATTCGGCGCTGTGTGCGCATTCATGTTGAAGTCGGACCGCCACTGATGTTGTTCGAACAGCGCCTGATATCCGGATCGGACGAGGAATTGACGAAGGTTTTCTACCATCCGCCAGATTTGTGGTCGGTACCGTTCCTCGTAATTCATGACATTCATAATGTGGTTCGTCCTTTCGATAGGGTGTGGCATGACGACCTCGATTCCTTGTTGTCGAGCTCGGTCATAGCGAGGGTCTTCTCGGATCGGCACTTCC